AGAAGCTATAGAAAGAGCCATATACTCTTCTTTAGTACTAGATTAAGCAATAGAAACTTGCTTTTTAGTACACCAAGAAACAAGATTAGAACCTAAGTAAACATAGTGACCAATTGTAGAATATCTAGTGTCTGGACAACCAGCCCAACAGCATCAACATAGCATACCAGATTCAGTGTAGTATAAGGAAATAATCGAATACCATAATTGATAATTCTTTTAAGATATCTCAAGATTCATTTCACAACCTAAAAATGAATATCACGAGGTGCATGCATAAATTGACAGACTTGTTGCATAGCATAGGTAATGTTAGGTCTAGTAAAGGTAAGATACTACAAAGCTCCAACAATGGTGCAATATTATGATGAGTTTGAAAGTAAAGTTCCATTATATAGAGAAAGCTTTTTACCAGCAATTACTGGAGTAAAAGTAAGTTTGTAGTTTTTCATACCTAAACGTGAAAGTAGAGACAACACATATTTTATTTGTGTCAACAACAAATGTTTAGGTGTACGATGTGCCTTTATTCCAAGAAAATAATGAAGATTATCGAGATCTTTCATTAAAAATTGTGAAGAAAGTTGTGAAATGAATGAATGAATGAATAACATTTAATGAAGAGCCAATGAGAATGATATCATCCACATAAAGTAAACATAACATCATATCATATGAGGAATGCCATATGAATATAGAAGGATCTACTTGACTACTTTTGAAACCAAAGACATGAAGAGTAGAACTAAATCTTTGAAACCAAGCTCGTGGAGCTGACGAAGACCATAAAGAGAGTGATGTAATTTATAAACATGATGAAGATGATTAGGGTCCACAAATCATGGTGGCTATATCATATAAACTTTTTCATGCAACTTGTTGTGTAAAAATACATTTTTAACATCAATAGAGAGAACAATTCGAATAGTGGTAACCTTAACAACAAGGCTAAATATGGAGTCAAAGTCAATACCTTCTAGTTATGTGAAGCCTTTGACCATTAATCTTGTTTTTTACTATTTAGTGGTACCATCAGCTTGCTCTTTGATTTTATAGATCTAACGACAACCAACAACATTCATAGGTGAATTATAGGCACTACAGACCAAGTGTTATTTTGCATCAAAGTAGAATATTCATAATTCATAGCTGAAATCCATTTTTCATCTTGACATGCTTCTTTGAAGGATCTTGGCTCAAGAGATAGATAATTTGTAGCATGTAAAGAGTATGATACTTTAGGCCTTCAAGTAACTATAGGATGTATGGTTCTAGAACTAAAAAAAATGGAAAGCTCAGATAATGGTTGAGTAGAGGGTACTAACACAATTGTATCAAGTTCAAAAACAATTGTATTTAGGATTGAAGCATTTGGTAATGGTTCTAACACAATTGTAGTATGAGGTGTGGGCAACGATACCTCGAAACTAACCTTAGGAGATGTAAAAGAGTCAATAGGATGAGAAAGAATCTCAGGAATTGTAAAACCAAAACATTTTGCAAAAGGAAAACAATTTTCATTAAAGACAACATGCCATGAGATATAAACTCGACCATTAAAGGGTCTAAACAACGATATCCTTAGCAATAGATAATAAAATTTCCTTTAACGCTGGAACAAATAGAATATTTTTCAATGAAAATTTTGTAGAATCAAGGCATATAGCAAAATCACCAATACAAGTGATGTTTAGAGAATTACCATAACCAATAAAAATACCTTCATTGCCAATATAAGGAGTGGACTAATGTACCAATGATGGATTGGAAGTCATGTGACTAATAGCACATAAATCTGCTAGTCAATATGCATCATTGTCATTGTCTGTTAGAGCATTAAGTGGAGTATCATTTGAAGTAGTGGTAGAAAGATAAAGACCAGCAAAACAATTGTTCAAATTATGATTAGATCTATTATAGCAGTATTGACATGTTACAGCAGTATGGTTGATTTTGTGACAAATTTGACACTTTATGGTACGATTTGCATGTTGAGAATGTGAAAAGTTCTTATTATCTTAGTTATTTGATTAAAAATCTCGTTAAAGCATATAATTTGTGTGAGAAAAAGACTAAGAATCACGATAATCATACCTTTGATTAATTCGTCCAGTGCACCTAAAATCATGATGAAGATTATTGAAGCGTTGACCTCAACTATTTGGGTAAGTTACCATGGTTGTCTCATGGAAACTGACAATGGCATTCATAGGATGTGATGACAATAACTGCATTCTTTTCAAGTGCTACTCATGAACTAATAACTATACTTTCAAATCATTAAAGAAAATGTGATTCTCTTTATTTTCAATAGCACAGACAACTAATTGATATTTAATGGTATTTGATAGTCCATTCAAAGTATGAGTGACCAATTTTGAATCAGAAATAAAATGATTTATGGTTGCTAAATTATCATAAATATATTTGATCTTGGCAATATATTCTTTAATAAACATAGTTCATTTACTCAAACTCTATAACTTATCACGTAATAGATCAACTTTGTTGGACATTGTTGATAAAAAATAATTTTTAAAGTTATCCAAATCTGGTGAGAAGATGACAAACCCATGACTTGTGCTTGTGCACTTGACGGCAATGTTGCCTTTGGACAAGAGAGAACAAAATGATCCTTTTTCACCCACTCTATCTATGCAGGATTGGATATGGTTTCATTATCTTTGGTTATTATTTTAAGAGGAGATGCAATGGTTTCATCAACATGCCCCATTAAATCACTGCATAATAAAAAAACGTATTATTTAATCATGCCAAAACAAATAATTTTTTGAGTTTAACTTAATAGAGATAAGACTAGAAATATTGGAAAAGAAAAAAGATGGTATGAAAGAGGATTGGTTGTTGGAAGCCATTAGAAAATTTTAAAAAATATATATTATAAAAAAAATTGTTAGAATAAGACAAATATTTGGATCAGAATTGAAGATGAAGAAAAAAGAAAAGCTACCGTTTTGTTACCAAGAAACGAAATTGTAAAAAAACAAATATTCTATCCTATCCCATTCAGGATTATAATATGTATATTTATATCATGAAAGAATATAAACATATTTACACAAAATTAAATATACAACTATTGACGAGTGACTCTGATTTGTGATAGTAGCTATGCCCTTTTTGCTGTAGGCATAACTTGATAAGTTCCAAAAGCATTCAAAACTTGAAAAGAAGAAAATTTTCAGATACTATTTCTCTTAGCTATAGGCAATTTTGGGGACACACACTTTAGAGAACGAGGGACCAGAATTGGTTTTTGAACGATGTGCTGTGCAGGTATACATTTCCTTAGACAGTATGTCATTGAGCCATTGTCAATGCCAAGCGATCAAATTCAGAAATCTAAAACTGGAATGCTATAAATTATCAGTTAATATACTACTAAAGGAAAAAATAATCAAAAGTCATAGTCGAACTATTTGAAAATAGTCAATCTCAAGTGTACCATATCAAGATTTTGCATGTTGGGTGATTTGTATATCTCAAACTCTCAATTGCCCTGACGAAAATTTTGTAGATGCTATTAGGTTATAGAAAACGCCATCTGCCCTGATCAACTGAACATTTTGGTACATTCGAAAGGTAAGAGGATAGAACCCCACAAAGAGTCTAGTTTTGGGTTGTAATTGGCATGTGCCCCACTCTTTTACAGGCTCATTAATAATAGTAGAGAAAGATGAGTGATTGGCTAAGCTTTCTTCACAGGTGACTCTTACAGGATGCACCAACTCTGATAATGAAACATAGGATTAAAAGCCGGTAGGTAAAATGAACGGTTGTTAGCACTTAGCATCCGATTCAACCACGTGGGTAGCTGAATTCCATCAAACAGAAAATGTTGTAGCCTGCGTGACAGAAACCAAACGAGTTCAGCAAACTTGTTTGGTAAAGATTATGCATCTTTCACCCAAAATTCCAAAGCATGCTCGTGCCCTCCTATATTCAAATTTATATCCTTAACCTCCGTTTATTTCGTAAAAAATTATTTTTAAAAAATAATTTTAAAAATAATTTATATTTTTTGAATTAATTTTTTTAATTATTTACATGAGTTAATAAAAAATATTTTTATTATTTAATTATTTTTTTAAAATTTATTTTTAAATAATATTAATATAATTATTAAAATATTAAAAATTATTTATTATTAAAATATTAATATTAAAAAAATTATATTGTAATAATAATATTTAATATTAAAAAATTATGTTAATATAAAAATATTAAAATAAAACTATTTATTATTTTTATATTGTTTATTAATATATTATAATATTACTTGTTAATAGTATGTATTAATATATTATATTAATAGTATATTATTTATTATTAATATATTATTTATTCATATATTATTATAAAAATTATAAATTAAATTAATAATATTTATTATTATATTATTCATTAATATAATATTTTTATGAATATATTATAATATTTTTATTAATATATTATATTAATAGTATATTATTTATTAATATAATATTATTTATAAGTAAAATTATACTAAAAAATATTAATAAATAATTTTTCTCATAAATAGTTTTTTTTCGAAAAATATTTTTTTTAAATCGTGATATAATTTTTTTAAAAATAATATTATTTTTTATTGATGAATAAATCATTTTCTATTGACCAATATTTTTTCACCAAATAAATACCTAAACATATAAAAATTATTTTTCACGATAAAAACAGAGTCTTAGTTCTAAAATGTTTGAGGCTGGTAAGTTTTTTTTTTTTTTTTGCCAAAAAGGATTGGTCAGGTGAAAAAGATAATTTTAATTAAAATAAAAATTTGTGTTGATCTATTGCTGATATGACACATCAAATTAGCTATTTTATGCTAAGATTTACAAGTCAAATGGGAGAAAATGAGATGAATCACAAGCTCTCCCTCACTACCTACCAACCTTTGCCCTCCAAGACTTACAGAGGTACCTGAGTGTTAGCTATGCTATGTTAAATGCTGATGTTAATGCTTTGATATAAAGGTAGCAACACTCCTCAATTTCCCATTTCTCATCGAAAACGAACCAGCTTTGCCTTTCATTCCTTTCTTGCCTGCCTCTGAATCTCCTGCAAAGAAAACTAGTAAGTGGTTTTTCCTTCAATTTAGTAATGCTTTGATTTTACCATCTATTTTTCTTTATTCTTAAAAAAAAAACCTTTCTGGTTTCTATATTTTTGCATTTCTCAGTGGGTACTGAAATGGTATTGGTTGATGAAATCCCTTTTCCTCCACATATCACCACTTCCAAGCCACTATCTCTTTTGGGTCATGGTAAGCCTTTTTTCATACTACGTTTTGGTACTTGGTTCTATTAGATCAGAATTCACTGTCTTGTATTAAATTCAATCATTTTTACATGACCCTTCACAAGAAAACTAGTTTCTTTTCCTTGAAAACAAGTCTCATAATAATTTGTTGTTGATTGGTTCTACAATCTGCATCCAATCAATGCCCGCTGTAATGAGTATTGACCTTCTGCGGCTGCTACAGGAATTACCGACATTGAGATTCACTTTCTTCAAATCAAGTTCACAGCAATTGGAGTTTACCTTGAACCTGAAGTTGTAGGACACTTACAACAATGGAAGGGTAAGCCTGGAAACGTGCTAGCAGAAGATGATGACTTCTTTGAGGCTGTTGTTAATGGTACATAAGCCAATTCCCATCATTAATTCAAAGTTGTAAAACCTTTCATTACAATCTGTTTAAAGAACTATGGTTAATTCTTCTTTGATCATATATTGCCCGCAGCTCCAGTGGAGAAATTTCTGAGAGTTGTGGTGATTAAGGAGATCAAAGGTTCCCAATATGGAGTGCAGCTAGAAAGTGCTGTGAGGGACAGATTGGCCGCTGTTGACAAATACGAAGAGGAAGAGGAAGAAGCCTTGGAGAAAGTTGTTGAATTCTTCCAGTCTAAATACTTCAAGAAGCACTCAATCATCACATACCATTTTCCAGCAAATTCAGGGACCGCTGAGGTATATTTTGAGACATATGAGCAATACTCTGTATTTAAAAAACCAATCATTCATGTACTAACAACAGACTTTTGTGTGTGAATGTGTGTGCTTGCGCTTGCAGATTGCATTTACTACCGAGGGAAAGGAGGAATCGAAAATCAAAGTGGAGAATGCAAATGTGGTTGAGATGATCAAGAAATGGTACTTGGGAGGAACGAGGGGAGTATCTGCTACCACTATAACCTCCCTAGCTAATGCCCTCTCCGGAGAGTTATGCAAATGAATCTATGCAGTCTAATTATGAGTTCTTCTTTCTAAGTTTGTCTAAGAATGAGCCTGTTTGTTGTGATTCTGTACCTAATAAAGTATGCTATGCAAGTTTGTTAGAGTTTTTCCCATTATTTGGAACCCAATTTCCTTGACTCCCAAGATTGAACAAAACAAAAAAAAAGAAAAAATGTACGAGAATTTGATTTCATCTTTTCACTTACATGCTTGATTGCCTCTATGAAAGGAACTATATGCGAGAAACAATATGCCCTTAATATATTTCAGGCAAGAATCACTGCTTCTATCTGGTATGCCCTTTACAAGTGTTTCTCGATAGAAGATACTCAGATTCATCCATCGTTCCCAGACGATTGACCCTCTTTTCCAAAGTGTAGGAGAACATTATACATCATCAGCTATTTACTAGTTTTTCACAGACTCTATGTGACAACTCAATCTCACATTAGTAGATTTTAAGAATTTACTATAATATATAAATATAAGCTTAAATTTAAATTTATGAGATGTTTTTTGTAAGATAAAATTGTGAGATTTTCGGATCAAAACGAATAATATATTTCAAGTTGATTGGATGCAAATCCTCACACTCCGACTCATTGAGAGTTTTAAAGAAATTCATGAAGTTGCCTGGATAGAAAGCAATTGCATGGTCTGTCGATGAAATATTAAACTCTTATAATTTCACTGATTAGATTTAATCTCTAACAACCTTAAATACCAAAAAAGAAAGAAACTTCTTATGGAATTCCATGAACCCTCCCTCCATCTCCAACCAAAAGCAAAATTCTCTACCCGAACGTAGAAAGTAATCTTTGATTAAAAGCTCAAAAAGGAGATTGGATTTTAAATTGAATGATATTAGAAATGAAGGTATCTAGCTCATTCTCACGAGTCTAATTGCTTTATTCCTCAAAACCTACTAGAACTAGCTATTGGAGCAGCCAAAGTTCCCAATTGTCAAAGGTTCTTGAATTGATGAACATGATGGAGCAGAACATACATAGTTTTGTGATCTTACACTTGTCAGAGTTTGTACCCTTAAAACTGGATCCTGTTTAACTCTTTAAGTTCAAATCCCTTTTTTTTTTTCTTTTTAAAAAGAAATAATAATAAGAGAACTGAAGGATATATATACAAACTTCAGGACGTTGGCTTGCTGATTTGCGGTATCCCAACTACCAAAAGAAGTACAAAAAGTTAGAGGTAAATCCAAACTTGTACCTAACATTTACATTGACTAGATCGCAAAGAACAATCAAAACATTGCTTTCCCACGTTTAAGATCACAAAATTATGGTCACACAGCATATGTTTTGCAAATTCTCCCAAAAAGAAATAGTCTGGCTTATAGTTGAACAATATGGCTTCCCTTGGGAGATTCAATCTCCTCTAGTCCTATGAAGTATTCTCTACCCAAACAAACACAAACCCAAACCCTTGTGCACTCTTTCAACATAACCAAACACATGCCCATATGCTCCCATACATCATATCTATGTGGACCCTCTCAGTCTCCTCTAGTCCACTCACAAACAAACATACACACCCATAAGACGTAGAGCCCCAATACTCCTATGGGGTGTCTATCTCACAAAACCCTACAACTCTCTTACATCTTTTTCTCATACCTAACCCTGTAGAGACTTCACATATTTATAACCATACAAACTTGCTTATTAAGAATCCCTCTCTTCTTAGAATTCTTCTCTTGCAAGTCAAACTTACCTATTAAGAATTCCTTTCCTTTTAGAATTCTTCTCCTGCAAGTCAAACTTACCTATTAAGAATCCTCTTTCTCTTGAAATTCTTCTTTTGCAAGTCTTCTTGTCCATCAAGCAATATCTGATAAATCCCAAACAAATCTCTAACAAATCTCAAACAAATCTCTTATGGGATTTGGGTCAATATTCCCAACAATCTCCACCTTGACTCAAATTCCATCAATCATCTATCTTCATGCTAGATATGCTTGGCTCCACCTACAATGAAAGTCTCACAATCATCTTCTCTTCTCTTGTGTCTTCACGCTTCATACAAACCAATCCTCAATCTTCAAAACTTAAACTCGAACTCTTCTCTTGAATCGAGCACTTCTGGACTTACTTCTTCCATGTCTCAAATCATGCACTTCCCAAACCTTTAGCTCTTCCCACATCTCGAACTTTCAACTCTTTCACATCTCGAACCTTCGGCTCTTTTCACATCTTGAATCTTCAACTCTTTTCACGTTTCGAACCTTCAGCTCTGATACCACTTGTTGGGGAATACCACAGCTCTGATACCATTTGTTGGGCTAAAAGCCTCCAATCCAATCACACCAGCGGAAGCGAAATCAAACAATAAATCAAACATACAAGAGACAACAATTTAACGTGGTTCGATCCAACTGACCTACATCCACGGATGAGAAACAAGATCCACTAGTTGTAGAGAATTACAAACATACATCAAATCATCAACCTCACTCAACAATCAATACTCATAAGACACTCTCAATCTCCTCTAGTCCTATGAAGTATTCTCTACCCAAACAAACACAAACCCAAACCCTTGTGCACTCTTTCAACATAACCAAACACATGCCCATATGCTCCCATACATCATATCTATGTGGACCCTCTCAGTCTCCTCTAGTCCACTTTCCAAGTAATTCTATCCAAAAATCTGGCATGTCCTCCTACTTGAATCTCAACAACAGATTTGCATGAAAACAGTTTACAGCCACCTGTTTTAAATTGAGGATTTTGACTAATCAAATGCTAACTATAAAGAGTGGTTAAGGCCATTCAATTATTCAAAAGATTCACTGGCCATTTGATTTCCCTAGCTTTCCCTTCTAACTCCAATTGTGTGCTTCCGTGACAAACTTTTTCACTACAGTAGTACTTTTGTCCTTTGTATGGAGTTACTCATAATTGAAAATGCTGGTGACTATGGATTAGTGGGCAAGTGGGCATTATATTATGTAAAACAAATGCCAAGCCAAGCTCCACAAGTGAGCAAGACAAATTCTTTGCTGCAATCCTTTGGAAGTTAGGAAAAAATCTTAGAAATCGACATAGATGAACAAGGTAAGGAGAAGGAGAGATGGTGGTCCAATTATGATGAATCATGCGCATGACAATGTCTTTATCCTCAATACTAAGACAATGCTTTGGAGTCATGTGTTGCATCAATGACTTTACTTATGTGGAGCTAGAATGAAGGCCCAGAGGCCATAGCAGAGTTAAAAAAAAAAAAAAAGATGAGTTTTGAAGAATTGAGATACCATTCTATAAGCATAAATTGTTGATTCCTTATGCTTCATATGCCTATATACTAAAGCGATCATCTCCATTACACTTTACTTTTTGTGATTCTAAGTGCTTGAGAAATGATACTCTATTTTGCGATTCCTATTTCTTTTCTATAAGCAACCAATCTCCTGTGTCATATTCAAACCAACAAAAGGAAGGAAAATCATTTTATCAAAGCTGGAATTTTTTTAATGACGTCCTTTATTTGACCAAGGAACATGATTTTTGAGACATTCATTTGGGGATTGTCCAGTTGGTGACTTGCAAAATCGTTCTATTTACTACTACTATAAAAATACTCTATATACAAAGTGTTAAATTGGGTAAAGTGTAAGAAAATCAAGAGTTTGTTCTCTAAATACAAAGTTGTGTTTAACTTTATCTAATACTCCTAATAAGTTTCACTTGAAGAGAAAGCTGTCAAAAGAAAACTACACATGAAGCCTATAATACCTAACAATGGTAAATCAAAATGACTTTGAAACACTTCTAATGGCTAAATTATATCCATGTTGCATCAGCATGACAGCACTTCAAATGTCAAGTGGCTCCTGGCTGTGAACCATTCTAGACAACAAGGGCTTGCTTACAAACTGTATAGATGCTATGCAATGATGATAACTCAAGGAATCTAAACCCCAGAGCTGGTTTCCTTTTGTAAGGTCTCCATCTGTGAGCACTGTTCAGTTGGCAGCACATTTAAAGACCTAATCTGAGATATCAATTCTGAAATAAAAGTTAGCAAGCAGGAGAGAGTCACCGCCCAAGCTGAAATTATGGAGGTCTTTCTCAGTTCCATTTTGCTGATGAACCTGAAAACTTCCTATTAATTTTCAAACTCCTTGTTGAGTGATTGTGAACCTTAAACTCCTTAAAAAAATCATAGTTTGTCATAAGTGTAACAATCCTTCTTTCTATGCAAAGGTTGAAAACAGGTGCATCGATTATATTTCTCAATAGAATCATCACAATCACATACAGCTGCACATCAATTGGTATGGATTTTTGCCTATAATCATGAAGAAAAGCAATAAGTCTATGGTACTCCAGAGAAATTTTCAATCTCCCACTGCAAAGAATGTAGAGGAACAGCAAAACCTCAGAAAGCCTCAGACCATTTCTATTTTCTTTTGCAGTTCATTAGCAATCAATATTTCTCTCTATTCATATACATAAACAAACTTAAAAAAATGTCAAACAACAATAATAAAAAAAAAAGCTACTCTATGGCCCCCTTTCTCAGCTGGTTAAGAACTATTTCAAAACCAGGATCAACCAATCTCCTCTGCAGCGAGTGGAACATCGGCTAGTCCACCTGATGAATTCCCATGTTGCTGGATTCCAGCCTCTATCTCTGGTGCAGCATCAGAACTAGTTGCCTGCTCTAGCAATGATTGCCTGCAAGTTGGACAGGATGAGTGTGACTGCAACCATGTATCTATACACCTTACATGAAAACCATGGTTACATTTTGGCAACACCCTGACTTTTTCACCATCAATAAATTCTCCAAGGCAAATTGGACAATCCGTAGCCTTCATATTTGTCCCTGAACTATATATGGCCACAGGAATCTGGCGCAATGCGCTCTTCCTCAGGCCTGTTGCAGTTAGACGTACCACAGTCTCATCTGGGGTCTCAATAGCAAACCTTCTGCCACAACGCAAAGCACAACGCACAATAGAGTTTAGCCCTAGAGCACATATCAGTGCACAAAGCAAAGCTGCTAGGATGATCACCATGTTGGTATCAAAACTGGCTTCATTGGATAAAGAACTGCGCGTTCTGTTTCCATTTGTTGGTGCTGCGCTTGATTGCGTATCAAGGAGAAGGCGGTGTGGGCGGTGATGAAGAGTCACCATTGCTATTTTAGCTTGTATATCACCAATTATCAAGCACCAAACCCAAAAGCCTATAAATAGTTGAAAATTCTACTACCCTTTTTGAATTTAGGACGTTTTCTTGAGGCCTATTTGATGAACTTAGGCATACAGGCTTCTAACTTCTTTGCTCCTTATTCTTTCTTCGGTGAATCGAACCACAAAGGTTACTGGAAGAAGAGAATTCATCTCTCTCATTTGCTGAATAAAATAAATCCTTTGCTTGTTTGCTTCAACTTCCTGGAGTCCTGGCTTGATATGCAAGGATGGTGGTTGAAAGTATTACAGGCTGAAGCTCCACTTGCTGCTGATATATAGAGAGTGAAGGCTTAAGCTTCCTTTGTTTTGGTTCTTGTTGATCAGCTTTCAACTAAAGAGAGATATGGAGCTTTTGAGTCCAGGATATGTCTGTCAGGATTCCAACTAGATGAAGACAACAGTAAAAAGCATCTTCTTGGGTGATTAAAGGAAAAGAGAGGGCTTTCATAGTACATCAAAGAGTGAGAATGCAAAAATTTTCTGGCTTTGTAATTTCTTTCTCCATCAGATCATCAACTACCTTACATGGAAAAGCAAACAGGATTGAAGATCTAATACGGATTATGCGGACAATAATTTGGCCGCCTTACCATGGTTTACTGTTTACTGTAATTTCTAGCAGAAAAAGTTGGAAATTCTTTGCTTGCAGTTCAAGGATCAAATTATATATAAATGGGCCATGGAAAGAGATAAGGAAGGGGTTCTCAAGGTGCTGATAGTTTCTTTTGGACGGAGGAAATGGCACTGCTGGGTTCCACATGTATGATATGAGAGAAGATGCCACAAATACCATATGAAATATAATTAAGACCCGGGTTTGAATTTTATTTTTTCATGAGAATATTTTAAAATTAAAATATTTTTTAACTAACAAATCAATTAATAAATTAAAATACAATCAAAATAACGTACAGTAAGACTTGAATATAAAATTTAATAAATTTACATAAAAAAATATAAATTTAAAAATTGAGTTTGAAATTAAGACCCAAGTTCAATTTTCTTTCTGTGTAGAGAGCATTCGAAAATAAAATTTTAAAAGCAATTTATAAAAAAAGTTTTAAAAGAAGATTAGATGAAACAAAGCTTGAAAATATCCTAAACATCTTTAAAAAAAACCTGGAAAAATAATTAAGATATGTATTTGATGTCCTGTCAATGCATTATTCTTGAGAGATCAAATGAGAGGCACAAGGGTTGGAAAGGTGGCTAAGGAATTTTTAATTATGGCACCTGATCCCACATAAAATTAGTTTATGGAGAAAAAGAAAATGCTTATTCTTTAGCACCAAATCAATCTCCACTCTTGCTGTAATTAAAAGGTGAAGCAATAAGATTATTCATTTCAGCCAATGCTCATCTTTTCATCCCTTTATGGTTGAGATAATGGCAATGTGTTTATGCTTTTGTAGAAAAATCTAACCTAATCTAATATTAATTTGTAGTTTATTAGAGATTTATCCCAAAGAATATAATTATTTCATCACGAGTATGGTAACCCATTTTTTTCTACCAAATAATGTCAGTGATAGCTTTTACCGACACTAATTGAAGGATCAATGGATTATAAGTAAAGTGGTAATTAGACGGTTAATGAATTTAAATTATAATTAAATATATAATTATTAATTTTTTTATCCAATTCGAATTTAAATGAATTTTTTTTATTAAATCGAGTTCGAATTTGAATGAATTGATATATATATTGATATGGGTAAACTTTTAGTGCTCTAATTAGAAGCACCAAAATCTGGCAAGTATTTATAATGCAGTAAAACTAGAGGTAATTTTAAGTCTGGTTAAGGTTGATGAGTCAAATGAAAATGAGCTCAAAAGCAGCCAAAACTAGCCGTCAATTATTTTTTTCATCATCTTCATCTCAAAGATGCCAACAGATGAGAAGCTGGTTCAAGGAAGTGAAATGGTTTTTTTTTTCTTTGAAATGGTTTTTTTTTTCTTTTTTTTTTTTTTATTTTCCCCTTTGTTTGAATCCAAGTTTCTCCTGTTTGATGGAGATATATTATACCTGTGAAACTACCATGTGAAAGAAAAGAATGGGCCACATGGAGATAGAGACGATATTGGCAAAAGCATTATCTCCATGGCCACCTAGCAAGAGTTCAAGAGGTCCATGTATGTTTGGCATAGTTGGTTGTCTTTGTGATGCTTTCAGCCTCCTATTGAAAAAATGAGTAAATATAATTAGGGTTGACATCGGGTCGGGATCGGAGCGGATTTTGCTCGCTTCAAATTCAATCCGACTTAATGTTTTAATAAATTTGAATTTGATTTTATCCGAAAATTTTTTTGTTTTTTTTCATACTCGAACCCGATCCAATCCGATACTGTATAAATCGTACATGATCTGATCCGAAATTAATAAAATATTATTTTTTAAAATATAAAATATTATTTTTTAAATATAAATATTTAAAAATATCATTATATAAATATATATATAATTAAAAAATTAAAAAATTAATTAAAAAAATTATTTATGTATATATTGGATCGGGTAGGGTCGGGTTTGCCTAAAACCTGACCCCAACTTTGTCTTCATGCTACCCGACCCGACACCCGATTTTCAAGAAAAAAAATCGACTCTAAAAGGTCGGGTCGGATCAAAATCTGTCGGATACAGATTTTTTTGGCTTATCTAAATATAATATAATATATATGTAAAAATTTAAACTTAAATTTATAAGATATTTTTATGAAATAAAATCATAAAATCTTAATGTTAAAGCGGATAATATTTTATAAATTAAGTATGAATTTTCATAAATACTATTAGAATGATCATCAATCGACAACATGAAAATCATAAAATATTACATGATGAAGCCATGAGTATCACTAAATACTATAAGGTGAGAAGTAATTTTTAAAATCTTAATATTTTATGTGATTTTAGTTTTATAATTTGATTTGATTTAATTAAAATATTAAATTTTAAAAGTTAAGAGATTGTGACGGTCTTAATCTCATAATTAAAAAATATATAAATATTATATTATATATATATGTGATATATTTTTTATAAATAAAATTTTAAAATTTTAAAATCAAAATAAATAATATTTCACGAATTAAAATTAAAAGTAGGTGCCTACAGTCTTAGCCCCTGGCCCTGACCCTAGCTGCTGGACTCTCAATTTTCACACGCTAAAATACTTTTCTCTCTGCATTTGATCCACGCCCACTGCTCCAATTATGTTCAATCGAAAACGCTCTTTGGTCTAAAGCAAAGCTACTAGAAAAAGCAGGGACAGTAAGCAGCAGTAGCTACCAATTTCATTATTTCATATATATAAATATATATTTGTATACATACATGATTGAAAAAATTTACATTTAATATTTTAAAATATGATATAAATATAATATAAAATATAAAAATAATATGATTTAAATTTTTAATAATATTTATATTTAAATTTAATAAAATAAAATATATATTTTATATTTTTATATTAATATAAATTATAATATATAATTTTTATATAAAATATAACATAAATTTTAAAATTTTAAAATTTTATGCCATATAAATATATGAATCGCGAAAGAATGTACCTATATGTGCATTATTATCCACATTTTGAAATACAACCTTCATGTTACACTTTTTATCTACTAAGATTTGATTGCACTGAGATCTTACTTGATTACCAAGTGTTTTAATTATGAATTTTGGGACATGAGATTAGCAATTTTTTCATGGCTATTGCCTTTTTCTTGTTCAAAGATTATACAATGTGAACACTATTAGTATAGTATATTGCAATTACTATAATCTTGATTTTTTTTTTAATGTGAAGTTGATGTGAGGGAAAGGCTAACATGTCCCATGGTTGCAGAAACTATAGTTAGTGTATGTTTGGGACAGCTGAGCCCACAAAAATATGAATGATCATCCATCAGCCACATAAATTTCACTTGGCATACTAGTAGACTATTTGTACTTTAGTAATATCTCTCCAATAATTTCACGTTCATGTTTCTATTCACATCAGCCACCTCTTTTAATGATAGAAAAATATAAATAAGCTGACAATGTAAAAATATATATGAGAATATAATATAAATAAAAAATATGAAAATAATATAATATAATAATTATATATAAATTTAATAAAATAAAAAATACATTTTTTAGTATTGATATAAATTATGACATATAATTATCGTGTAAAATAATATATAAATACATAAATTTTTTAAACATTTTAAATTTTAAAAAAATATTGTAAGTGATACAATGTAACTTACAAAGTGTATTTACAAAAGAAAAAAAAAAGATAAAATGTCTTATACTAAACTAAAATTATTTATTTGAAATATTTTCAAGCTTTTATGGTTGTGGAATTTAAATAAGCTATGATCACATTATAAGAAAAAAATTTTAAAAAATCATTTTTTCGTAATTGAAGTTTTAAAACGACATCGTTCTAACAACTTCCTGTAGTTCTTTTCTTTTCTCCATTTTTTTTCTCAGATTTCGACAATCGGGCGTCAGCTCCCTTTCTCTCACGTTTCTCTTTTGAGATCTGAATCTAAAAAGAATCACTAAAATGGATGATCCGCCAAGTCTAAACCCGAACCCTGATCCAACAATTCCCTCCAATGCATCATCCACCACCGTAAAGACGCCGTCTTTAGCCAAGCCAACCGCATTTCGAGGCTCTTACCACAGGCGAGCCCAGTCCGAAGTACAATTTCGGATCCCGGACGACTTGGATCTCGTGTCCGACCCTTTCGAAGGGTTGGGATCCGAAGATGACCTGTTTTGTAGTTACATGGACATTGAGAAGCTAGGGGGATCATCGAAGGGAGCGGACGAAGGAGGGGGGGCTGCTGGGTCTTCGAGTGGTGGGTCGGGTCAGAACCCGAAAGGAGAGGAAATGAGTGGTGGGTCGGTGATGGCGGAGAAGCATAATGCAGGAGGGAAAGGAAGGCATAGGCATAGTATTTCGGTTGATGGGTGTTCGATAATGGAGTCGATTGAAGCTAAGAAAGCTATGGCTCCTGATAAGCTTGCTGAATTGTGGACTATTGATCCAAAGAGAGCTAAAAGGTTTGGGAATTACTTCCTTTTTTAGTGAATTTGGGTTTTGGCACTTATGAGATTGTAGAAAAAGTTGAAAGTTTGTAACTTTTAGTGTAAAGCTTGTGTTTTTGTTTGTTCTCGGTAGATTATTAGGGGAAATTATTAGAAGAACGTAATATCTTTTTGTTTAAAGAATTTGTATTTTTGTTTTTTTGTTTTTGTTTGAGGACGGTTTTATCCTTTTCTGTTATTTGTTTTCATGGGCATTATGATTGTTTCGTTGAAGTGATTTGTTAATCTTTAATGGTGAAGTTGACTTTTTTTGGGCCGTTTAGGAAGTAAAGTGAGGACCTTAAGAATTTGGAACTTGGAAATATATATATATATATATATATATATTTGGGAGGGTGAAATTTGAAAGAAATTGGGAGTTATTTAGAACAAATGAATTTTATGTAACTAATAATTGATGTCAATATATGAGTTTTTCCCAATTCTAGGTTCTTTTTATGGATCATGCATATGCTTCTTAGCTCATTCTCTTATTTCATGGGCATTATGGTTGTATTTTAGACAATGTTTTTTTAATAATGTAGTGCTTCAGTGGACTTTTCTCACCCCTTGATGAATGGAGTTTTCGATATTTTAGCAAGTTTAGTTTCATAGAAATTCTTAAGAGTATGCATTTCATGAACCAAAATTCATGTAAACTATCAGGTGTCTTCTATTTACCTGTGATTTTTTATGCGAAATGTTTATTTGGCTTTTTCTTTTTTTTTTTTTTGGAGAAAACACACTATAAATGTTTTTCTAAATTTTGGTGATTTGTTTTGAACTATGATTAGGAGATGGAATAAATGCTTTCTGAATTATTGAAGTAACCATAATTACGAAATGGCATAATTGTTTTAGTAAATAAGATCAGAATTTGCATTGTGTCATCTCTATTTCAAATCGCTAAGTAATTTTGTTTGTCTAGGGGAATTTAAGCATATTAGTGGACTGTTTCATCATCTAATGTTGTAATGGTATGGTCATAAGTAGGGCGTATTTCATGTGGGTATCACTAAACATTTGCTTCATAGATACTAACAAAATTCATAATTGATTAATTTGATAGGCTTGTTCTTGATTGTAAACTAATTGATCATTTCACTCTTTGTCCTAAATGATTGTTTAGTTTTTTTTAATAGTCTTATTTTATTCTTTTTAAAATCTGATAATCAGTTATATAATAATTTTTTGTCATGGCACACCTTGCCTTTTAAAAGTTCTGGTCTATAAGGCCAGTTTTGTCACCATATTTCATTCTGTACTGGGATGCCATTACCATTAGTATAACCAAAGAGACTGATAGGCAGTTATGATTTCGTTGAAATCATAATTGAAATATTTCTCCATTTTGCACATTTGAATGCTGTTGGTTTCATTTAAGTTTTAATCTCTGGGGAAATGAGCTGTTCTTTCCAAACTTTGGAACTTTCAATAATGGGTTTGGTAAGGTGACGTGTGCACAGATTTTCTATATTAGGTATGTGATGACATTTTTTTCGTTCATGTTTTCTAGTGTTCGAGAGCCTCTGAACTCAACACATTTTTTTTACTGATAAGGTATATCTTGTCTTAAATACATAAGCATCCAGTGACATGGTTGAGTTAGAGCAGTTATCATCTCTCCAGTCAACACCCCTCATTCCTTAGTTGGAATGGAAATTATCTCCTGTAGATTTGACAATCTCATATTATGTGGTGAGATTTGGGTTTACATTCAAGTTTCCGCTAAGAAAGTACATAATTTGTGTAGGATCATTGCAAATCGGCAGTCAGCCACTCGCTCTAAAGAGAGAAAAGCCCGATATATATCTGAACTGGAGAGAAAAGTCCAAACACTCCAAACGGAAGCAACTACTCTTTCTGCACAACTAACCCTATTCCAGGTTTTTGTCAAACATTTACCCGTCTCTTTGCATAATTTTGGAGCTTCTTTATGGTGACTATTTGCTTTCCTTCGAATTGGAATTACAGATCTACATATTAAATTATCAACATTTGGCGATTCTACTTTCTTATAAATGAAAAGCTTTTTTGCATTAAGGGCTTTCGTTCTTGGTTCATTCTTTTATTGTGGATGTGGTTGCACATGCTTCTGATTCTCTGTTAAAGGCATCTGATTATCTGAAATTTCTTTTACTTTTGGATATGTTCCATCTTATGTTGCCTTTTTCTTTCTTTATTGACTAACACCTGAATGTTAATAGCCTTGATTCTTGTGTTCTACTATAGAGAGATACAACAGGCTTGACTACTGAGAACACTGAGCTTAAGCTACGGCTACAATCTATGGAACAACAGGCTCAGCTACGTGATGGTATGTTATTCTCTCCAAGATGGCTTCAAAGGTGTATATATGTTTGATGGACATGTTCATTTGCTACACAAGTTAAGCAGTTTTTTTTGTTTTTTAACCACATCTACTCAATGATAAGAAACAAAACAAAATGGCATTGGACCAGTCAAAACTAATGATTCCCCTTTTAAGTAATGTTCTAGGCATTAATTTTAGAGCTCAAGCTTTGGCTAGCATTAATAATTGTCCATTTGCATGGAGATATCTGGTCATGTTTGTATCATGTCCCTGCTAGTTCTCTCATGAAAACTACTGCAGAGAGTTGTTCATTGCTGGGTATAGTTTTTCTCATTGTCCATTTCTGACTACAGCTCTAAATGAAGCACTGAAGAATGAAGTAGAGAGGCTCATGATTGCTACTGGAGAAATAATGATACCGACAGATACTTATAATTTGGGAATGCACCATATACCATACACCCAATCTTCTTTCTTTCCTCACCAGCCACAGCAAATGCAAGTCGACACCCAGAATATACAAATGCCACCATTTCATCCCTTCCAATCTAACATGTTGACACCTAATAAGTCTGTGGTAGCTAACTCACATGCCTTCGCCGGAATGATGCAACAGGATCCTCTTAGCCGATTGAAGGGGCTTGATATCAGCAGGGGTTCCCAGTTAGTGAAATCTGAAGGCCCCTCAATTTCTGCCGGTAAAAGCAGAGGAACAGTATGATACAAATTTTGCTAATCTACACCTTGCCCTGGCCTATTTGTTGCATTGTTCATAGACTGACCTTATTGACATCGAAAGGTACTATTTGATTGAATGCAATTCTTTTAATGTGAATGGGATTTTAGTTTTTCTCCAGCTTTGCTAGGTCTTCAGATATTCAAGATTCTTTCCTTGTGGGTTCAAATTCATTTTTTTGGAGCAATGATGTGGGAATAGAAGTTTGATCCCTAGGAGTAGATTAGTGCAACATTTCCAAACCAGCTGTTCCCATTGTATCGATGGTTAAGTATCTTCAAATTGCTTTTGTTTCAGTTGACGATTCACTCTCCCTCTCGAATAGGTGTGTGTACAACTGTAAATGTATCAGGCTATCTGATTGTAGTGCCCTGAGTTTTTTGATTTCCTGGCTCGGTTGAACCCTCAAGGATAATAGAGGCCTTAGTTGCCATTGCTTGTCACTTAATAATTTGGTCTGATTACTTGTGACTTGTGAATGCATCATCGTGGTGATCTATACTCTGTTGAGAGATATCTTAGAGTTACAACTTTGTTCATTCCTTTGTTAGGGTGCACATGGTTAAGCAAGAGTCCACTTTCTTTTCTTTTCTTTTCTTTTTATTTATTTATTTATTTATTTTATTTTTACATATGGGAAGGGGAGGTACAAGAGGGATTGAAGATTCGAATGTTGGATCAGAGTCACAAAAATCTATGACCATTTGCTAGTCTGAATAGATTTGTTATGCTCAAAAGGTTAAAGATCTCAAATGCTAACGATCTTGGACACCAACTTGTTATCTTAGCTTAGCCCATGAGGTAAATTGAAAAGCCTAACCCCACACAATAACACATCAAAATGTAGTAGTTTTAATGATTGGCTTTTGCATAATCCAATCCAAATCTTCGTGGGCATACACAAGACAAACCATTCCTCTGCATTTCCAAGAAGAAGGAATAGTGGAATACGATAATTAAACACTGCAGCAGCAGCAGCACTATTATTTTCATTTCAACGGAATATAGTAGAAGGAATAGTGGAATACGATCAGCAGCAGCAGCACTATTATTTTCATTTCAACAGAATATGGTAATAGAAGCTATTGCTGAGCTGTAGCTGCCACTGCTGCTTAGCTGAAACCCTGGCAATTATTTTCTCCAACCCGCTGCAGCCTGTATAGATAGTGGCTGCCGGCTACTGCTGCTTTACTCTTTGTTTCCTCTCAGTGCACCCTACAAAGATTGTTGAAGAAATATGACTTATAATTTCTGTAAACTCAGCATTCACTGCTATATATATAGCAATCTAATGCTTCCAATTTCCATTAGCAAAAGGCAATTTCAAATCTTGTTTTTTTTGTTTGTCTAGTATAGTCTGGCTATCAAAATGGGTTATCATTGATCAGGAAACTTACTGAGAGCAGTCAGGATTCAGACTCGTAATACGATAGCCGATGTTGACTTTACACATAACTGGAAGCCGTTGAACTTGATTGAAATCGAGCCTATGACGCATACGAAACTGAGCACCAAGATTCTTTAAGCAATTGCAAACTTGTCGTCGAGCTGCAGTATTCTTGGCTTTGGAATTCAGTGAACGAATGCCTGTGCAACAATGCCCGAATGAGCTCCTGGTCGCCAAGTATGTCACGCACGGCATGAGCATCTGACTCACCTCAGGGCAAGTTTGAGCATGAACCAATATAGGAGCATCAGTCATCAAGAATATAAGCATAAATGTGCATATAAGCTTGCAGGTCAGAGAGCTTCTAGACATGATTACCATTACCTCTTTCGCAAACAATGGGATGGTTGAAACTTGAACGAATTTAGCCAAAAATGTGAAGTCCTCCTGAGAAGAGCTAGATCTTTATTGAAACATGGCAATTATTGTGGTTGTTGGGACTGGTTTGGAGCATTTATTAAATGGCCATTCTCACAGGAACATTTTGAAAAGTCCTCAGACAGACATTATCATATGGAAAGGTAAGGAAACTTACAAACTTCTTCGAAATCATTCACAACACAGTTTCTAGTTGCAGTTTTGAGTGATTTTCACAAGCAAGAAATGCTTCCATTTAGGTTTAACAAGGTAAAAACTGTTTGGAACACGAAATATCAGTAACAGAATGATTGAATTAGTTCAAATGTCTGCGTAGAAAGTGCTGGTAAGGGCTCCATATATTGTGGTAAGTGGACCATGGCAGTTACTATGGTTGTTGGGAGACCTTGGAATGCTATCAAACTCTTTATACATATTGCAACCAAGCATTGGTCGACTAAGGTCGTGAAAGCTAGTCAAATATGAAGGATTTTTCAATCAGATTTACTAAACAAATTCTTTCTTTTTCTTCTTTGTTGGTGTATATATATGTAAACACGTATGGAAACAGGCAAAGGGTCTGGATCAGAAGTAAACTGGAGTTGTATGTGTGCACGCCTAAGGGTGGAGGGTTGTGGCTGAGGAGATCAGAATGCAGGAATGAGGCTTCTGATTTAAGACTAATTTGGTGTCTATCTGCTCATCTGCTTCCTAATAGATTGCTTGGGGTTACATATCTTTATTTGAGAAATAGATTACATGGTCAACTTAAGTGCCGAGTAAGTGCTCCTATAGCTGGAGGAAGATTCTTGAATTTACGCCGGAAATCCAATTAAATATGACACAGCATTGTTGATGGGGCTTCCTTCTATTTTTCTATCACATGACAATTGACATGAGTTGGGTCCTTTGTTTCTCAAATTTGGGCCTAAAGAGTGTTCATGATGCAGGGATTAGTTGGCATGAGAGGGCTTTGCCCTTGGAATGTTGTCAATTATATTACCTACGGACTTAATATTCTGTTTGAGAAGAATATTAAAACACTTTTTGCTACTTTAATTTAAACAGAACGCTTGTTGCTTGAAGAGACCCAATCTGTTATTAGACTCAGAAATTAGAATTGAATTTTCTAGAGAATGTTGCAAGCTGTTGCATTAAATATCACCTTTGATCTAGTCGGAGAGTTGCTAGCAATGTCCTAATCTGTGCTTGCCGTTGGTTGATGCAGTTTTCTGCTTTGTAGGGACAAGCTTCCACTTACGTGTTATCAACCTCTCATTCTGGTAAAATAAAAAGTAAATAGTAACAATAGTAACTCAAAATTTTGGACTCTCTTTCCATTCCGTTTGACATTTTCAGGATAATATTTCACAAATTAAGTGTGAATTTCCACAATTTATTCTCATGCAACATCGAATACTAGTGTCATTAAAAGTTTATCAAAGAGTTGAGGCTTGACTATAAGAATATATATATATATAGCCAAGTTTGTGAATGAGAAAAACACTGAGCTTTTCCTTTTACATTCACAATAAGTTGATTATCAATCAGTTCTGTTAGAAAGGCAAATTTTTTCACCATTGAAAACATATTTTTTCAATAGGACACAAAATCAGGGTTTAGGCTACCAAACTTAACTACCTTGCCACTTGCAAGGGTCTCAGCAGCCCCACAATCTGAGCTTCCAATTAAATGCACGTGGCAGGGTGCTGAAACTTTTAGTTAGAACTGCTTTATGATGGAACTTGGTAGCCTCAAGTGGGTCTGTTTTGAGGCTGATGTATGTGACCATGGTTTCTAAAGACCATCAGAAGGTTACCCTTCACTTGGCTCTGAGTTAATGGATAATGGTCCCATTTTCCATGAAGATTGTAGGGAGATGTTAGCCTCTTTGCAAGTGGGACAAAGAGACAATCCCTTGTGGAGGGCACTCTCATTGGCACCTAACACACAACATTTGGATAAAACCCACATGACCTTTTTGTGGATCTCATTTCAAGCTTTGATTAATGTTGTCCCTAGGAAAATTGCCCTGAGAGCTTTATGGTCACAAATCTTAATCCTACCGATATAGCAACGGAAGACAGATTAAATATAGAAAATCCCATACCATTTGATTTTTTTAATCCATTTTTTTAAATTAAAAAAGAAAAGAACTTTGAAAAACTAATTGGAAAAAAGGAAAATCTGAACTGTTGATGCTGGCAATGCCAAATCAAGATATGCGTTACATGAAAGAAATCGTCATAGTTCTAACTACTAAAATCTGCCCTCTGGTCTGCCCTCTTCCACTTGTTTCTATTAGGCAAAAGAAACAGATCAAAAATTATTGTTGCCCCCATGCAGGATCGAACTACAGACCTTCAGTTTACAAGACTGACGCTCTACCACTGAGCTATAGGGGCTTTGACATTCGGCAGCCAAAAGTTCAGATCTATAACATTAATTAACAATACAAGAACTTCAATCTGTTTCTTTTTCATATTTTAAAATGAACTTCAATCACTGGGATACTGATATTTTTATTTTATTTTCACATTGTCATCTAGGAGATTTAGGGGGATGGGGATGGTTGGGATCAAATTCATGCCTTACATTCCTTCTTTAGGTTTCTCAATCACTAGGCTAAGAAGCAGAAAGCCAGAACTTGGAATTTTAAGATTATTATACGAAGTATAATATTTTTTTAATGCATTAGGAATCGAAATATTAACTGTGAATTGATACATTTAATGAAAAAATAATACTATAAATAGAATATTAATTAACCTCAACAACTGTCCTAAAACACTCAATAAAATCCTTCCTAATTTGTTCAACATTTTTTATCAACAAGAGAATGACTCCAACTTATAATTTTACTGTTTATTAGAGTATCTTGGCAGAGATGCTCATTGAAATGTTAAAAACAACCTCATGTCACCTTTCCAATATTCCATATTTTCAATATGAAATAGACAAAAATCTTAAGATATGGTGAAAAGAAATTGTAGCACAAAGCATGATTCTCAATCAACATCATGGGGTCAATATCTCATATTATGAATATTTTTATTGCTTTGTTTGATTTTATTTAATCTTATATTATTATCAGATTACAATTCAAAACCACTCAAATTCATATGAAAATGATGCATGAATATAAGGGACCGCGAACCCCGGCTCTTGCATGTGCTCCCTAACATGGTAGGGACCCTTCATCACTAATCAAATCTTTTTATCAGAAATCTTTAAGCCTTTTCTTCCTCTTTAACATATGAAGATTCACAGTTTGATCATTGTGAAAAGCTACAAAACCTCAATGTTTACAAAAATTAATCTCCCACGTATGGTAATGATTTCAATCATCGATCAATGATGACAAAAACCCAAGTTTCTGAGTTCTGATATATCGCCTGCGTGTGAATCTGATACTGTATAATGCTAATCAATCAGGTTAAGCAAAGTCATATTGCTAATGTATTTAATTAATGAAAGTTGTTTGTATTATAATTACCGACAAAAGATTCTTTAAGTCACCATCCATAACGATCGATTGATGCTCATCAGCTCATGTGTTAAACTAAAAAAAATGGTTGGTATGGGAAAATAAATATAATGATTCTTGGACATGTACCAGAAACGAGGTTTTAAGATCAGATGCTCATTGCTTTCAGGTTGGCAAGCTTTCGCTGTTATAAGCCAATTGTTGTAACATATGGGAGGACAAGCAGGAAACCTAATGGGATTTTTATCTTCTACATTCAAAGCCTATGAAAAACATTAAGAATACATTTTCACATGTCCAGACCAGACATGTCCTTGTTACTGATTTGATTTCCCATATTGAATGCCTTGATGATCATTAATTCACCACAGACAGCAATTTTACAATGTGTGAAAGCGAAAGGGTTTAAAATGACTTAGATTGAAGTCTTAAAACAAAATCATTACAATGTGCCCTTGACTAATTCTGTTGCTTCCTTTTGGGGGTTGGATAATATTCCTCTAGAGCCACCAAATTAGACCTGAAAAAAAAAAAAAAAACCAATGTCCCCAATCAAAGGCAATAAAAAGATTTCTCTGGGGCATTGGCGGGATTTCAGGTAATTTAAGGAGAAAATTCCACAAAACTACACGTAAAGAAGCATTATTAGAAGAAAACAAAAGGGAGAGCAGTTAAAAGGAGTAAAGATAATAAGATAAAAACCGAAAGGAGGAAGGGTTGATAAACGCATGTGCAAGTGGGGGCCATGAGGCCTAGCGGTTGGTAGTCTTAACTGGAACATTTGCATGTGCAGACTTTGATCCTTGTATATGACCTGAAAATTTGAAAATATGTTGTCGTGTCCTTGGCTTTTTTTCTTCAACGTGAGGATTGCTTGCTTGTCTCTTCTTCCTATCCAAGTCCACATTGCACCGGGCCCCATTCTTTTTACTTTATTTCCTATATAAACCCTCTCTTCCTTCCCTATGTCACAAGCATCCAGCACTAAACACACCAGCTTTTTAATTAGCCTTTCTCTCCCTCGCCGCTCACTTCAACTAGTATTATTCACAATGGCAATAGCAGCATTGTCTGCAACTTCTCTTCTGCTTTTTGTCTTTAATTTTTGCCTGCCTGGTGCCTTTGGTGACTATGGGGGAGGATGGCAAGGTGGCCATGCTACATTCTATGGTGGTGGTGATGCATCTGGCACAATGGGTAAGTTTAGGGAACTTTTGTCATTTTATACAAAAGGAAATAGAGGAAAAAGGGAAACAAACTTAAAGGTGTGGGGCAATGAAAAGTTAAAGGAAGCTATAATAAGATTATGAGGCTTTGCCCAAGTGGCTTATCCATCTCTTTTACGAGTTGAATTCTAATAAGGTTGGGCTTCAATCACAGCCCTTGCATGGCACCTTTTGGAATATATATATATATATATATATGTATGTATGTATGTATGTATGTATGTAATAACTTGTTGTTTCAAGTCCTTTTGTGCACTTCCAAAATTGCAATAATTAGTAACTTTAAATGGTTTATAACTTCTAAGTTTACTTAAACTAAGAGTTAGTTTTCCTTTGGCTTCTTATATGCACTGCTGCTATTTCAGGAGGTGCTTGTGGATATGGCAACTTATATAGCCAAGGCTATGGAACTAACACTGCGGCACTTAGCACTGCCTTGTTTAACAATGGATTAAGCTGCGGTTCTTGCTATGAAATGAGGTGTGACAATGACCCCAAATGGTGCCTGCCTGGATCAATAACCGTCACTGCAACCAACTTCTGCCCTCCTAACCTTGCTTTGTCCAATGACAATGGTGGCTGGTGCAATCCTCCTCTCCAGCACTTTGACTTGGCTGAGCCTGCCTTCTTGCAAATTGCTCAATACCGTGCTGGAATTGTCCCCATTTCATTCAAAAGGTAATAATTAACAACCCTTACGATGAAAAATTAGTTAAAAATAGTCATTTTACTAAGATATTTTGATTTAAAATATTGATCGAGTTCATCTCAATAACATATTTATGTTGGTGCAAACAGAGTCCCCTGTATGAAGAAAGGAGGAATCAGGTTCACAATCAATGGTCACTCTTACTTCAACTTGGTCCTGATCACCAATGTTGGAGGTGCTGGAGATGTCCATTCAGTCTCAATCAAGGGCTCCAATACAGGGTGGCAAGCAATGTCAAGGAACTGGGGCCAAAACTGGCAGAGCAACTCCTACCTCAACGGCCAAAGTCTGTCATTCCAAGTCACCACAAGCGATGGCAGGATTGTGACCAGCTACAACGTGGCACCAGGAAATTGGCAGTTTGGACAAACATTTGAGGGTGGCCAGTTTTAGAGTTTCAGGAAATGGGAAGATGTGTATGTAATAGCCATTGTTTGAGACGGGGGAAGGTATAAAAGGGAGAGTTAGGGTAGGAGAGGCTCAGTCCCACTATGGCTGTCTATTGCTGAGGTGGTAAATTGGCACCCGCTAGGCCTTTATATATTTTTACTCAAGGATTGTGAGCTATAGTTTTAAGTAAACAGGGATATTCCATTGTTTTGGCTTTTGTTTAATTCATAGCCATTAATGAATATCAAATTAAAGGTTTCTTCACTTCATTTCAAAGTTTACCTTCATTTTTTTTTATACTAGTTTATATGAATTTGACTATAGATCCCAAATTGAAGGTTTCTTTTGCTGCATTTCTCAATATAAATTGGAAATTTTCAAACAGCAAAATTTTTTTAATTAATCCAAAAAACTACAACAACAATTTTAGTAAAAAATGCTTAAGCAAAGACACCTTGTTTATAACTATGGTGGGGGGTGGAGGTGGATTAGTCGAGAAGGAATGAAATAAAGAATTTGAAATTTTTGTTAGTATTTTAAGATGTGGGCAAGGGCAAAGAAATAAAGAATCCTATGCCAGCCGCCAGACACCCAACGACAGAGGTGAATACAGATGGAGAATCGAAAGGGAAAAACGAGAAAGAGAACATGATTTTCAAGGAATGGGTTATCACCATCGATTTGGGGATGGGTTTTGGGATAAGTGTGACACTTCAATCTTATTTTCGAATGTTACGAAAACATGTTATAATATATAAATAAAAATTTAAATTTAAATTCAAGAAATATTTTTTATGAAATAAAAAAATAAAATATTTAAATTAAAATAAATAATATCTCATAATTAAGTGTAAATTTTAATTAAATATTATATATGGAGTAACTTGTAAAATTTTAATATTTGATATGTTTTTGATTACTTGATTTTATATATATATTAATGTGATTTTGATTATGTAATTTTATATATATAATTTTATATTTTTGTGTGCTTTTTTATTTGATTTGACAAAAACATTAAGTTAAGAATGAAATATTATATGATATACAGATATAAATTTATTTTTAGAGTTTGAACCAAAGGATAAACTAAGCAAGAGAGAAAGAAAGATGCAAGTACGTCTTGGAGCGTATGAAACTCAGGATTTCTGAATTTTTTTAAAAATTTATCTGTGAAAAATAATTTCCACTTCATCTTTGTACACATGTATGCCACACCATCAAATGCGATTTATTCGACACAAAATAATATATTTTGGGACTAAATTGACTGACACCAAATATTCAAATTCTTGGAAATGTTGAGCGGTTGGAGAACATCAACACCGCTAAATTATAGTTAAAAGGTAAGGTGGATGGGTTTCAACTTTCAACCATTAACTGAGAAAGAAAAATTGTCTTCAGTGATTGCTCTGGTTGAGTATGCCTCTCCTTCACTTCCATAGGAAGAGTAGTCTTCAACATCACAATCCCTTTCTTTCAACTCTGCAATCTTCTGCACAGCTTCTTTCAATTCCCACCTCTTCTCTACGTTCCATTCACAGCAGCACATCCCAATCTTCAACAACTTCAACATCTCACGTTCCTTATTCCTGGTACCCTTCATGTCCTTGTCAAAAACCTCACCTGTCCATTCTTCTCTCACAACTGAGTTCACCCAAGTTGCCAAATCAGCATTGCCCTTCCTGCCTTGTTTCAAGTAGTTGGCTGGGAACTTACCTGTCAGCAGTTCAAGTATCAGTATTCCAAGGCTCCATACATCCGTCTTTTTTGTTGTTCGGTCGTCTTGGGTGCATTCAGGGGACTTGTACGCCACCATGAACTGTTGAGCGTGCTCTTTGTTTATCACTGGAACTAAGCCATAGTCAGTCAGGATGGGCTCAAAGGTATGGTTCAGAAGCACATTGGAGGATTTTAGGTGTCCATGGGGTAGTGTCAGGCTAGAAAGCTCATTGTAGAGGTAAGTCAAGCCCTTTGCTACTCCTTTGATGATCTTCAATCGAGTTGGCCAATCAAGCCCCGATTGACCTGCAGCACGCCTAGCTGAGGAAATTAAGCCGAAAACTTATATTAATTGAGATCTTGTTATAGAATTAAAACTAATTCCAAACCAAGGAATCTCGAAAAGGGAGAGATCGTACCATGAAGATGGCTAGCCAGGCTGCCATTTGGAACAAAATCAGACACCAAAAGCTTCTCTTCTTTTCTGTAATAGAATGCCACAAGGGAAAGCAGGTTAGGGTGGGATAACCTTCCAAGTCTTAGCATGTGCTCACGGAAGTCTTCCTTGCCCAAATTGTTCATTTGCCTAAACCTCTTCACAGCCATTGCTTGCCCATTCGGAAGGACAGCTTTATAAGATGACCCAAAGCTCCCACTGCCCAGCACCTCAGCTGAGGCCTTAAGCAAGTCCTGCAACTCAAACCTCTCCCTGTCATTCCTAACAAAATACAGTTTTGCATTTTCAGCGTTTTTGTAATGATCAGCTGATTGATCTTCTTTCTTGCCCACAATATTACCGGCTTTTTTCGCTTGGACATTTTTTACTTGGGATGCTGTGGTTGGATCATGGCGGCAATAGTAAACAGCAGAAATAAGAACTAAGGCAACCACAGAACCTGTTACGACGATGATTATTAAGATGGTCTGTGTCTTTGTCGAGGATTTGCATTGGGGCAGTGGCTTCCCACATAGGCTGTTCCCTGATCCATGCAAAAATCTTACATGTAACATAACATATTCAACAGCCACCTCTAATTAACTGGTTAGTCCATGCCCCAAGGGCTTGATCTTGGTTAAAAACTTGTTACTGCTACAGTTAAGAAAATAGCTATTAAAAAAAGATTAAATTGACTTTCATCGGATCAACATCCCATGAGGAAAGTGCTAACTTGGACTAGCACCAATCCTTGTTATAATCAGTAATTGACGAATTATGAGATACGGCATCAGATATATATGGTATATTGCATAAAGTTGAAGAATATGAATTCGAAATCTTCTATAACTTTGTTTTTTTTAACAATAGTATAGAACTTTGAAATTTACTTGGAATAGAAGGCTTGTTATTTAGCATTGGGGTGAAAACCAGAAATTTGATTAATGGTGATAAAGACTAGAAACTAAAGACTAACTAATGTTAGCATCATATCATATACTATATATTGATACCTGCGAAGAAGCTTGAATTCATGTTGCTCAACCTAGATGGTATCCGACCCTCGAGCAGGTTATTAGCTAGATTAACCATAACCAGACTGTTCTGCTGAAAATCCGGTATTCGTCCATCAAAACGATTCCCTTCAAGATTTAACTCCGACAATCTTGGCAATGCAGCAAGTGAGTTTGGGATTTTACCAGAGAAGTTATTCCGAGCCATATAAACCAGTTTCAAATTGTTCATGCCTGCAAAACCATCCTCGAGTATTTCACCTGAGAAACGATTGTATGACAAATACAAGACTCTCAAAGATGTAAGTTTGTTTACGTCCGGCAATCGACCATTAAAGCTGTTGTTCATAAAGCTTAAGGTACGCAAAAGCGACAACCCTGTCAGTGTGTCCACGTCGATTGCACCCATTAGACCCATATTTTCCAGCTTTAGTCCGAAAACTGACCCACTTCTGCAGCGCAAACCTGTCCAATTTGGAACGTCGCATGGACTTGGCCCTGTGTCATTCCAATCGGCTAGTGCAGGGCCATAATTGGATAAAGAGTTTTTAAACCTGAGAAGGATTTTGGCTTCAGTTTCACTCAATACTCCAATTACGAGGCATGTTAACATGAATAGCAACAGAAACCAATAATATGCTTTATTATGGCCCATTTTTCAGATGTGAAAGCTTCAGCTTTAGCCTGAAATTCAAAGAAAGCAAGAGAAGGGGAATGTTGAGGGAGGAGTCATGGAAGAGAAGACCAAGGACGACTAAGAACTTGATAAGGTGATAATCCAAAGGCCAAAGGGACAAAATGACATTGTGGGTGGGATTGACAAAGTTCCGGTGATGCCTAGCTGTCTGGCCGGCAACTTAATGCTCTGATTAATTATTAAGTGTTCGTCTCCTTCATTCATTCCATTTTTGGTGTATGTCTTAGCAAATTGTACCTATTCTTGGTTGACGTGTACCTGTGTGGCAACAACGTTGGTGCTTGTCTTTCTGAGGGATGGCAATGGGTATCTTATAATATAATCGGGTATCTTAGAGCTATCTGATTAAATAGAATTAATTCGATATCATGTACATAACAAGCTAGATTAGAGCAAGGTTGGGATATGTAATAAAAATATTATCATTACCCAAGTTAGTCCTTAGTAGGGACATTAAACTCAGGTAATAACGGTTTGGATATTATTCGATTCGATTCAGTTATTTAATAATATATAATATTATGAAATTTTGAAATTTAATTTGAATTCAAATTGATTTTCTCTTAAAATTGATTCAATTTGAATCGAATTCTGGTTGATTAGTTTTTAAATTTTAATTTTTTATATGTTATTTTTATAGGATTTTTAATATATTTAAATAGATTTATATATAAAATAATTATTTTATTTTATAAGAATTTAAAATATATATAAAAACTAATAAAAATATATAATTAAGTTTGGTTCGATTTTTTTTCAATTTTTCACATTCCATTTTGAAATTTGATTCAAATTTAATATATATATTTAATATTCAATTAATCCGAACCAAACTAAATACTATAATTTTGATTTTTTATTTTCTTGATTTTTATTCTCACCCCTACCATAGACAATATATTCGTTAAAATTATATTTTGGATCCTTGTTTGTGGATATTCCCTTGCTGCTGGGATTTTTGGAATTGTGAGTTTAACTAATACAATTTAACTTTATTATAAACAATTATATAGACACATGATGAAATATATAAACTTTCTGATGAACTCTTGTTGGATTTGGATCTAAATTAGAAAAAGTAAAATAAAAAAGACAATTTAATTATATTTGTGTAAACAATTTTGGATACTACTATGCAGGTTTCCATTTAATGATGATTGACCTAAAAAAAAAAAAAAGGATACAGTACAATTTATTTATAATTATTTTTGAATTAATTATTTGTATCTAAATCCGAAGACCTGTTTGATATTTGAGGAATTGAGCCAAGATATTAAACATGTTGAACAGATTTGAGTAAAAAACTAATTTTTGTTTAGAAAATGAGTTTGGCTGATCCCAACATTCGAGATTCAAATCCAATCCCGATTTGTCAGTCAAATGATATATATTATTTTTATATTTATATATAATATAATTTATATTTATAAAAAATTAATAGATATAATATTAATGTTGTATAAATATTAAAAATATTTTAATTATCCATGTTTTAGAATTTAATAAAAAAGCAAAGGTATAAAAAATTAAATAAAAATATCATGTTTTATTTGTCTAAATTTATTTTTAGAAAAGAAAAAATTATCTAGGTGCACATGTGTTCTATCATATATTAATTTAATTTGAATGTGCTTAAACAGAATTCGAGAGTCAAATTGTCATATCGAATCAAATTTGAACAAGCAATAAGATGTTGATATCATATTTAATCTGTTCGAGTATATAAGATTTTAAATTTAGTACACATGCATAATCCAATATATATATAAATATAAAATTAAGATGATGTAAATTATACTATCTAAGTAAAATATTAAATGTATAAAATTAATGTCAAAGAATATGTTTTTAATATTGCATGATGAAAGAATGAGCATAAACATATAATATTATATAATAGTTATAATTATTATTATTATTATTTTGGTTTGAGACCTTTTGATAGTAGTTATTTTGGATTTCAATTAATTCAAAATTGAGTCAAGTCGAATCTTATAAGAAAAATAAGTTCTCCTGACGCATGATTTTTTTATTCATAAAACTCAAAATCGAAATCTTATTTAAGAAAAATCGAACTTCTTAATCATTCAGACCAACTGATGTTGATATTATTATTAGTAGTAGTAGTAGTAGTCAACAACTACTTCATTGTGATTGAAATGAGGATGTTAATTAGCTTCCCCTTGTTTTGACCCGGAGGATCTGCTACATTTTTTGCAAACCTTGTGAATAACCTGTGTGGCCAAAATGAGATGAAAGCATTTGTTCTTAGCTGCTCTCATAGTTTTCGACAACTTTTGCCCACTTTGGTACTTGTCCAACACTTTGTCTTTGTAATTAACATCGTCTCTATGGTCCCAATCCATTTCAAAAACTTTTAATAATTCAACACCAAATAATGCCTCCCTTTCAACAATTTCACATGCTTCTCTTTTGTAAGGTGTATACAATGGAATGTTAAAAAGAATCAGCATCAGCCTCTTTTACAAGTCCATAAAATCAAATACGCACGTCAAATTTATATAATATTTTTATTTGATAATTAAGTAAACCAAGCCACAGGTTGGGTTGTTCATTAAGCCTGAGACTTTAGCAAAGAACTTTCAACTAAGGGTGATAATGGTTTAAAATAGATCAGATTTAATTCGATCTTTTTGAAAAATATTTAGTATTATGATTTTTAAAATCAGATTTGAATTCGAACAAATTTCTTTTGAAATTGATTTGATCCGAATCATATTTTACTTAATTTATAAAAATTTAAAAATATATAATTTGACTTGGTTTGAATTTTTTTTTATTTTTTACATTTCGATTCAAAATTTAATTCAAACTTAATATATTTATAAATTTAATATTTGAATTTGATCTAAACCTAATAAAAAAAATCCGAACTAAACCACGTATTACATAAAGATTCATTTTTATTTAATTTTAATCAAAAATATATATAAATAAAGTATTAGTAACTTTCTTGGCAGGCCAAAGGAGGTTGGTTGACTTTTTTCACTTGCAAGTCTCTTTTTCTCTCCTAAACATTTATGTAGGAAAAAAAAATGAGCTTCATGGGAAAAGAAAATTACCTCTTCAACCAAGTCAAGAAGAGATTTTGCTAGCAATTCAAAACAACAATCTTCACTCCAAGGATTTGGATTGTTTCTACCCAAGAAGGTAAGTACCATTCCGCCCACCAGGTATTAATTCTTCAGAGCGTGAAGTCAGAAACATTGAGAAATCCTTTTGAAATTGCTTATGCTAAGGCTTTAACTACATTGGCAGGACTTGACTTGATTTTGCCAGGTATATGTTTCCCTTGTTAGTATCTTTATGTTCCGGTGGAACCTAATCATTTGCTTAAATTCATAGAGACAAAATAGGTTACTATGCTTTAATAACAAGGCAAATGAAGATTAGCCCATTGATCTCCTTCTTGGACTAAGAAAATAACTGATTAATAATGGAGAATTGGACATAAAGCTGACCTTTGAGGGCCAATGAATACTAGTTGAAGAGTGTACAAAGTGAAGATTCGACTTGGAAAGAGTCTGCCATAGAAAGAACCTGGAATTCCTACTATAAAACAAGGCTTCAGTTTGTCTCCCGTCTTTTTCTCAAGCGTTTCATACAAAGTAGGGACTGACCGGAAAACGGCGTTGAAATCATTTCCTGGAAGATCATTTAGAAACACTCGAACCTCTGGAAATTTCACTTCTGCTTGTTGGTATATAATCCCATGGTTGGAGTCAATGACTTGAGATATGATGAGGAAGGTGTTAGGACCCGAAGAGCAACCCAAGTCTGCTAACGTGCTTGTTTGTAGAATTTTGCTGAACATTTCTTTTATGGTATCGTCTAGGATGGGCAGTACCTTTGATACTATTGTTTTCTTAAAGATTACAAAAAAAAATCTAGTCAATACTTGTCACGCCCCGAATCGAGGTATAACACGGTCATATTACCTTGAAGAAAATCTCAAAGTAATACGAAGCCTTATTTCTTAAATATTCTAAAATTCTTCAATAAAACAATATACCAAGTAAAATTCATATCTTTAATCCAACTGATGATATATCTTTATATATCCAAATACAAACCATATAAAATACAAAACTGCCTCTTAAAATCTCATTGGCCAACATATTCTCTAACAATTAAGTAATCATACTCATTTCATCTTCTAGCTTCACATAAGACTAACCAAACTTATCACTTAGTCATCTGTAAAGAAAAAGTAAAAGGGGAATGAGCAAACCACAACTCAGTAAGTATAGGCTCACACACCTTATCAGATCAAGCATCGTTTTCTTACACATCATATAGATCATTCAAAACATTCATCAAATCATAATATCAAAACATTTCAAGATCATCGTTTTGTCAAATATTTCATAAATTCATAAATCAATGTCAAAATATGTCACTTCATAAATCATTGTAAAATATGCTATCATTCAAACATCATAATCAAACCAAATCATGGATCAATCATTAAAAATCATCATTATCATAAATCATCATTATCATTCAAATCGTTAGCTACGGTCAGTGCTATAACCCGAGACATTGGTTGTATTGACAATTTTATTCTCATGATCATTACTAACTATTATAACCCGTTAGGCAAGGCGTACACTAACTACTATTACCCATTAGCCAGCGTCGTAGAACTAGCTCTGGTGTCGATGATCCCACTTCCCAGGGATGTAAAAAAACGTAGCCATCACAAAATCATTCTTTAATCATAAATCATTTTCTTATTTCATTCATAAGCATGATCCATCATTTATATAAAGAAACACAAAATAATCATATGCTTGATTCTATTTTCATATATCGAAAATAAAGAAATAAAACATTCATTCATTTAAAAACATATATATATATATATATACATAGATTTGAAAATAAACAAAGTGTGTGAGATTCTACTTACCTCCATTCGATTCCACCACTTAGTTTTTCCCCCCAAAATAATTAATGGCCTATCCAAGATCATTTCAATAGATCAGAATTTAATCAACCCTTTTTGAGACCATTTATACAAAAATCAACTAAGTTACACAAAGGGTTAACTTAACTAATTAATACTGGCAGCCTGATCTCTTTTCATTAAAACAGTCATATCTCAATATATACAAATCAGAATTATGATCTCTTTAATACGTTCGAAACTAGACTTAATAAGCTTTCTAACCATATATGGCACACCTCGTAATTCCTTGTAGATTAATTATAACAATTTTTGAAATCCACGTCATATACTGCTGCCAAACAGCCTATATACCTTCTAATAAAAACTATATATTTATTCACAGGAAACTCCAAATTCAATTCCGCTTGTTTTATTGGAAAGTAGACTCAATAAGCTTTCCAAATATATATGGCTTAATCTGTAAATCCTTGTATATAAATTAAGAAGAATTTCGTAATTCAACCTTGATGTTGTTGTCTTACAGCCTGCATATCCTTAAGTTAAAATTAGACAACTCTTCATAGAAAACTCGGATTTGACTTTCGTTTGTTTCATTAGAAACTAGATTCAACATGCTTTCCAATGATATATAATAATCATTGCAATAATCTATCCATTAATGCAAAATTCTATTTTAATTCATTATTACAAATCATAACATCTCATCCAAAAATAGAATTTCTCCTTCAATCTTTAAAAACTCAAATCCTTACTTTCAGCCTTCAAACTCTATTCAATAATCATCAATAAATCTTAAGAACATGAAATAAACAAAGCTCAGTAATTCACCCAAATAGATCATGAAGATTAATGAAAGATTTCATGATTTCATGATTTTTCTTAGTTTTGCTCTCAAAACTTTAACTCCAAATAATAGCAATCAACTTGATATTTCTTTTCAAATAAAAAGAGGGCATGTACTCACCTTTAAGGGATTAACTTGATAGTAGCCTCTGATTGTGAATCTCATTTTTCATATTCTCTAACCCTAAGGAAGATGAGGAAGAAGAACTTTATTTCTTTTCTGTTTCACGATAGTTAGGTTTCCTTTCATCTAATACTTCAATCATTTTTCTTTTACTAAATAATGTCTTAATAAATTGATGGGCTTTAGTATTAGTCTAATCCAATTATTATTTGGGCTGAGGTATTACAGTACTCAAGTTTATAAGTTAGTAAATACTCTATCAGAATTGATCAGATGATTTAAACAGGTGAAAGAGAGAAAGAGACTTGTAGAAGGGAATTGTTTGCATAGCTGATTTCTTTATCTCCTGGATTCATGCAACTGTAAACATGTTTTCCTTTTGTCAAAACTTGCTGTGCTGATTTGCTTGTGTTTTGGCAGCAAAACACAAGAAAAACCAGAGGAGTTTCACACAATCTGATATTTCCTTCACAGGCGCATATATCTTAACCTTTTTTCCAGCGGTAGGTTTGATATATAAGTTGCTATAAGTGCGTTTAACCCTGCACAAGCATATATAAAAACCAAACATGAGTTAGCTTAGTGCCAAAAATAAGCATATCAATAGATGTAATAATTCTTGTATTTATATCGTATAAAAATTAAAATTTACGCATTTATATTATGTTTTATATGAAAATTATGTATCATAATTTGTATCGATATGAAAATATAAAATATATTCTTAAATTTTTTTTAAATCTATATATAATTATTACTAAAATTTAAACTATATCACTTTTTTATTTTATATTCGTATTATGCATTGTATGGCATTTTATATTAACAAATTTATATATCATCAACATACAAACAAATGATCACAATAACAACTAATTTACTGTAAATGCATCCTCATTAATTTATAGAAAACCCATTAGCAAGCAACAAATTATCAAAATTTTTAAGCCAAAAGTTTTAGGAGCATGTTTAAATCCATTCATTCAAAGATTTAACAAGTTTTCATGTATACTTCATATGCTTATTAGCAGGAACTACATAACTTTTTAGGTAATGTTTAAGTTGATCCACGTAAATTTCTACTTCTAATTAAGTTACAATTCAAAAATGCATTTTTAACAGTGAATCACAAGTTTAAGCAGAGATGCTAATGCAATATGCCTTAGCCTAGGCATGGAAGAGAAGACCAAAGACTAAGAATTTGATGTAATGATGCAAAGGGACAAAAAGACATTGTGGGTGCGAATTATGGGTTTAACAAGGTCCATTTTAATTTTTATTTAAAAATAAAATAATTTTGTTAATTTAATATAATAAAAATATTATTTGATCTATTATTATTTTTTAATTATTTATTAACCAAATTATTATTTTATTTAAAAATAATTTAATAATTTTTAATAATTTATTAATTTTATAAATTTTTAATAATATTAATTTTATAAAATCCAAACTTAAAATATTTGAAATAAAAAAAAAACTCGAGGTAATCTAAATTCAAAAAAGTCCAAAACTGAGATGACATGAATTTGCAATGATCCAAACTTAAAAAACTAAAATTTATAATCCAAAAAAACTAGAACTATAACTATATTATTTTATTTAAAAATTAAAATGAATAAATAAATGATAAATTTTTTCTTAAACAAAAATTTTTTTCATATTAATTTAGTATATTTTTATAAATGATAATTGATACTTTTTTAATAATATATATTGTTCGTCCTTTGTAATTGGCTTACATAATTATATCAATTGTTAAAGTTAAAATGATCAAATATTAAAATTAGATCAATACTATATTAATTAATTTTTAGATGTCATAGTTTCTTAAAATTTTTAAGTATTAATTAGTAAGGTTAAACCGATTAATTTGTAGTTTAATTATGAACCATAAGAATTAAAACAACATAAAATCCCATGTGTTGTGCTTGAATTTTCAAGAGAACTATAAGATTTGGTTGCTTAACCTTTACTTAATCTAACATGCCAAGCTTCTTGCATCTTAATCTTTAATTTGTGACTGAAGGCACATAATAATAACAATAAAAATGTCCCCAAATCTTTGGTTTAGTGGTCAAAAACATTTGAAGAGACATTAAAATTTTAGTTTCGAGTCTTTCCCTTCTCTTTGCTTATACTAAGGTTATGTCCTTCTAATACAACAACAACAATAATAATAATAATAATAGTAATAATAATAATGATAAAAAAAAGAGTAGAAAGATCAAAAAATAATTAATTCATATAAAGTTATTAAATCGACCCAACTATATGTATTATACGAACGAAATTATTTAAAATTATAATATGAACACGATACCAAGACAAACCTTTAGAAATATCCTTTATCATCGAAAAATAAACATTATGTAACTTTATTGCATCGAAATACCTCTCCTTTTAGGTAGATTCTTTAGGAGAAGGAATTAATTTTTTTTTATTCTAATAATAATAATAATAATAATATTTAAGCTCACTACTTCTTGGTGAATGAAATGAGAATGTTAACCGTCTTGCCCTTGTTTGGATCACCTAGATGCTCGGCAACACGTGTTGCAAACCTCGTGAATAACCTGTCAATTATAGCGTCTCCAAAATGGAAAGAAATCATTTGTTCCACAGCTGCTCTAATTGTATTCGAAAAGTATTGCCCACTTTGGCACTTGCCCAACTCGCTGTCTTTGTAATGAACATCGTCTCTAGGATCCCAATCCACTTCAAAAACTTTCAGTTTGTCAATACCAAACGATCCCTCCTTTTGAACAATCTCACATACTTCTTCTTTGTGAGGTTTGTACAATGGAAGGTTAAAAGAATCAACACCAGCCTCTTTTACAAGCCCCTACAACCAAATATATAGACACATGCATTGTATAAAATTTTGATTTGGTAAATGGGTTTGGGTTAATGAGTTGAATGGGAGATGAAAATTACCTGTGCAACCAAGTCAACAAGAGTTTTTCCTAGCAATGCAAAACAACAATCTTCAGCTTCAGTACAGGGATTTGGGTTGTTTCTACACAAGAAGGTAAGCACCATTCGCCCTCCAGCTATAAGTTCTTGGGAGCGTGAGCTTAGAAACTTTGAGAAATCTTTTTGGAATTGCTCTGCATAGGCTTTAACTACATTGGCAGGACTTGATTCCGCTATGCATATGTTTCCCTTGTTGATATTCTTAACTTCCGGTGGAACCTAACCATTTACTCAAATTCAAATTCAAAGAGACAAAACAGGTTACTATAATAATTAAAACAAACTATAGCAAATGAAAATCTGTAAAAATATGTAATTGATTGACAACGGACAATTGGGTACATAATGCTGACCTGTGACAGCCAATGAAGACTATTAGAAGAATGTATAAAATGAAGGCTTCGGCTTGGAACAAGTCTGCCATAGAAAGAACCTGGCACTCCCACTATGAAACAAGGCTCGAGCATGTCTCCTTTCTGTTTTTGAAGTCCTTCGTAGAAAGTAGGGACTGATCGGAATATTGCATTGAAATCATTTCCTGGAAGATCGTTGAGGAACACTCTAGCTTCAGGAAACTTTAATTGTGCTTGTTGGCATATCCCATGGATGGAGTCAATGACTTGAGATATTATGAGGAAGGTGTTAGGACCTGAAGAGCAACCCAAGTCTGCTATCTCAAACGTGCTTATTGGGAAATTTTTGCTGAACACATCTTTGATGGTATCGTCTAGGGTGGGCAACACTTTTGATATTATTGTTTTCTTAAAGATTAACACAAGAAAATCTAGTCAATATTCAAGTTTATGATGACAGATAATTTAAATAAAATAATAGTAAATGTAAAATATGTCAAAGAGAGAAAGAGACTTGTAGAAGAGAATTGTTGGCATAACTAATTTCCTTATATCCTGGATTCATGCAATGAACGTAATTTGCTGGAAACATGTTTTCCTTTTTCAAAACTTGCTGTGCTGATTTACTTGCTGAAGCCTGCTCAAGCTCATATACCTGAAGACTGAGAGCCTGACTCTGACATATATCTCAGCTATAATCTATTGGATCCTTCGCTTCCTAACTAAATATTGAAAGGATAATGGGCTTTTAGCCCTTGGATTCCATCACACTTTCGAGGTTGGAATCCAGTTAGGATTGAGATCGGTTTGCGTACCCATGCAGATTTTGTTTGTGAAAGAAAAGAAATCACAGCAATTTATGACAGCAAGAAAAGTATAAATTAATTTATACCTGGCACACTGGTCAAGATAAGATTAAAAGATAAAATTTTATGATTAATACATTATTTCTTCCGTTCTAAAATATTTATCATGCATTAATTTTTATAGAATTAAAAAAAAGATTTGATTTTAATACATTTAATAATGAAATTTAATTTTTTATAAAATTAAAATTTTATGATTTTTAATGTCAATAAATTTTAAAAATCATTTTAAAATATAAAAATAAGAATTTTAGATATTCGAAAAAGAAAATAAGATATAATTTTGAACTATTTCAAAAAAGAAAAATAAATAAAAAAATGTGATAGAGAGAGTACTTTTTTTAATTTAACGAAAACAATACATTAAATATAAAAAAATTTAGTTATATAATATTTTAAATTTTATAATATATTTTAAAATTTTAACTATTCTTAACTAATGCTTATAAGCAACTTTTTTTTTTTTTGATAAAGCATATAAGCACATGTTAAATGGGCGGGCAATTAACTTTGTTCGTACACATAAGTAATTAAATGCTGATGGAGTTAAGTTATAACATTTTCCTAAATTATAAATAAATAATTATCTTTAATTTTTTGATCTAGTGACTAAAAAAATCTTAAAGAAAATACTAAGATTGAGATTCAACTTCAACTTCCTCCTTTCTTTTTGTTGTAAGACTCTGCCTTTTTTTAAAAAAAAATAAAAAAAATAATTAAAATGGGTGCGCACCAAAGATATGATAAAGTAGACAAATAAATAATATGATTGTGAACTAACGTCCAAATAGATTAATATATAAAATTACGATAAAAAATTGGTGGTGACCCTTCTTCAATCCTTTAAGGTTAGGTGCTTAACATTTAATAAATAAATCTTAAAAAGAGCTAGGTGAGAGAGAGCAGGTAAGTAACATTTAATCATAGTGATATAATATTATATATGCTCAGGATCTCAATACAAATTTCAATATTAGATTTGCTACAGATAGCTGATTTTGTGTTCTTTTCAACAACAGTTGCCCTCATTATAAAATATTTGATATTTTCATTCATAAAGTATAAGTAATATAAATATAAATATAAATAAAAATATATAGTGTTGGTTCAGGTGGAAGCCATGTTTAGGTAACTAGTGTATTAATAAAATTCATGCTATTAATGTAAAATTAGCAAAAAAGTGGAAGATTCATGTCTGCTTTATTTATTTTACCTGTAGGCGGTGGGGACAGATGGTTTTGTGTCAAAGATAGACCTGATAATTTGTGTTATTATGTCGTATAAAATATTATATTTATATTATATTTTATATAAAAATCGCGTGTCATAATTTGTGTCAATATAAAAATATAAAATATAATTTGTTTAATTTTAGTAAACCTATATATAATTTTTCTAAAATTTTTAAGTCGTATTATCTTCAAATTCTTTATTCGTATCATTTTTATATCGTATTATTATATCATATTTTAAATTATTAAGTTTAGCCAAAGGCAAAAAAATAGTGTTGAATATATCTTACAATTTGTGTATTCATGTCATATCCTATAAAATATTAAAATTTGTGTATTTATATTGTGTTTTATATTAAAATCATGTGTTATAATTCATGTTTGATACGAAAATATAAAATATTTTTTTTAATTTTATTAAATTCATATATAATTATTACTAAAATTTTAAATTATATTATTTTTATATTTTATTTTTGTATTGTATTTATATTATATTATCGTATCGTATTTTACATCATCAAATCTTGTGTGGAAGTGGTTGTGAGGGAAAGGTGAGATCAGTATAACTCACCCAAATCCAAATGGTAACTAAAACTTTAGGCTCTGGGGTTTGCAGTTTGCTGAATAACAATGGGGGAAATTGAAGCTGAAAGACAAGAATCAAACCAAGGTGCCATTTTTACCTCCAAAAGTCCAAATAATAATTTCATAACCTAAGAACCAAAACCAATATCCTTCGCATGCTGTAATTTTCAATAATTTTGTAATGCAAGTAAACAAAATTACTACAACGTTGTAATCCTAATCAAACATATGATGAATGAACAAGAAGTGGATAATGAACCAGCATATTTGAATCACCAAATGCAGCTCAGTGCTGTATTCATTCTTCCATCGCATCTCCATCTTCAATTACCTCTACTTTTCCCTTAATGGTGTGGTCTTTGTCATTAGAACCTCTGCACACCATAGAAGATTGAGTTTACTGCAATTGCATCCCTGAAATAATGCAAAAATATGTAAAAAAAAAAAACATTCTCTATTAATTTTTATCACTATTTAACGTATTTATAATTATATTTAATATAAAATAATAAAAATTAATTGACTTATAAAATATTATAAATAGAGTAAAATTTGAAAGAATTAAATCTAATATTTAATTTATTATGATTGAATTTTTATATTACATAGTGAGCGTTATAATTTTATTTTTAAAAGTATAAATTATTTTATCGAGTTTAAGCTTTTGTTATTTGAATGATTTTTATTTTAAAATTATTTGTCTTACATATCTTATCTTATTATATGCTAATAACAACATACCCTAAAGTAATTTATAATATTTATATATTAGTAAACAATGTAAGTTATGAATATTTTTATTTTTTATTCACATTAATCATATTATTGTTTATATAATAAATTAATCTTTCAAGATCTTATTTTCATATATAGTTAGTGGAATGAATTGTAAGATAGAAAATGTAATTCACATTCATGCATTTTATCTTCTTATCAATGCACTGATATAATAGATATAGATATAATAGATGTTGTGTTATATGTTATAGATAAGAAGTTTCTTGGATTATAACAGAAAACAGATGTTGTAATAAAATATTTGGGTTTTGGAATCTATATTTTATTTTAAATTTTATATATTTACCCAATCCTTATTTCCTTTAGAAATTCTTAATAGAGAAGACAAGACTAAGATGAAGTATTAGTTACATGAGCTATTTAGATAAATAAAATGTAAATAAATATATATTTTTAAATAAACATGATGATTCGTGTATTTATATCATATAAAATATTAAAATTTATGTATTTATATTTTTTTTATATGAAAATTACGTATCACAGTTTTTGTCAATATGAAAACATGAAAATTTTTTTTGTTTAAATCATATATAATTATTATTAAAATTTTAATTAGTATCACTTTTATATCATTTATTCATATCATATTCGTATTATATTATCATATTATATTTTAAATTGTTAGGTCTACTTTTACTTTAAAAATATTGGGAGCTTTAACGTGTAGTATCATTATTCTAATTGCTTGAGGTTATTCATCTATGAACAGAGAGCATATTTTTATTCTAATTATGCAACTATTCAATTACAATAAATAATTAATATATATATATATATATATATATAAAGAGTTAATGACTTTGCTATGTCTTACGATTGAATTTTTGTTTTAAGCTACAGGTTTACCACAATTTGTTTATTTAAAAATTTTTATTACTTGTGTTAGAGAAAAGAACACCTTCATGCTTGAAGATTAAAATTTTTTTTTATCTAAAATTCAAAATGCAAATCTTCCAAAAAAAAAACGCACCGAGTACCATTTCAAATTATCTACATGCGGTCGGTATCTTAATTAAAAGCGTTCATGAATTAGATAGGATCAGGTTCGAATCGAATCTATATTTGATATTAATAATTTATATATTTGTTTAAGATTGATTTGATCCGATATTTTAAACTTCAAAATTTTTTAAGTCCAACTCTAATTGAAAAAATGAATTTCAAATTCATCTATTAAACTTAACTTATATAATAAAAAATTTAAAAAATCTTTTTAAAAATAAAATATAAAATATAAAAATATAAAATATATATATACTTATATAATTATAATGTTTTAACTATATATATTTTATTTGGGTTGGGCCAAGTTTAGGTTTTAATTTTTTTTATTTAAAATTTAACTTAAAATTTAAACAAATATAAAAATTATGCTTAAATTCGTTTAATGAATTTTAATTTTTTATTTAGACTCTTTCAAAACTTAAACAAATCTTCAGAATGGAACAAAAGGCCTAATCTAACCTCCACTTCCCTACCTTTCTTTCTTTCTTTCCTTTTTTCTTTCTTACCGTTGAATGGTATAGGCAACCTTCGTATCAATATCACTGTCATATTTGGCGAAAAAAAATCATGCATAAAAAACAAACACTTTTGCACAAGACACACGGTATAATTTAATTATATTCCATAAACATAAAATTTCTTGAGGAGTTTCAAGACTAAAGCAATTCATCAGACTAACAATGGCTTATAGCTAGCCTTCCACTGACCATAAAGGTAAAACAAATACGTGGTTGAGTGAACACAACGGATCAACTGACGCATTCCTCCTTTACGTACATGTTAATTATTCTCCTTTATATATTTTGTCACTTGAAGATTTTTATTCCTGCCTGGGCTTCAGACTCACCATCAAACCATTTTTCATGTAGAGTGTGGTTGTTAGCTTTGGTGCAACACTGTGACCTTCAACTACCTTAATCGAATACCTTAACAGGACTGAAGCTGCCACCATTTTCATCTGCGTGTAAGCAAATTTCTTTCCCAGGCATAGCCTCGGACCGGCATTAAACACAGCATATTTGAATTGATTTACGCTTACCAACTTACCATCTTCGATCCACCTCTCTGGCTTGAACTCCAGGCAATCTTTACCCCATATGGAGTCAATGCGAGCCATTGAGTAAATGCAGTGGAAGATTCGAGCACCCTTTTTAACCACGGTACCATCAGGAAACACATCGTCTTCTAGAACCTGTTTCATTTCAATTGGCACAGAAGGGTAGAGCCTTAGGGATTCAGATAATGCTGCTTGGAGATACACCATCTTTTTTAATTCATCTACTGTGAAAATTATGTCATCTTCTGTTGTACACTCACGATGGCTTAAAATTGCATAGATTTCATTCAGGATTTTGCTTTCCACCTCAGGATTTTTGTGCACTAGCCAAAAAAACCAAGCTAATGCAACAGAAGTTGTGTCTCGTCCTGCTAAGATGAAACTTACGCAGAAATCTCTTAAGAACTTACCTGGAAAATGTTTATTTTTGCCTTGTTTATTGCCATCCATAAGCCTCGACAAGAGATCAGATTGATCATGTAAGTTTCCAAGCTTCTCTAATTTGTTCCTGCGATCTCTCACTGTCTTATCTGCAAAATCATGTACAACTTCTATGGCTTCCTTGAGCCGTTTCTCATTTCCAAGTCTGAAGAGCTTCAGGGTCTTCCATACAAAAGGCGGTATTAGGAATCTTAACAGGGTGAGCTCCGTGGATTCCTCGAACGCTTTTGCAAAGGGAACTTCTGGTAAATCAAGGGCCAAGCACCCAGGATCAATGCCAAGAGCAGCAGTGCAAATGTTATCGAATGTAAGTCGAAGAAGCATTTCTTGGAGATCAAAACAGTGCCCTGATGTTGCCAGCTTTTCCAATAACTTCAACAGCTTCTGATGCACTATATCTTGCATGGTTCGAAAGGAGTGCTCTACAAAACGACTCGAATGCATCATCATCTTTGCAATTTGTCTCTGCTCCTTCCATGATTCATCATCAGAGTTAAAAATGCCATCTCCGAGTAGGTCGGAAAATCTCTCTCTGTAGTAATTCCCTTTAGGGAAGTTCTTAAAATTTGTTTTAAGGATATATTCAATGTTGGCAGGATCGATTGTGATGATTCCATATGATCCTCCCATCCACATTCCCCTGTAGTGGAATGTTCCCCCAGCTTTTATCAAAACTTTGGTGGTCCAATTATACGTGTCATTCATGTGAAGGAAGAGTGATGGTATGATTCCAAGCACTGGCCACAGCATCGGACCACCCTTATTTGTGAGACTCTCATCTATACAACTGAAAATGAATAGCCCCAACAATGCAATTGCCACATCCCAAAAGGTCAGATGAGAGTTCACCCACTCAATTACAGAGAAAACAAACATTTCTGTCATTGCTGTTCTCTTATGTTTTAGTTAACTGGCACAGCCTCACAGAAGATGGATTAAACCAATTTCATAAAAAGAGAAAAGAAAAAGGACTCAGTTGAGAGGGTGGTGGATTAATTAATGGCAGTACCAATAAAAAATTGACTTTGAAGAGGTAGGATTTAGGTAAGTATTCACAAATTTAAGACAAAAAAATAAATGAAAGCAATAAACCTCACGCATGTTGCTAAATAGAGTTGTCTGAGTTTCCTCTTAGGACAGTGGATGAGAATAACATACTACAAAAGAAGTAGAAAATGATAGTGTGCTGTCTCTAACACATTAATTATTCCTTCTCAACTGCATATTTTATGGTCTGGATACTACTGCTTAGTACTATTCGTTTAGCAGGCTTACAGTTTAATATGCAGATGAGATGTTTCTACAGATCATTCAATCTCAACCATATACAGTTCTTTAATGTAGGAATGTGGTGTATATTAGAGGGAATACGATATATATATATATATATATATATGAATGAGAAAATAGTAGAATGCCAAGCTCAGTGTAGCATAAGTTTGCAATAAGTTGCTCTTCCTCTACTCACCATATTACACCTGGAAAACTATGATTTGTGTTTATGGTTTTGTTAAGTACGAAAGAAAAAAAATTATAATTTCATTTTCACTGTATGAGATAAAAATACAAGAATCCAATGAATAAACTAATTAACTAGCTGCTACTAGCATTGGAGGTCTGATAAAAGTAATGGTCATATATAGCACAAAATCATTTTCTTAACCAAGTTCATCCATGAGAATTCGCTTTAAAGAATCATTAAAGGCATTGCAGGAGGCCGGCGCCGGCTTCACCGAAACTTTGGTGAGTCAATTAAGAGGATTTAAAGCAAAGTAGGAAAAAGATACAGGGCTTTTCTGCATTATAAAAATAGAAATCAGTAAACATTATTTTGCGCAAATTCTGGTGGGAGCCATAGTTTTATGATGTTGATAACTCTGGCCAAACTTGGGATGAAATGGTTTTGATTAATGAGATGACAAAGAAAATGAAAGAGTGGGGTACATAAAAGATATATATAGCATATGGAGTTGTTAATGTAATTTGTGGTACAAAGATAATGGAGTTTGCTGGAAGTTGGCGTGTCAGAGACCTGCCATAGAGAGAAAAATTTAGAGGCTGTTGGAAATAATATTTCGAGACGAGCTCCAACAGTCAAGTTTTCAAGGAAGAGAAAGAAGAAACAATGGAGGAGTCAAATTAAAGAGAGGATAAGGAGTGCTAAGAGTTCAGAATATTGCATGTCTGGTTTAATTTTTTCCTTTATATATTGTAATACCCACAAAATTAGCCTACGATTTTAATTATATTATATAATTATGTTTTGAAAAAAATTGCTTCCATTTAATATTTGATTTACTTAATTATTAATTACATAAGTTTTAGTTATATTATTTTTAATAAATTTTTACTTATTTTAATATATTTTTATTTTATTAATTTCATATTATTAATATTGTTAAATGATTATTAAATTATATTCAGATTTTAAAAAAATTATTATTAAATGTTAAAATTAAATATTTGTAAAAATTTATATTACTACTAATTTTTATGTTTTAATTATTAATTTCATTTTTATACTTAATTTTAAGCATTTTGCTATATTAAAAAAAATTAGTTTTATATGCTAAAAAAATACTTTCAAATAGTTTCAAGATGTCAAAAAAGTTACCATACAACTCAATTTGCTTAAGATAATCCGATGAATGTTTGTTTTATTAAATCTATGTAATTGGGATAAATTTTGATTTTTAAATATTTCTTGAATTATTAGGATACTAAAATAATTGAGTGATTTGCTATTTAAATTTGACTTAACGCATTAGATAAATGACTTGATATCCTTTCGATTTTTATGTCCTTAACAATCAACCTCAATATATTTAGAGTTAAAATATATAATATATATTGTTTTGTCCATTGGTTTTGTAAATTGAGTTGAGCATGCAAAATATACATATGATTTCTTTGTAAATTGAGTTGAGCATACAAAATATACATATGATTTTTTTGTTATGAGTTTGAAATATGGTTTGATATTATTTTGATTTTCGAATTTGATTTTGTAATAAATATTTATATATCCATCGTTTGTCTGAATATGAAATTTTGCTTTGAAATATTTATAGAATTTTACTTTGTATGGATTATGTTATGAGAAAATTTATATATATTGGATTTGTATATATTGGGTAATTTGAAAATATATTTTGGGTTTTGTCTCTTAGTATGACTATGTTCTAATCCTACCAATGGGAGTTAATTATTGGTAATGTTAATATGTATTTAGTGATATTGATTCCAACTTCAAACTGTGCCACCAATTAAGAATAGTGGTTTTTATTCACCGTACCATTGGTGATGTATTTTTATTCTATTGTACTAAATGGGTTTATATGATCTTTGTTCTGTCTCATTACACTAACGGGTTAATTATGATTATTCAATGCGATTACCTAATTGCTTTAGACATACCTTTGTTCTATTGCACTAAAGGAAAATTTCTGATTCTAACTTGTATCACAGAAGTTAAGTATGATCGTAGTATATTACGAGAGACTAATAAATTTTATAATTTTGTGATGTTTTATTTTACTTTGAAATATGATATTCTGATTTTGAGATATGATTTATGGAAATGTATTTGAATACAAAATTATCTAAAATAATTTCAAATAATTTAGTTACTATTTTGACTTAAATATTTTGTGGCATGTTTAATCTAACTGAAGGGATGTCAATTGCTTATTGAGTGGTTGGATTCATTCTTTTCTTTATTTTTCTTTTTATAGGTTCAGATTTTGATTATACTTATGGGAATCTCAAGGAATGATTTTCCAAAACTTTGGTTGCTATTATAAGACTTTTAGGATTCTCTTATATGTTTAGACGTACAAACTTTTATAATTAATTGTTTATGACTTTAACTAAATATTTCAAAGATTTATTTATTTATTTAGCATTTCATTTTTGTGATATAAAAATATTAAATGCTATGAGCTTTTTGTTTTCAGTTTTGTTTGTCTCATTCATATTTAGAAGTTTTAGTATGTTTTTGACTTTGTATATTTATAAAATCACATCTTGCAGGTGTGCGGCGTCTGTTATACTTGGCTCGATGCATGACATATATACCTCATGAATGATAATCTAATTAGCTGAATAGATAATTGTTTGTTTTGAAGTCATGTATGGATGTGGTGATAGGGATAACCTAAAAAAAAAAAAATTATTTTACCTCTCTTGTTATACAATAATCAGTCACATCTAATTACTACTTTAATTTTCTCTTTCTCTTTAAATTATTGTTTGACCCTTCCTTTATCAATTTTCTACCTTAGCTTCTCGTGGATGATGTGGTAAGAGTATGTAGAAGGAATAAAGTATATGAAAGAGTTTTTTTTTTATAATGCAATCCATGATTAAAGAGAAAAAAAATCCATTATAATAGAGCATTTATCATCCAAAAAATGGTAGTTTCCACTGCTAAAGTATATTGCAGAGGGCATTACAAAGTTTTTGAAGACAATTTGATGAAATTCCCTTGCAAGGAAATATAACACAGATTAAGGGAGAGAGAGATAATGAAGCTGTTGTTAGATGGAACCATGTTAGGATTAACAAGCCATTATTAATTCACTCATTGCTTTCCCACCCACTTCTTAATTCATCTTTTCTTTTCATTTCAACTTTAATGGAAGTTTGGCTAATATCTAGATCTGCCAAATTTTGTACCTCTCTGCATTCCACTCTTCTTTTTTAGCTTATTTGAAGTGAAAGAAGCAAAAGATTTGTCCAATTCCATTTTTTATAGCCGGAATCTTAAAAAAATGATCATCATCTGAGTTAACTGCATAATTTAGATTATAATATAATAATATGATATAAATTTAATATAAAAAATAATATAAAATTGATACAATTTAAAATTTTATTAATAATTACATATTAATTTAATGAAATAAAAATACATATATTTTATATTTTCGTATCTTCATAAATTATGACATATAATTTTTATATAAAATATAACATAAATATAAAAATTTAAATATTATATATATATAAATACACGAATAATTATATTAATCAATTAGGCACATCAAATGTATAACCCTAATGAGGTGTTTGAGAGGGAAAAAAAATTGTTCAAAAGGTTTTCTATTTTGGTTTCATGTGTCTATATATAATTGAATTTTTTTAAAATATTAAAATTTTATTTTCATTTAAATCAATAAATAAAATAAAACTGCAAATCCATGCACTCCACCTTCCTTTAAACTTCTATTTTTCTTTAGCATGCCAAAAAATTAAATTTTCTTCAAATTAATTTCTCTTCTTCTATTTGAGCATAAAAATTTTATACACACTTCTTAAGAAACATTATTTGTTTTTATTTTTTATTAAAAAATTAAAAGTAAAAAAATTAAATTAAATTAAAAAATAAATAGTAAAATGTAAAATATAAAATCAAACTTAAATTAAATCTAATAATTTAAAATATAATATAATAATACGATACAAATATAATATAAAAATAATATAATTTAAACTCGTAATAATAATTTTATATAAATTTAATAAAATTAAAAAACATATTTTTTTATTAATATAAATTATAATACATAATTTTTTTATAAAATAAAATAAAAATACACCAATTTTAATATTCTAGGCCATAAAAATATCATGTCTAACCGATGTAGACGAAAAAAAATCGCAAACCACTATGAATTTTCAATCCATAGAAAAGAAAACCAAAATTCCTTCGTTTAAAATCATCAGCCAAAGAAATAGATAAAAACAAATGATTAGCAGTGCCATTCTCTACAGGAGGGGCAGAGTAGGATTTCAACTTTTCCCCACATTAACAACTGCTTCGATTTGCTCCAATACTAGGATCGTTAGTGTTTCCTCGTACCTAAAACCCACTTACAAAACCTTCAGCAGAAATCATTGTACTTTCGTAAATATCTTCAAACTCTCTTTAACTTCTTCGTCAGCTTCTGGGGTTGTTGGGTTTTCAAACATGGCATCTGCAACTGGAGGAGAAGATGGTCATTTCAAGTTGTCTGAAACTAGTAATCTTATAATCAAGGAAGGTGACATCACTAAGTGGTTTGTTGATGGCTCCTCCGATGCTATTGTCAGTGTTTCTCTTCCCTTCTCTTTGATCTTTAGTTCTTTTTGTAATAATGTTTTTGGGTCTTTTTTTTTTTTCCCTTTTGTCCATATGGTATTTGTTGATGATTTATTGCTTGATAATATTATTGTACTTGTACTATATTTGTTTGTGGGATTAGGGAATAGGGAACAGAAATTTCTTTTCAAGTAGGATGATTAATGTTTTGGTGAAATGGAACCAATGTTGAATTGGATATTCCAAAGTGGAGGGATTTTTATCAATCCTAAATATTTTCTTATTCTATCTGATAATGATGGTTATTTTTCCTTGATGGATTTGTTGATCTTTGAACGATAGAATTGAGAACAGTGATACTAGTGATGATAATCATTTTGCAGGTCAATCCAGCAAATCCAAGAATGCTTGGAGGTGGTGGTGCAGATGGAGGTCTTCTTGCTAAGAAAATTTTCTTTTCCTCATTTTTAACCATACTAATGTCATAGAAGAATGAACTCGTAATGACCATTGATGCATTTTTCTAGCCATACATAGGGCTGCTGGCCCGGAACTTCGAGAAGCATGCTCTAAGGTCCCAGAAGTTCGACCTGGTGTTCGCTGTCCCACTGGAGAAGCAAGGATTACCCCGTAAGTTTTTCCTAATTGCATAGTGTTTACTGGTGTTTCACCCAAAGTTGTGCATGATTAGCATACTAACATGTTGAAATTATGCAGAGGATTTAAACTGCCTGCATCTCATGTGATTCACACAGTTGGACCAATTTATGATTCTGACAAGGACCCTAAAGCCTCCCTGAGTAGTGCATACAAGTATGCTATGATGTTCCTTGTAACCATTGATATTAGTAGTTGTTTTTATCATTCTCAATAAGACCTCCTCTCTTTTGAAATTGGTTACAGGAATAGCTTGACTGTGGCTAAAGAGAACAACATTAAATACATTGCATTTCCTTCCATATCTTGCGGTGTATATGGGTAAGTAATGATAAGGAACCACGACAGACATTCTTGTTTTCCCATTTTCCCCTTTCATTTTATCCCCCTTTGATCTGGAAAGCATAGTAAACTGTGCAATTTAAATGATCCAGGATAAAAATCTAAGTCTTACTGATGTCATTGCAAAAATCTTTTGAAAGCTAAATCAGAACTTGATTCTCTGGCAACTTGCTAAACTGTAACTGTTTTTGCTTTATGTGTTGACGACAAATTGGTTAAGAACAGGTGTTCAATTGGTGCTGTTGGATTGTTAGGTAATTTGTGTAACTTTCTGGACTGGACTTTGAGGGGGCATAGTAGAAATATTTCATAGTGGAAATATTTTAATCTTTTAGTAACTTTTTCATGGAAGAGCATTCTCTTCTGTCAAATTCTATCTTGAAGTGATTGTGGAGTTTTTGTTTGCTAGCTTAGTTGTTTGTTTGAAATGTTTGATCGGTTCATATTTAGTTTCTTTTTTCCTTTGTGAAAATTTTCTAGATATCCTTTTGAGGAAGCAGCCACAGTTGCTATATCTACTGTCAAAGAATTTGCAGATGATATTAAAGAGGTAACTTCTGCTTTTATTCTGCTTTGATATTGCATATCCCAGATTTCTTTTAAACGTTGATTGATTCCCTTTACTTCACTTCTTACATCCTGTTTTACATTAGTTTACTTGTTTTGTCCACGCGTACACACACGACTAAAAGAAGAGTTTCCTATAGTGTTTTGTGTCTTTATGGATAAATCCTATATTCTTTTCTCACATTTAAGTAATAAATGAACTTCTGATTGCATGATACATAATTCTATATGGTCCAAACAATATATGTACTTCTGATGGAAACTCACTTGGTTGCTGTTTGCAGGTGCACTTTGCTCTGTTCGAGTATGAAATCTACAATATTTGGTTGAAAAAGGCAAAGGAGTTGCTCCAGGCTTAGTGCATGACAGCAACTAGAATAATGTTGTCCTACCTTGGTCCATGAGAGTGCTAAGTTTAGATGTATATATCTCTATGGACTTGGAAGCAACTATGACAGAATTACTTTCGTTTGATTTGCAAGAGTCCTGAACTTTTGGATGAATTGGAGGCATTTATGCTTCACTTTAGACAGAATAATTGTTAATGCTGGTTTTGTGGAATTAATGGTTGTTATGAAAATATAATTCCCCTTATTTTATAGTTCCTGAGCTCTTTGCTTTAGGATCAACACAGTCTAAGACTAAATATGAATCACAGTTTAAGTTTATGCCTGAACTTGGATATGATTCTTTTTAAAATCTTTTATAACACCTTCAAAGTGTTTTTGGTCAGGATCTAGTATGTTTTAAGCTTGTGGAGTAGTTGCCCTCAATTCCCTTGCTCTTGCTGCTGTCTCTTTTCTCTCCCTGTTTTTGGATTGGGAAGCTGTGAACAGAAACATGTAATGGTAAAAATTGTTCAGAAAAATGCTAAAAAAAGGTGTAATACTTACACTGGTGTAAATGAATCCCTCTATTCATAATGCTTACTCATTAGCTCAATAAATTAGCATGAGGTTGCAGCAGAATTTCTGGAGGAACACACATTAAGCAACAAGAGGAGAGTTTAGTAGGGAAGGCAAACCATCCAACCAACCTCGGACAACGGTTTTACAAGTCATAAGAGATTTCAGGATTTCCAAATGATTATGACAACTGTGGTGCAGCCAAAACCAACTGAAAGACATTAATAAAACAAGCAACCAGAGCTATATTCTTCAAAATTATTTAGTAAAAATAGATCCAAAAATCAACCGATGTGCGATGGCCATTACACATTAGCACAACTCCCCTACCATTAAATAATTCTACATTCCCAGCAAACGTAGAAGCTCCACACAGACCATAATGGCTATTCAAGAATCAGCAACAAGAAATGAGTACTGTGGAATCTTGGAATAGAAGATATGTACAAATAACTGAACCTTCCTTTTCTTTCAACTCTAACGTGGAAGAAGTATTTAGCTGATGTTGCAACTCGATTGATGGTGAAACATGCAGATAACATAACAGATTACACGAATCTGCTTTCATTTAAGGTGAAGCAAAATATCAACGACTTTATATCAGTCAATGAAACTCCAAGAGTAAAGCATGTTCAATCATAACCTTTATGTAAATTGTGAGACTTAGACGTCTTTATCTTTGGACAAACTCCGGGGGATTCTGTTAATCACACTCTCATCCACTATCTTATAGTGCTGGGAAAATTTTCGGTGGATCATTCCACAGTATTTATCCACATGCTCTTCATATTTGCCGTAGAAGGCAGGAAGAGTAACAGATAAGACAGTTCCTGCCATCAGGAAATAACAAATACATTATATTTAAAAAAGCACATAATTTAAGATTCCTTACACATATAATGAGAGAAAGTTCATTGATAAAATGCCTCCCATTTTGCAAATGATTTGCAAAAACAAGCACAAATATACAAAAGGCCCCATGAGGTCAAGCAAGCTAGAAAGTTTGTGACAAGAGCTCGATATTAGGTTTTTGAATTTTTCAAAGACCAAAATGCATGGCTGTTTACCAGAAATAAACCAAAAGAGGTTGTGATTAAACAACTAAGCTCAAATTAGTAACATTTAATGTTATATCAGTCACAAAAAAAAACAAAAGAACTAATAATATCCATGAATCAAAAGGAAGATGAATGTGCATTCAGTTGACAGATGCAGTTGCTTACCAATATAGGCAAGTGTGAAGAAAGAACAATAGCTACCAATGGCAGACAAGAGCCACAGACAAATCACAACCTGCCAAATGAACTGAAAGTGAGAAAACTTTATCAAGCACACCAGCCAGTGGAAAAGCTAGTAAATTGGAACAGGTTTAGTGAGATTCCAAAAGTACGGTAGAACCCAAGACCCTAAATAAACATCATGAAGTTCCATATGGCATGAAGAAAATAGAGACTTGATGCATACTATTAAACACACCATCTTGGCAATAAAGACAAAAGGTTAGAATGAACAGAAGAGTGCTTGCCAGAAGAACAGTTTGTGAAGCAGTATCATTTGCTTCAGAGCAAACCAGGTTTAAGTATGAAGTCATAGTTATTGGCAAGTTCTGTCAATCAATCATGTTTAGGAGAAGACGATAGAGTTGAAGGGAGAATATACATATGCTTAATGATTTACTTGCTAAATTGGGAAAATACTCAACTCCAAAATCCTCCAATTTGTGAGATTTTGGCCCCCCAGGGGGTGGAGTTGGGGGCTGTTTTAATTGGAAGGTAAACACAGTGAGCAGAACCACTACTCTTATTTCCTATAACCCCACCTAAACACACCTTGATATTAATGACTACCTTTACTAATAATAGTAAAAAAAAATATTCACATATTAACTTGATTATAATTCCACCAACAATACCACAATGCTCCATACATACAATTATATTTCAACATTGAGTCTTTTTCCCTTTGTATGTGTATATATTGCAGCACATAACACTTAGTTGAAATATAACTGATCTAAACTGACCTTAAAAAAAAGTCGAAAATCTTTGCCAAGAGTTATATCATGAGCCATAAGAAGCAAATTATTGATTTTAACACGAAATGATGCTGCAGCATTATTAACCATTTCCTCTGACAATTCAAGCTCTGGTAATGTTTGTAGTTGTCTGCTTAAATAATAAATAGACATTATTCTCCAAAAAAGCTTCAGTATGAAAAAAGAAATCAACAGATATAGAGGCAATCTTACTCATACCCATTTCTATAAGCAGCATAGTTGGCACGGACAAACAACAATACAATTAATATCAGCAAGACATCTGAACAAATAGATAAGAATGGTAATCCAGACCGCTCAAATATAAGCCAAGCAACAGTAGCAACAAGAATGACACCAAAAGAAACACGCCACCGCTTCCACAAGAGTATATCAGCCGCTGGGAACATGAGAAGCAAATTAGTTAATTTATCGTACAAAAGAAATGCACTAGTATTATAAGTGTGACAAGATAATGAGCTAGAGAGATAAGGTAGACTTACAGAAATGATATCATACTACGCAACAAAAAACCCCAAAATCACACTAATTAATAATTATAATAAAAAAAATTGTTGGCGAAGAACTGTTAAAAACCACAAACTTTCACCCATACGAACAGAAATAAACAAAGGTTGAAGATAAATACTGAATAAGCACAAGTCAAAAGGAAAGTTAGCTTCCAAGAATAGAAAACTCAAGCAAAGGTTTCAGATCTATTTAGTCTCTTCTACAATAGTAGAAAACTTAAAACAAAACAGTGTATCTCAGATAGTAAGAGTTGCATCATTTTGCCTATTCACAAATGAGTAACTGCTATAAGTACTGGCTTCTTGTTCATAAAATTCACTTCTCAATCTCATTATCTCTTATTTGGCTTTACACAAATGAGTAACTGCTATAATTAATTACTTTATTCATAAAATTCACTTTTCAATCTCAATTTCCAAAGAGCACTAACCAAATTCATTTGCCAAGCAATATTTCAATTTTCATCAAATATCGAAGTACCCCAAGATGATTTCATCGAAAAATAAGACCAAACAAGAGAGAAAAAAATGGAAATTAAAACAAAATATGTGTTTTTTATTTTTTTTTTTAAGTTTTTACCTTTACCACCACCCAAAGACTGGTGAAGGGGACCTTGACGACCAAACAAACGGTAGCTATCGGAGGATGTCGTTGAAGAAGTGGAAGGTATTGTCTGATTTCTTGTCTCTTCCCCATCAGCGTTACTCGGATTCTCCATTTATTGCAATCAACGCCTTTTTTTCAGTTTTTAACTTCAACCCAGAAATGAAAAGCTCCCAAATTTCGAATCTTGCACAAAGATTTTCTCTCTTCGAAGCAAATTGCAGCGTCCCAGATCCGTGTCAGATTTGAACAACAAAGGGGATTAAAAAAGACCGTTCTTTTCAACTTATTTTGTTTGGGGAGAAAAAAAGTTCTTTGCTTTGTTTTCAGCTTTATCTCATTTAATTAATTTTTTAAAAGTAAAAAAAAAAATTATACATGCGACTACAAGAGTGACGTCACCAAATATTTTTCAAAACAGTTTTCAAAAAATTATTTGATACAGAAAAATTTTTTAATTCTAAACAAAATTAAAATAATAACACAATTTTTTAATATATATTGAAAAAATAAAAAAATTAATTTAAAAAAAATCGACATGAATTATGATCTTAATACTGCTTGTAAAATTAAAAAATTTTACTATTAATACATTAAATAATTTTTCATAATTTTTTAATATTTTTTATTTGTTTTGATAAAACTGTAAACATTTTATATGATTCGGATATGAGCCAATTGGGTCTTAATGGAGTCCACAATGTTACCCATTATTTAGTTTTATGTTTATTTATTTATTTATTTATCCATTTATTTGTTTGTTTATTTATTTATTTATTATTATTATTATATTTTTTTGGTTTTATTTTTTTGTAGATTATTCATTCATTTATTTATTTGTTCATCTTTGATTTTTGGATTTTTTTCATTTGGTTTATTTTTTTATTTTTTTAATTAAATTGGGTGTTAAGATAATGATAAAAACAAAAAAAAAGAGTTTTTTTCCGTGGATTGGTGTTTGTAGAATTACACATGGTTTCAATCTGTAAAGAATAAATATTATGATCTAGGATAATACAAAAATTTTATCACATGATAAGTTATGATCAATCAAAAACTCTTTTAATTTTCTCTATAAATACAAACTTAATCAAGCCTCAAAAGAAATAGAAGAAAATCATAGATCACAGAGAAACAAAAACACACAATAAATGAATCAAAAAGAAATACAGAAACATAGGTCAAAAAAGCATAAAAGAAATCATGTAAGGAAAGTCAAAAGGTAATAAAAAAATTGTGGGAGATTTTTTAAGTCAAAAAGTATAATTTTTTCTAAAAATTTTTTGAAAAATTTTTAGATTTCGGTGAAATTTTTTTATGTCGTTTGATTTTTTCGAAGATTTTTCGACGAAATCTTCAAATTTCAATGAAAAATCCTAGAATCCAGTAAAGATATAACTTGTGTTCATGGGGATCTAAAGATAGAGAGAGAAAAGGAAGAAAAGAGCAAGGGAAAAGAGAAATCTGAGAAAAAAGAAAATTTTGGCCTATTTATAACAAATTCTAAACGACGTCATTTTGACATTTAAATCGTCTTAGGATCTGCGTGTTTCTATTTGGGTCAACCCGACTCAAAGCATTGGCCCGCTTCTTGACCCGTTTCACCCTTTGTCTTAAGCCAAGCAGAGCCGAATAACTTTGTAAGTCGTTTCAGTTTTTTTTCTTGCAGCCGAGCTGAGCCATCTAACCACTAAGCCGAGCCATTTCCCTATTTGATTTTATTTATTTATTTATTTATTTTTATAGTATTTTTGCATGATTAAATTAAAAAAAAAATGTAAAACTTAATAAAATAAAATTTTGAAAATAAATAATAATTATCTTATAATGGAATATTTAGAAATTTTAAATGATAAATTTGTACAAAATTTTTAAGTGAATTTTTTTTTTAAATTTATCCCAAATAGTGTACTAGTTTAAAGAAAGTTTCAATAATAATAATTAATATTTATTTTCAAATAATAAATAAATAAATAATAGAAAAATTAATAAAAATTTTAGAATTAAATATTAATTATCCAAAGATGAAATTCTTAGAAATTTCAAATGGTAAATTTTTTAAGAAATCTCTAAGTAAAGAATTTATCTAAATTTGTCTCAAATTATGGAATAATTTAGATGTAATTCTAGCAAAAGTAATTGTATTTTTTTTCAAATAAAAAATTTTGATTGAAAATATTTTATAATTATCCAAGGATGGGATTTGTAGAAATTTTAAATAGTAAATTTTTAATAAATATCTAAGTGAGAAATTTTATTTAAATTTATCTCAAATAGTGGAAGAATTTAAATGAAACTTTTAAAAAATAGTTGTCATATTATTTTCTTTCCTAAAAAACAACAAAAAAAATTTCTAAATAGATCTAAATAGTAAAAAATTTAGAAAAAAGAAAAAGAAAAAATTTTTGAATTGGCCTAATTGGTGAAAAATTTAGAAATAAAACCTGTGAAATAAGAATAAATTTTGAGGATAAAATTCTTAATAATCACAAATAGTTGATCATCTAAAAAATTTCTAAGGGAGAAAATATTTCTGATTTTGGCTCAAATGGTGGATGAATTAAAAAATATTTTTAATAAATAAAAATGATTAAACATTTTTCTAACGATGGAGTCTCTTTAAGAAAACAAATTAAATTATTGAATACTTTTAAGGTGAAGAAGTAATTTTAAGAATTCTTTCAGATTAATGAAAAATCTTAAAAATTATTTTTAATATTTTAATGTTAAAATTAAAATCATTAGAATCAAAACCTTAGGATAAATTTAAAATATAATGGTACTATCCTTAGGATGGGTGTTGAGGGACTGCTATAATCTTCTCCACGCATAATCGAACTCCAAAACCTAATTCTGTTCAGAATGTTAGAATTTATTCTTTATGGACTCTTAGTCAAGCTTAAGAGTTCTTTAAAATGATAAATTAATTAGATAGTCAATCATACCTTAAAAAAAATTGGTATCAACTCCATATGTTAAATCTAACTATAGATTTATGGATCTATATATTATGACAAAAACTATTGCTAGCATTTTTTTGAAAGAATTACTAGCATCTTTTTAAAGCTTTAAATTTCGTAAAATTTTTGTAGAATTTGTTTTTGAAAATTCATAATTTGCTGTGTTTGAAATTTAAGAACTTATTATTTGAAATGACATATTAATTATTACAAAGTTTTTAAATATAAAAATTTAAAATATAATACGATGATATATACAAATAAGATAAAAAAATATTAAAATGACAAGTTTAAAAATTTTAATAAGAGTTATATATAAGTTTAATAAAATTAAAAAATATATTTTGTATTTTTGTATTGACATTAATTATAATATGCAACTTTCATGTGAAATATAATATGAATACATAAATTGTTATATTTTATATTATATGAATACACGAATTATCAAATTTATAAAAATTTATTTGAATTGTAATAATTAAGAAAATTTAGTTAAATTAATTTAGAATTTCTAATATACAGAGGACTGCAAATGTGAGATTCTTTTTATTTGTAAATGAACTTTCCTATGAAATTGGTTCACAAAAGAAATAAACTCTCATTATTCTTGTTTTCCAAATTAGCCATTGCTGGATCATCCCATGGTACAAAGGGTTGTGGTTGTGAATTAAAAGAAAACTAGAATCAAGTTAGAAGATTGGCTTCCAAATCATTTTTGTGGTCTTCTGTGGCTTGAGTCAGCTCCATGGCCCTCTTAGCTTGGTGCTTCCAATCAGTGAAAACTACAGTGCAAATCATCATACACATACATGTAGCTTGTGCTGCAGCAAGCCCAAACCACAACCCAAGAACACCCTTGTTTAATTCAAAAGCTGCATAAGCAGCAACAGGCAAACCAACAAGGTAGAACGAACAAAAATTTATACAAGCACCCACGTTAGGCCTAGCAGAACCGACTAGGATTCCACATGCTGCTGTCTGAGTATAGTTTCCAAGCTCACAAAATCCTAATACAGGTAGGACGACTGATGTCAATGCAATGACCTGAGGCTCGCATGTATATAACTTTCCCCACACATCCTTTACTGCAATTGTGAAAGTGAAAGCTAGAAGTCCACATACCATTGCTATAATAAGTCCTATAATGGCTGTTTGTCGTGCCTGTGCAGGAGATTCAGCCCCCAACTCTTGCCCAACACGCATTGACAAAGTTGAGCTTAGAGAATGAGGGAAAACGTATAAAAGTCCTGTTATTTGTATGAGAATTCCCACTGCCGCGATACTTGTCTCTGGATTATTAGTTAAGCCACAAAGTAGGACCATTATCTCATACCACCACCACTCTAAACATACAGATAACACACTTGGAGCCATGAGTGACATCAGTGGGAGCCAATCTAGATAGCATTTGGTTACCACTTGACCTACCCAAGGTTTTATTGCTGTTTGTGTAAAGTAGAGATATACTAGCAAAGCTAAATTTATGTTTAATGTGTTGCAAGCGGTGGCAAGAGCAACTCCTCTAACCCCCAAATCCAAATATATTACCAGGAAGTAGTTGATTGGAAGGTGGAGAATCATTGCAAAAGTAGCAGAGAGAGTGAAGGGTAGGTTTAGACTTTGGGCTCTTAAGAAAATTCTTAAAGGATTGAGGAGAGCTTGGGCAAGCAATTCAGGAATAGAGTACGTGAGAAATATCTTTGCCACTGATGTTATGGTCTTATCCTGACCAATTGACAGAAGGATGGGCTCCATATTCAGCCATAATAGTGTGATTGGTATGGCTCCAAGTAATAGGAGGCAGAAGGTCTGCTTAAAAGTTTGGCTGAGAACTGTACATTTTTTGGCTCCAAAAGCTTGGCAACATATAGGTTCCATCCCCATAGCCAGGCCCTTCATTACGGAGTAGCCTGTGATGTTTGCAAATCCCATTGCCAGTGAGCCTCCTGCTAACTCAATGTTTCCAAGATGTCCCAAAAAGAACATGGAGATTAAGGACTTGGAGAAGAAAATCAGACCAGAAATTACTAACGGGAATGTAATTTTCCCCAATGATGTTAGCTCCTCCTTCACCTGTGAAATGTACATGAGGTATTAGGCAACTCAAAATCATATACCAATAGCAAGAATATAGTTTCTAAACCAAACTGGAACATAAAATGGCTTGCTTGATATAGCAGAAATTTGATTTACCATAAATTATGGAGAAGAAAAGAACCAGCCTGTCAAGCAAATTGATTGTAGTTTTTGCTGTCTCTTGAAAACTAGAGAAAATTTTTCTTTAAGCCTGTTGCTTCATATCAGGATATATTCTTATAGACTAACCTTGACCCTGAGTTCAAGAATGAGTAATAATATGCTTGCATGACTTGTTCTCTATCTTGGAGCCATCCATAACTTTCAAGTATCATTAAAATGACTATCTGGACAAATTTGCCTCTGATTACTATGTTAGAAAGGCAGTATCCTCAGTGCAGCCAAAAGTGCAGTTCAGGAAACTTTTCAAGTAATTGCCCTTATAAATGAAATACCATTTCCATCTTTGCAAATTTAGGAAGGTTTTAAGAGAATACCAAGCATGCGCAATGAAGTTAATAGAGTATCTAGTTTAAGGAGAGTATTGAAGTGACGGCTGAGAAGATGCACTGCACCACCTTTATTTGTCAAATGAGTAACAAAAACGCGGTCATAACTATTATTTGCATTTCTCTTGAATTTCTTTCCCAAGTTAATCTATATTTTTCTTTAATGCTTTTATCTTACTTACTCATATTACTACCATCTGTCAGTCAAAGTTAAAACACTAGCCTCTAATGGAAAATTATCTAACAAGCTGTAAATGGAAAAGGATAAGAAGGTGATGAAGCTAATATGATTCATGCTTATTGTTCTGTTTAGTCAGTAAATTTGATTAACTTAACCATAATGATAAGTGAAAATCACAGGTTTAAAATGATTTTACCAGTCAAAAAAGGGAAACATGCATCTTCCCATTGTTGTTCATCAGATGCTTAAACAACAGATTTGAGTATGCTTTTCATGTTAGAACTACATTGGCTTGATTTGACTTTATATCTATGAAAAAAATTGCCTGCTTACTTGTATTACTTTTGGAGCCTCCCTTTTGAGTTTTGAGGCAAACCATATTATGGAGAAGATTAATTCTTGTGATACGCACAAAATCAAATGCTTATATATGCCGTCCTAAACCGCGAGCTTTTACTAATTTTTTATACTGACATTCTTTCCATCATAGCTGTTCCTCTTCCTTTGCTGGTGATCATAAACAAGGTGCACAACAGTTTAATAACATAGAGGGTTTGCGATTTCTACAAGTATATTGGTGCATGAAATCCCCATATTCTCTTAAAGACAGCAACAGAGTAGCTAGTAAGTTATGAAAATCAAGTTAAATGACATCTGTGGGAAGTTTTTCAGGGTTTTAGTTGGGAATGAACAAGAAAGTAGAGATCAACATCTGGGTGCAAAAGCAAGGAGAGCAAGAATGTCACCTTAATTTTCTGCAACCACCCCAGAAATTCATTCAGAAACCTCCTTCCTCCTGTTCTACCACTATTGTTATAATCATTTCTATCTCCTCTGTTGGAAAGATCACCTGGTGAAGCTGCTTCGCATTTGCCTGAGTAGCACATGATTAAGACTTTTGCAATCAACAAGATTTGAATGTTAAAGGTAAGCAATGTCATGCATTTTATATTGAAGCATGCATGTTTGACGTAGATTGAATTGAGGAGAGACCTTAATCTTTTCGAATAATGTTTGTCATTTTCAATATTGCACATAGTTTAGTCAGGTTTTTAGTTCTTCGGAGCTTGTAAGTGTTAGCAGAAAAACATAGAATTCATTGCATTGACAATGAAAACAGAAGAGAACAACATAAACAACAAAATATCCACTGCCCTAGACAATTTGTCTTATGGGGTACTAACCAAAACAATGCTCTATTTAATACAAGGAAGATAACATAGTTTAAAATAGCAGTTAGACTTGAAGCCCAGTGTTTCGCTAGCTTCAAAATAAGCCAAAGATTGCTTTCGATTTGAGCTAAGCATTTAGCCAGCATATGATTGATACCAAGTTTGAAACTACCTTTACTGTTTCCTGGATTTTGAAATTCATCATTTTGGCAATTCAGAATGTTTATAAAGAGTAAGCGCAAACGAAACCACCCTAGCAAAATACATTACTATTTATCTACTGTCCCAACTCGGGAAAAAACTGTCATTTTCTTTACAATACTTCCACGTTCATACAAAATTTCTATGAGTATTTGTTAAAGGCATTTTTAGGTCTAAATGATACTCTGATCATTTTTTTCATTAGAGGTATTTTGTATTTTTGGACCGATCTAATGTATCAGGTCGATCTAATATGTTCAGTACTATGTTGGCTTGGCCACGTCACTATTACATCTCATAGATCTCTCACCTTTTGTATCATTCAATTCTCTTCCATTAATACTTTTTTACATTTCTCTCCTTCTGACTTCTCTTATACCGATATCTAATTTACTTATTAGAGCACAAACATAAAAAATATCTCTTACTTTTACTTTTAATCACTTTTTTATTTTTTTTATAATTTTAAAGTTGCATCCCTTAAATCGGAGTTCGACACCAACAATATTATAACTTGAACATGAGACTTTTCCTACACCCCATTCTCTTGTCACCTTGATATACAAGCTTAATGGTATATTTATGAGTACTTCTATTTGCATTTCAACTTCTTAGATACATCCAAAAAATTATATTACAAATTTAACTTTTGATAAAATTATTTAAATACCAATTAATTAATTAATTTTTTATCTTTTATATCTCCTTTCAAAAATCTGTATTCATTAAAAGTTTTCCAAAATAAATATTCGAAAACTTTTAAAAATTTTTAAAAATTAAAATTTTGAAAATTCTTAAAATCCTTTAAGATGTTTATTTTTGGAAATCTTTAATAACTTTAAAAAAATTATTTTCAAAAATTTCGAATCATATTTAAATATTTTAATATAAAATTAAATACGTAATCAAATGATATGATAAATCCCATCCTCTTATCACCTTAATATATAAGTTTAATGATATAATTATCTATGAACGTAAAGACATGCGAGTGCAGACACATTCTGCTTGCTCGCCATGTGAGTGAAAATAATTTTTTTACTGTTTATGATTTATTGTGGGAAACCATGAGCTTTGATAGTCATCAGTTTGATTTTCGACTGTCGATGTTACTTTTAAGTACTATAGCCACCTTGTTTGATGCTTTACATAAAGCATTTTGCAAAGTTACTAGAAAGGATCGATTCTGTTGCCTTTCTCGGGTTTTCTGGGCTCTATCCATTTGATTGGATTTCTTTTCCTCTTTGGAATGTATTTGGAGACGATGTTTGTCAAATAAAAAAAATAATAATAAAGTGTGTGCAGTATTAAATACGTCATTTGAGTAATAACGAACTGAACAAAGAAATGGGTCATTTTTATTTAAGGCTAAGCCCAACAGCAGCACTAAATCTTTTTCATATCATGCTTAGTAGTTAAATTTAATCATGATAATTTAAAATATCACATATAAATAAAATAAAAATAACACTATTTAAATTATAATAATAATTATATATATATTTAATGAAATTAAAAAAATATATTTTATATTTTTATATTAATATAAATTATAATATATAATTTTTATTTAAAATATAATATAAATATATAAATTAAAATATTTTATACGACACAAATTTTTGCATATTATTTTTTTTTTTGTAATAAACTCAAAATTGAATTGAATATGTAATGATAACTTTATCTGAACCTTATTATGTTATCATTTTCTCCAATTTGGATGTTTGAAAATTTTATTAATCAAATAAGTTTGGTGAAGCTTTTACTCAGTAGTTAGCACAAAACAAAACTCAAATGCCATTTGTTCTCTCCTCTGATGTGACCCAAACACCCATCCATTTTCCAACCCTGCGTGCGGTGGTCGCACCCTGGATTCCATTTCCAGCTCCTCTCTAATATATGAAAGCCCAAACTCAGTCCACTAATCACCCGCATGTCACTCTAGCCATTCCCCTCGTCTCCCTATAGAAACCCCTCGCCCTTTGTATCTTTCTTACTGTTCTTTTCATTTCCAAATGGCTCTACGTTCATTAGCCACCAGAAAAGCCCTAATCTTGGGACTCAACTCGACAAGGCTGGCTTAGTCTCGTGCATTGCAGACATTCTCGCTCCCTGATCTTCCTTACGAACTATGGACAACATTGACGCCGGCCATCAGTGGAAGATCACTGCAGCTTCACCATCTACCAGAAGCATCAACATCAAAACTTACCATCAACTACTATAACAAGGCTTTGGAGCAGCTCCATGAGGCTATCCAGAAAGGTGATTCTTCCACCGTTGTTAAGTTGCAAAACGCCGTCAAGTTAAATGGCGGAGATAAATTTTTCCTTTTCTTTTTCCGTTTTTTTGGTTGATGGGTCACCAACTTATAAAAATTTTTGAAAATTGAAATTTTGAAAGTTCTTAAAAACTTTTACACATTTATTTCTAAAAACTTTTAACAATTTTTAAAAAGTTTATTTATAAAAGTTTTGAATCACACCAAAACAATAAAATCTTATGAAACTAAATACAAAATCAAATAATATGCTAAACCTCATCCTCCTATCACCTTTATATATGTTTAATGATATATTTATCTATGAATGTGAAGACATGCGAGTGCAGACACATTATGCATGCTCGCCATGTGAGTGAAAATAACTTTTTTACTGTTTATGATTATTGTGGGAAACCATGAGCTTTGATATTCATTAGTTTGATTTTCAACTGACATTTTTACTTTTAACTACCATGGCTTTGTTTGATGCTTCACATAAAACGTTTGGCAAAGTTATTAGAAAAGATCGATTTTGTTGCTTTTCTTAGGTTTTCTCGGCTCTATCCATTTGATTGGATTTCTTTTGTTTATGGAACGAATGTGGAGACTGATGACTTGAAGAGTGAAAAATCATGTTATTTATAAGATTGTAAAATACATATAAATACAAATGTATAAAATGAGTTTAAAGTCCATGAAATATATCCAAAAATAAAACCCAACCTTATAAGTCAATTAAACATAATATACATTTTAATAGCCCTTCAAACTGAAAATGATTCGAAATGAAACATCTAAAGTTTGAAAACTAAATAATAAAGATGTGAACTTAAAAGAGACTCTGTAAAAAGAGTCGTCACTTGTGGTTCAGAAAAAATATGCGATAGCATGATGGTGCCTTTACATATATCTTGTCTAATAAAATGATAACTATTTCAATATGTTTCGTCCGTTCATGAAAAATATCATTGTAAGTAATTTGAATTGCATTCTTACTATCACAAAAAAATGGAATAGGAGTAGGCGTGTCAACACTTAAATCCATTAGTAACAGACACAACCACATAATTTCTGCTACAGTGTTTGATAAGACTCTATACTTTGCTTCAGCACTTGAAAGAATTCACTGACGTGTTGAACGTCTAAGTTTTAAAACAAATAGCTCTAATGAATTGGACAATGGTAATGAATGGTTGCTTATAGTTAAGTCAATGATGGGACAAGCTTCATTTAGATGAATCTGCTGAAGAGTTGAAGAACTTTGAGACACGTGAGAAAAATGATTAAAGTCATTTAAATCAATAAAAAATCAAAGAAAATAAGAGTCATGAGGATTATGGTAGGTTTTTTCAAAACGAGGTAATGAATGCATCGAAATATTTTCTAAAAAAATAATATGCCAAGAAGCACGAAGTTTTTATGCAATAAGATCATAGCAATGATATCCTTTTTGTTCAATACTATACCTTAAAAACACACAAATGACAATTTTTTTAGATAATTTATCACACTAAACTTTAAGAGCGAAACAAAACATGTAGAACCCAAAATACAAAGCTGAAATAATTAAGAGTATTGTTATATAAGCATTTAAAAAGAGAAATTCCATTAATAACAAAAGAAGGAATATGATTAATAATATAAACTAAAGTAAGGGCAATTTCCCCTCAAAAATTTCTTAGGAACCAATAAAAATAACGATAAGGCTCTGGTGGTTTCCATGATATGACAATGCTTTTTTTCAATAACATCATTCTGCTATGATGTATCAGTACAAATGATGTAAGAAGAATACCTTGAAAAGCAAGAAACTCTTTTAAATTACTTGATTGATATCCTCTAATAGAATCAGCATGAAAACACTTAATAGTTTTAGAAAACTATGTTTTGATCATGACAGAAAAATCTTGATAAATTTTAAGTAAATTTGAACGATACCAAAATAAATAAATCCAAGTGTACCTTAAATAATATCAATAAAAATAACATATAACAAGAACCCCCATTATAGGTAAATGAGGTAGGCACCACATATCATAATGAATAAGATTAAAAGAAGATAAAGAAATTGATTCACTTTTATTGAAAGGTAAAGGAGATTATTTTACCAGTTTGCAACTAATACAATTATTGGACGTTTCTAACTTAACCTAACTTGCCACTAGATACCAAATATTAAAGTCTAGAACAAGAAAAATCTCTTAACCTATGATGCTAAAAGGAAAAAGATGATTCCTTTTGAACACCAAAAACTAATAAAGATTTTTGCACAAAAGAATGATCAAATTGATCAAAAGACGATGTAATACATGTAAGTTTTTCAAAACAAATAATCTTTCAATTTTATTGCATGTTCTAACCACTTTCCCCATAAGGCAATGCTGCATCACACAACCACTAGAGTGAAAAATGACACCAAGACCTTGATCACATAATTGACCACCAAATAGCAAATTCAAGAAAAATGATGGAACCAAAAGAACATTATCAAAAGAAACATTTTGAGAACATACGACAGAGCCAATATAAGTAGCAAATATATTTGAACCATTAGCAATATGAATAAAAGGTGAACAAGTAATAAGACTTGAAAAGTCAAAGATAGAATTATCAAAAGTCATATGATTAAAAGCTCTAGAATAAATAATCCAATCCTTAAAATTAGCACTTAGAGTAGTTGACAATGTAGATATAGAAAAATTATTATCCATAAAGTTGTTACTTATACTAAAAATGACTTGTCAAATAATCTTTTAAGTTTGATTCGCAGTGGAGTGTGAGTTAACATTAAAGGTTTCTATAGACGATGTTGTAGTAGCAACTAGCCCCATTTTAGACAAGCCAAATTTTTTTTTAATTTTGGGCAATTATGTTTTATATGTCTCAACTCTTAACAATAGTAACATTTCAAGAGAGCCATGAGAGAAAAACAATTCAAAGCCAATATATTGATCAACCCGTAACAAGCCAATAAATAAAAATATGAATAGACAAAGGCAATTCTAATTTCACAAAACCATTATAGTCAATGACATAAAAATCAATTCCGCCCAATTTCACAAAATGACAGAAAAAAAGGTCAAACAACAACAAATCAAAGTGACTTGAAAACAAAGAAAAAAATAGTCACCAAAAGCTCTGATACTATGATGACTTAAAGAGTGAAAAATCATATTATTTATAGGATTGTAAAATACATATATATATATATATATACAAATGTATAAATGGGTTTATAACCAACGAGATATATCTAAAAATAAAGCTCAATCTTATAAATCAACCAAACATAATATATATTTTAACAGAAATGATGCTCGTCATTACATGCTTACATAGTTATATTATATTATTTTGTAATAAACTCAAAATTGAATTGAATATAAAATGATAACTTTATCTAAACCTAATTATAGTATAATTTTATCCAACTTGAATGTTTGAAAAACTTATTAATCAAACAAGTTTGGTGAAGCTTGCCTCAGTATTTAGCACAAAACAAAACCAAAATGCTACTTATTCACTTAACACAATATCTTATAATTTAAAATATAATACGATAATATGATATAAAATTATGAATATAGTATGAAAATAAGACATTAAAGGGTTTTTTTGTATTATTGCATGTTTTATGTTTTTAAAAATTTTGTTTTGTTTTATTTTTAATTTATTGAATTTGAAAACATGTGTGAATAAAATGTTTTTATTTTAAAAATGTGAAAACAAAAAACATGTAAAAAAAAAGTGATTAAAGATTTTAGACTCCATTTGTTATTAATAATATAATAATATATTATTTATTACTATAATATTATTTATTAATATTATATTAATAAATAATATTATATTAATATAATAAATATTATATTAATATAATTATATTAATAAATATTATAAAATAATATATTATATTAATAAATAATATATTATATTAATATGATATAAATAATATATTAATAGAAATTATTTATTAATAATATATTATTATATATAATTTCTTTATATTAATAAATAATATTGTATTATTAATATACTATATTATTTATTAATATGATATTTATATAATAAGTATATTATTTTATTAATATATTATTTGTAACATTACTGTAATGTAACGATTTAATTATAATTTTTGTGAACAATGTCCATGTAAGAACAATGTCAAATTGTTTCCAAAAAATTGAAAATGCTATTTTTTTTTTTTTTTGTTTTTAACAATTTCTAAAATTTTTCAAAACTTTGTTTTCAGTTTTAAAAACAAAAAATAAAAACAACCTACCAAATATATTTTTGTTTCCAATTTTCAAAAAAACAAAAAATAAAAACAACCTACCAAATATATTTTGTTTCCAATTTTCAAAAAAACAAAAAATAAAAATAAAAAACCAAAATCAGAAACAAAAACAAATGACCTTAAGATAATGCAACTTAAAATTTTAATAATAATTAAATTTAAATTTAACAAAATCAAAACAATAATTTTATATTTAACATAAATTATAACTCATAATTTTTTATATAAAATATAGTTTAAATATATAAATTAATATTTTATAAGACACAAATTCATAAATTACCAAATTTAGTCAACACCCACCCATTTGCCAGCACTGTGTGCTGTGGTCGCACACTGTATTCCATTTCCGGCTCCTCTAACAGATCTGTCACCCAAGCTCAATCCACTGATCACCAGCATGCCACTCTACCCATTCCCCTCGCCTCCCTATATAAACCCATCGCCCTGTATATCTTTCTTACTAATCTTTCCATTTTCAAATGGCTCTACGTTCATTGGCCACCAGAAAAGCCCTAACCTTGGGACTCAGCTCGACGAGGCTGGCTCAGTCTCGTGCATTGCAGACCTTCTCGCTCCCTGATCTTCCCTACGACTATGGCGCACTTGAGCCGGCCATCAGTGGAGAGATCATGCAGCTCCATCACCAGAAACATCATCAAACTTACATCACTAACTATAACAAGGCTTTGGAGCAGCTCCATGAGGCTATCCAGAAAGGTGATTCTTCCACCGTCGTTAAGTTGCAAAGCGCCATCAAGTTCAATGGCGGAGGTAAATTTTTCTTTGTCTTTTTTTTTTTTTTTTGTTGATGGGTCACCAAAGTATTTGAATTGCGTATAAAGATTGAAACTTTGGGTTTGGGTGTTTTCTTCAGACTTTGAAATTAGTGAATAAAGCTCTTTTTTTTTTCCCCTAAATTTACATGCTTTTTGCTTCTGGGTATGTAAGAAGATAGGATTTTTTTTAATGATTAAATGTTGAAAGTGTAATTTTTAAAATGATAAAGGTAATGAGTTTGCATTTTTGTAATTAGGAAAAAGTTAGTGGTTAAAATGCTATGCTGATCTTCTATGTTTGGTTATCCACAAGGTGTTAGTCCAGTTGGCATAGGAAGGTACTCTCTTTCCTTGTCAACTTGAATTCGTTCCTTGAAGAGAGCATTTGAAAGTAAAATCAATCCTACATGTATCATGTCGATGTGGGAGAGTCTGACTGCTCGACGGGAATAGGTCAAGACAAACTTGGGATACCCCTGAACAATAAAAAAAACTGTTTGGCAAAGTTATGATACAGAAATTCAATTGGTGAAAGTCAGTCCAATTGGATATTGTTTTCATTCGTTTAATATGCCATTGTTTTGAAAAGTAAATTTAGATGATTTTATACAATTTTGTTTAAAAATTATCTTAAAGAACAATATTCTATTTAGGCAGTAGCATATCTCAATTTTGCTTGGTGAATGATTCTAACTAACTAGGACACTTATCAATGATCTTGATCATCGATCTCTTTCCTTTTCAATTCTTTGTTTGCTATTAAATTCTAGCTTGAATGATTGGTATTATGAGGCATGTCACTATTTTTTGGAAAATCTCAGGCCCTGGTAGTTTATATTTCTAAGTGTTTTTTATAGTTATTAAGTCATATGTTAATGAGTTTAATTCAAATCATTCCCTTACTTAGGAATTTCATTTTACAGGAAGCTGATGTCCAAAGGTACTCTGGATTATGAACACACTTTGTATGAATTTTACAATGATGCTGTTTGCTGCTTTGCAGGGCTCTGGTTGGGTGGTAAGTATTTTGGTTTGCTAAGGCTTCAGTTTTTGTTTGTTTCCTTGGGTATCTAGTCATGAATGGTTTGCATCTGTCATTGCTTATCTTTTCTTCTCTTGTTTGCTGACTTTTTGTCTTGACAGTGGCTTGGAGTGGACAAGGAATTCAAGAAACTTGTGATCGAAATAACTGCAAATCAGGTATGCATGCAATATTTGGGGTTAAGTCCTCCAAGAATAATTATTGGTTTCTTGGTTTGTTCACTTGAACGTAAATCTATTTATTTCTATTTCCCTGCTTATTCTGCACTGCTGGAAGACTTGCTAGCGTAACTGAGAATATCCGATATGAGATTATGCCTTCTAGAAGATATAACCATGCAACAGCAATGTTGGCCATGAGTTTTTAGGTCTATGATGTGAGTTTTTTTTCAGATGTCACTTGCATTTGGTTTCTATAACATTGAAGTCTTCTCGAGTTTATACTCTCTCTTGAGAGTTGCTCTAATTACAAAAAGTTAGAATTCGAGAAGATTCTGGCAGGTGTAATATAATTATGAAATCTTTGCTGCAGGATCCACTTGTGACTAAAGGGGTACATTTAGTTCCTTTGCTTGGCATAGATGTTTGGGAGCATGCATATTATTTACAGGTAAATTTTCAAACTTTTAAGTTATCGATTATGGTGATGAGTAGTTGAATCTTTGTTTATTGGTGACCAAGACAATGCCAAAGTAGCCTTGTTACATTAATCATCCTCTGCTTTGATTTTCAGAACTTTTCATTTTTATTTTAGTTTCCTTCGAGAAAAATAGATAATAGTTTTTTTTCAAAAAGAATCATCTTCTTTGATTGGTCACATCAAGAAACTGAAAGCTTTACTCTGTTACATCCTAGTGAATGACTGATGAGAGGGAGTGCCGAAAAGATCTTATGTTCCCTTCATTGAGTTGCATAATATGCTTATGACCTGCATTGTATTCCTGCGAATGGTTGACAATATAAGTGTTTTGACATTGTTTCCCGTCAAGAGAATCTCAATCATATATCTGGCTTTCCACGTCTGTTACTACGGGTTGTGCATGAATAAGGGATTTATAAAAAAATCTAAAAAACAAAAAATGAATTTAGCTTATTCATGGATCGGTTTAAAGGCAGCATGTCACTCTTTGATTTCCTGGTGTACTTATTTACGTGTTCCTTTTACTTATGCTGCAGTACAAGAATGTTAGACCAGATTACCTGAAGAACATATGGAATGTCATCAACTGGAAATATGCAAGTGAAGTGTACGAGAAAGAAAGTGCTTGAGCTCGGAACCCTTAACGTATAGAATGAAGAAGCACCTGATTTGCTGCTGCCTTGTGGTTGGCAAACGGAATAATAAAGATGTATTCTTAAGACGAAATGGCCCTTTCATTTCAAAAGTTAATAATGTTTAGCTTTATGCTTCAGTATATTGTAGCTTCCTTTGAGAATTATACTTGACCCCTGCGCTTGAGTTTTTGCTTGACCGTTTGAGGTGAATAGCATTTCAGTAATCTTTTCAATGTGCTGCTGAGTCTGATGAATGTTATGATATTGAGCGGTTATATATTCGGTTTAGGGTTCCTCAATCAGTGGAACTGCCATTATTAGAATTGTTTTTTGGGTTGTTTTTATTAAGCCCACTGAAGATTCAAAAAGTGATAATTTTGCAGAATTAGTGACGAGTGTTTTGTGGCAAACGAGAATTAGAGTAAATGATGCATGAATATTCGTAATTTGAATTTAATATTTTTAAGTTATTTTTGAAGTTAAAATTTGAATTTAATATTTATTTAGATAATTTACTAATTTAATCAAAAATTTTAATTTAAATATATTTTTATTATTTTACTCGTATTAATTTGAGTTTTAATTTAAATACATAATTGAGTTTGAAATTAAATATAAGAATTTGATTTAGTTTTATTAAATAAGTTTAATAGAGTGAGTCAAGTAATTTAATTTTTATTTTAAATTTAAAAATTAAAATTTAATTAAATTTAAATCAAATTTTAGGTCAAATATAAACTTATTTTACGGATTCAATTAAATTCGATTACATTCTTAACAAAAATGAAGTATGCTTTTTTAAATACAATTTTTTTTCGTACATATATAAGTAAATCATGTATTTAAATTAGTGACAATAACAATATCTTTTTAGTTTTACTTCTACGGATTACTAATTTAGAGTAAATAATATCATTTGTTATTAACTTTTTTGTAATTTTTCATTTTTATCCATCAATTTTCTATTTTGTTCTAAATCCACCCATCTTTTAATTTTTTTTAGTAACCTAAAAACAATCCAAAATTTGCAGTTAACTGTTTATCCTTGTAGAAAGTACACTTATCTTACTAGTAAGAATTGAGTCCAAATTTCTTTTCATCTGATTCTTTCTTTTAATGAATAAAAAAAAAACCCCAAACGAAAAATTATAGTAGTAATCCTAAATCATAATAACTCTTCGCCAAAAAAAAAAAAAATGTAAATAATAAAAAATTTCTGGGGTACACTTGGAAACAAGAAAGTACAAGGGTGTAAGTGAAAATTTAGGGTTTCAGTAATACACACTCGCCCAAGTATAAAAGCAACATTTTTCCAAAACCTGCGCTTACCCTCACAAGGCAAAATCCTAGTTTGTTAGTCGGCAGAAGCAGGGAGCCTCTAAAATCTTCTAAAATCTGCACTTCATCACCAAACCATGGTTAGATCTTCATTTCATCTCTATTTATGCATCTGGGTCTTTATCAAAACTTAATCTCTTTCAAAAATTTGATCACTCTGATCTGTTCTTTATTGTTTTTTAGACTTTCAAGCGTAGGAATGGTGGCCGCAACAAGCATGGCCGTGGCCATGTCAAGTTCATCCGCTGCTCTAACTGTGGCAAATGCTGTCCTAAGGTACTTTTCATCTCTTTTTCTTATCTGGGTTTTTGAGTTTTTCTCTGTTTTTATTTATATTGAAGGATTTTTTTTTTCATTTGGTTTTTCTTTGTTTGGAATTTAATAGGATAAGTCAATCAAGAGGTTTCTTGTGAGGAACATTGTGGAGCAAGCTGCTGTCAGGGATGTGCAGGAAGCCTGCGTCTACGACAGTAATTTTTATTTCATTTCTCAATTTTATAATAACTTATTCTATTGTATATTCGGATTTATCGTTTGGTGAGTAATTGCTTGGTTAATGATATGTAGCTTACACCCTGCCTAAGCTGTATGTGAAGATGCAATACTGTGTTTCATGTGCGATCCACTCTCACGTTGTAAGGGTCCGATCCCGCACTGATAGGAGGAAACGTGACCCACCCCAGCGGTTCATCAGACGCAGGGTACATCTTTTTATAAGCCTTGATTTGATGCTTTTCACTGTCAATTATCTATGACGTGATGTGAATGAAATGTGGTTATTCTTCCCTTGCTTGGATTGTTTAACATTTTCTTTTATTGCATGATTTTGTTATGATAAAAGTTTTTAAAATACATCATTTAAAGGTATGTTATTGTTGTCATGTAGTGTAGTGTTGCTAATGGAATTTGAGCTATTGATCTTCTTTGTAGATTTTATGACTAATAGCCATCTGAATCACTTTGTCAGTTCCCTTTTTTGGTGGCTTACCATCATTATGGGATGGAAAATGCCTTGAATCTGGTATAACAGATGTATGAAGTCATCCATAAGACTGATAGAATTTGGGCAACATTTTGCTGATTGTGATCCATGACATCATTAGAACGATTCTCTCTGCTATGCTATATAGGATGCAATTATTTAGGGACTTATGTCTGCCCCTTCTGCAGGATTTTTAAGTGCTTTACACATGAACAAGTCCCTCGTAACCAATATCCATCTAAATCCCTTTTTCAGTGGCCATTTTTGGTGGCTTATTGATTATTAAGGGATGGAAAATGCCTTAGAACTAATGTAAGTGATATGTGGAGGTCAGCCAGAGGGATAGTAGAATTCAGCTACACCTGAAAGTCTGAAACTTAGAGACTCCTATGTTTCTGATTGTGATCCATTGGCACGATTATACTGGGGCTCTGCATTTTAGGGACTCGTCTGCCTCTTTAGCTGAAATTTTAAGTGCTTTAGGGATGAATTGGTCCCTCATATCTAATCTCCATCTAAATCACTTTATCAGTTGCCTTTTGGGTGGCAGCTGATCATTATAAGATGGAAAATTGTTTCCTATAAATGACACATGATAAGTATCTGTAGTGTAAGGGATTTTAGTGACTCCAAAAATAAGTTTGCAGAATTATTTTTTTTCCAAAAATAAGGAATAACGCATTTGGTAATGCAAATTTACTTGCAAAGTACATGATATAGTTTCATTGTCTCAGTATAGAATGTATGTGCAATTGCATTTTTTTTATTCTCTCACGTTGTAGCAATGAATTCATGAATTCTTTTGGCTTTAGATTTCTGAGAGGCTTGCATCTGTGACACTCGTTGCCTTTTGTGTGTTCATGGTTTTGTTTTCATCTTTCTTGAATTTTTGCTCGCATGCAGAAGCTTCATTAATTGATTATGTGATTTTTATTCTTTCAGGATGATATGCCAAAGCCTGGTCAACCTGGTCAAGCTCCTCGTCCTGGTTTTGCCAATCCAGCTCGTGCTTAAGGCCCATGAAGTTTAAGATGGGTGTCTATTTTATTTTATTTTTCTTTAAATGACTGGTTGAATTTTGAGAACTTAAGAGTTGTGTATTAAGGTTTTGATTGGTTAAAGTTTAATCGCATTTGACACATTTTGTTTATTTTGAAGCTTTGAATGGTTGGAATGCTAGTTTAAATCCTATAATTTCTATTTGGTTGCATATGGTAATCCAAAGTTATCCTGACTTGCGCTTTGAGATATTGCTCATTATTTTACATAAAAACTGTTTTTCCTATCAAGAGTTGGTGGATGATGGATCTTAGATTCAATAGCAAAGAGTTTGATCTAGATTCCAAGTACATGAGTTATGTTGTTTTTAGTAATTTCATGGGTTGACCAGTAATATCAAAGAGGACTAAATGGTATGGAAGTGTGAATTCTAAATTTCTAATATTCGCAGCTTTGGTGTAGGAATATGCGAAGCTGACAAGTAAACCAGTATTGAAACAGCGTCAGACTTGAATGCATTGGTAAACTGGAAATTATGTAGAAAGTGTTTCAGTGTGTTATATGGAGTAGAAAAGCTGGTTCGATGTGAACAAAGAGTCTAACCCAAACTTATTCAAGTTGACTTGAATTTGACAATTTTTAGATTCAATTGCTCCCACTGAAATGATTATAACGCATCTCAAGCTCGATTGCGCCACTCTCTTTTCCTTCTACATACGTGATTCCCATCTCTAACAAAGCAAGAGTGGCAAAATAAAACCCAAACTCAAACAAGCTTGAACAACTCAAGTCATCCAGTCAGAAATGTCTTGTCAAAAGATTCCTAGGTTCAAGGCTAAAGTGCAACGCGCTATTTTTTTCTTCAAGAGCATCCACGACCGCGCTTCTCAACCGCAGGCAAAGGAACTAGGCTCAGCTTCCAGTTCCAGAGCTGTTACAGACTTATGGTTAATGCCTTCAAACTTGAATATTTCAGCAACCATGTAATTCCTTGGCAATCCTGATGCACACTGCCATAGGACAGTTTGTCTTGATTGCATTGGAGGCAATGTGAGATCTACTTGCAGCATATCCCTCCTGTAACAAAAACACTCACCTGACTGCTGGTTTTGAGCAATGAGACAAACATTCTCATATTCCTAGAATCATTCAGTATTGTCCTACCTGAAGAAAAACACCTTTAGAGATAGCTCAATCAACCAATTCAACAGATTAGGAATATTGTGGAAACCAAGGATATAATCAGCTAAACAACCCTGGTGCTTATTCTAAACTCTAAGTCTAGCTTTATTCTGAATTTTTTTTTCCTTTTAAACCCTCCTTGTCTTAAAGCAAGTCATTCTAGGTCTCATGAAATCTCTAGTCTATAGAAGGCAAAACACATTCTTTTTTGCCTAATCGTAGTTCAAATGCTTCTGAGTAGAGAACACACAGAGAAGTAGAATACCTTGCGAAGGGTGCTCATGATAGTACTTATAGAAGGAGTATTTGTTTGTGCACGACTAGCCACCTGACAAAGTTGAAGCGAAATCATTACCTAACGTCAGGCAATTCACGTATAAAAGCATATATTTGGGTAAGCAAAAAAAAAATATGTGAGGTACCTCATCTAATTTTATGTACCCAAATGGTAATCTGGGGTCACTTTCTTCCAACATTCGTTTCAGCAGCTTTTCTAGATCAGTCCCTGCACCATCGCCCACCCATCCCCACTGCTCAGCCAAATTTAACATTTCCATGATATAAGCAGCACTATGAAGAGGTCCTGTCCACAGAGGGCCTGATACAACAAGTGATGCAGCATCCTAGAAAAATTGACAGCAAATTTAGCATACCCCTGTAACCCCTCCAGCGCAGAAAGCAGAAACAAGCTTAAGTGGGTATAGGAAACAAGTATTATTTTGCCAGCACAGAATAAGGGATGCTTTCAAGATTAGGAATGAAGAAATGTGAAAAAGAATGGCATGCATAAGGGATGCTTTCAAGAATAAGCATGTCACGAAATGAGAGTACACTTTTGTGTTACTGCAGGGACATCTGATTTGACCAAGTTCACTCCATGAAACTGCTTGAGAATTTCCACAGCAGTTACAGTAGCAGATGAAACCATAATCCCTGTCATTGATATGAAAACTGCAGATAAGTATTAAAAGAGGACCAAAAGATACGGCTTTTAACACAAATGTGATCTCATATCATATATCACCTGTTGTCAGGTAGCTTCCCTCGATTCATTCGGAGCAAGACCCTGAAAACAGGTCCATGGTAAGAGTAGTATGAAAAAAGTGGGGTAACACGATATCCCAGTACAGAAGCCTCCCTCACAGCACCACCTATAAGGATTCGCAAACCAAGCTCATTTGCATACGGCATTGGACGAACATATGCTCCGTATGTTGCTAATGAACTGTATATACACATAAACAGCCATAACTATCCCAGCAGAGACCAGTAAAACAAAAAGTATTCAGTGTCATGGATAGCTGCCTAAACTCTGATTCATGTGGAAGCACACAAGGGCTTGAAAGAATATTACATATACTAGTTACATGGAACAACTTTCAAAAGGGAATGAACATATTAGAATCCATAATTCATTAATCAAACGGAAATGGCATTTTAGTCATTTGCTTGTTTGCAAAAGGAGGTACAAATAACAATAACGGCATTGACAACCAAATGGTAAGTAACTGAACTACTAAAATCAGTCAAAAAAACAACTGATATTCTCAATAAAAAATGAATAGCAGCCAAAATGTTAGATTTGATAACTTAAAATATGATACGATTATGAATACGAACACAAAAACACGAAAGTAATATGATTAAAATTTTAATAATAATTATATATAATTTTAATAAAATTAAAATATATATATTTTATATTTTGATATTAATATGAATTGTGACACGTAATTTTTGTAAAATATATTATAAAAATGTACAAATTTCAATATTTTACACCACGAATTACCAAGTCTACAAAATGCCATAACAGACCAACTGACCAACATTGCAAATAAGTTACATATAAAGTGAACTCTTTCAAAAGTAGTAACCAACATTGCAAGAGAAAAAAAAATGGAGGTTGAAAAAGGAAACTCACTGGTAAGGGCGGTGACCTCCAGATGAATAGCCATCAGTGGAAGTAACATAAACCAACCCATCAAGTTTCAAACTATTAAAAGCAGCCCTTAAAAAGAAAGACGAATCACTTCCAAAGGAATCTATATCAATATAATCAAAATAATCCCTTTGCAAATAACAATCCGTTAAAACCCGGTTGGCTTCCCAATGCGTGATTACCCATCTTTTGTTTTGCCCTTGAAGCCTTTCAACTTGTGCTAAATTCTCCAAAATAACCCTCCTGTGGCTTTCGTTTGCATCATTGGCTAACACGAAATCGGCTTTCGATTCGATGAGGTAGCGAAGGGACCGGATTCCGCAGCCGCACATTGCATCGAGGACTCTTAATTGGCCTTTGGATTGCTTGTAGAGTGCTGCTGAGAGGACCCCGAGGTCTCGGCCTGTGGCGCTTTCGTGGCGGAAAAAGGTGTCTCCGGTGTCAAAAAGGATGCCCCTTTCGGTTATTTGATTGGATTTGCAGTAAATTGGGGGCTTAAAGATTGAAATTTGGTGTGAAATTGAGGACCTTTTAGGGTTTGTAAAGGTTTTGTGGATAAAAAGAGAAGGGGATAGGCTTTTAGGATTGAGATTGAGTATTGACATGGCGGGAAAGTGTTGGGCTTCAATGATTCCTAGCTGGGTTTTACTATTTTTTTATACGTGGCCAACGTGTAAGTTCTTTAATTTGATCACCATGTGAAGGTGCCACGTCAGCAATTGTGGTCCCTCCGAGAATCTAGGTGAATGTTATCGAGTTGAGATTTTTTTTTGGGCTTTTGGATCTTTTCATTTCTGGTTTCGGAACAGTCAGCGTTTGGTTTGTTTGATTGTTGAAGCATTTGTCTTTAGATTGAGACAAGATGTTGTGCTTGTTGTTCTTGCCTGAGTCCAGTGCTGTAAAAGAAGAAATTGGGTTCAAGCTGTGCACAAGAAAACAAAGCAGAAGAAAGAAAGAAAGATTCAATTCGGAAACTTATTTGAGGTAAATATTCTGACCCTAAACCAATTTGGAAACTTATCTGCCATGTGGATTAGGTTGTAAATTTCTGTCCAATTTGTAACTTGATTTCAGCCTTTGAATTAGTATTTGTTAGATGAAGATCCATTCTGGTTTGACTGTTTATATGCATTTCAACTGAGTAAAGACAAATGCCCATTGTTTTAATTTTGATATCCTTTACCACTGGGTTTCTTTATATTAGTTTGTTTTCAATGAAAAAGCAAGTGGCAGATTGCTTTATATGTGCTATTTTGAATGGGGTTACATTGCCCATATTATTAGCTTCCCTAATCTTCATTGCTAATATGGACAAGTTAACAGTAACCCCAGAAGCATATGGGTGACTTTTGTTTTCCTTCTTTAACCATATTTGAATGATTGGTTAGATTTAATGCATTTTTCTGGTGTAAGATGCAAGATTTCATGTTTAGCACATGGAATTGGTATTAGGATAGATATAGTGCAGTGTTCATGTGCAAGACTCCTGTGTTCTTTGGTTGATTAGACAACATAAAGGTCAAGATTACAGAAAATGGGTTGTTGGGTTTCGTTGCCAGCAGAAAAAGTAGGATTTTTTGGGATGGTTGTTAATTATGTTTAAGCGAGTTCTTTGGCGGTGGGGAAAATGTGCAATTTGATGTATTCTTACAGTATGAGAGTATGGATATTGAAACTTGGCAGACAGAAGTAAATAACACAAGTCTCTATTAGCAGATGTTTTTAAAAGAAACTGGATTATTGTTGAAAATAGCATACAAAAGGGTAAGCAAATAAATACCATTATGCTATCAGTAGGTGTAGTTTCTAAACAGAAAACCCTCCATTCAGACCCAATACTTAAATACACACAGATGTATAGGTGGATGACCTATGTGAAGGGGCAACGCATAATTGTATTTGACACTTGTGTATGGGCATAGCCCATGCATCAATGTTTTGGTTTATCTATAGGAAAATGCTTCTTGATCCTACACTTTTGTCCCTACTATTTGTCCTTATGATGTGATAAAATTTTATTGGTTTAAATTTAAACATTGCATTTATGAATGATTTTACCTGCAATGAATTAGTAGATCTCATCCTTAAATTCTCCAATGAAATTTTGCGACATCCAGAGAGACAAATAGGAAGGATAAAAGTGTAGGGTCAAATAGCATTACTCTTATCAATATGTTTTCTTCATTTGAACACCCATATTTCAATCAAGTGAAATAGAGTCTTGAAATGTTTTGGACTTTGTTCAGTGATTCAATCTATTTCATAAGTTTTCATATCAATTGGTATTGAAATTGTCACAAATAAGACAAGTAGTGTTATTACTAGGAAAGATAATAAGCACTGAATCTCATGAAAATCAATGCAGTTTAATATAAAAAGGAAAGAATAGTTAATATTTGGTAATAAAGAGTGTGTTACCTTTATTGTTACCCATATAATTTGACTTAATTATGATAAGAATGAAGGGGCCAAAATGAAAATTAGCCAAGACTGCTTTAACTGTATCATTAATACTCATTAATAGTGGCCCTGCTTTGTTTCAATATGTAAAGCTGCTGTCATACTCCTTTTAGAGCTTCCTTTGATGGGGAGAATTTTTTTTCACCTACTTGTATCCATATTTGAAGAGTCGTCCCCTACTTTCTTTTTTTTTTTTTTTTTGGAAGGACGAATTTTGTTGATATTTTAAAATGCTTATTTCTCAGATTATTATTCTATACATTGCCAATGGAGTTTTTAGCCTCCGAAAATAGGGTTAGATGGTTGTCATATGTTCATTTGATAATTAATTCATTAATTTTCATAAACATACCCTTAATGGGACACATATCAACTCGCCAACCATCCGGAATGATTAGTCCCGTTGGTAACGAATGGAGTTCCCTTCCTTGTCAACTAGGGTTTGATCATTGGGGAGCACTTTGAGAGTAAAATCCTGAATGCAGCAGGCTAATGGAGTAGTGTGTCCATAAGATCGTCCAGAGGATTACCAAAAAAGTATATATATCTACTCACAGTGTAATTTAAAAACTCTATCATGTATAGAATAATTTTTCTTTTTTCTCTCTGTCCTTTTTTACATGGAATCGAAATATTTTCATATTTTCAAACTAGTCCCAACATTTTGCTAAAAATTGTACTTTGAACCACAATTTTGATTTATATAACATTTGTGCTTATCAGAGGCTTTGTGAAGGCAAACAGATTTTAGGGCTGCACTAGATGTTAAAGCACTGTGCACTTATATTTAAAATACCTCTGTGGCTGTTTTCCTTTTCATCTTTGTTCTATCTTTGCACATTCTGTTACTTCGTCAGTACTTCCTAATTCTACTTATCTTTTAAATGAAAAACATGTCTTTATACCCTCCTCAATTTCTTAGGCTTTCATGAATAATAATATCCTCTAAATCCTTTACTTGTCCCCGCATCTCCCCCAACTCCATGCCATTAATTTTTTGAGTTATGTTTGATTCTTCTTTCTAATTTCTAATTGCAAGGATTTGTAGATGCTGTTTTTCCTTGGTCAACTTTTGAACTTGCTAATGGAGCATTGAATTGGTGAATGTTCCTAGGTTCTTTTTCAGAAGCTGATTTCAGAATGGAAGATTTTCAAGAGAGTCTGTCACCTTCCTCCTCTTTGTCCTTGTCCTCTACTTCCTCCTCTTCACCTATCCCACATCCATCATCACCTTCCTCTTTATCTTTCCCCTCTTGTTCTTTCTCTTCATCTAACCCACATCCATTGTCAATTGATGCTGAACTCTGGTTGATGGCTGAGCAGAGAACCCAGGAGATACTATGTGTTATTCAACCTGCTTTGGTTTCTGAGGAAAGGCGGAAAAGTATTATTGGTTACTTTCAGAGGCTAATCAAAGGTTACTATGGCATTGAGGTAACTTTTCCACTCTGCCCCCTCAAAAAACAGAACTTAATTTTTCTAGATATTTTAGTCAGGGAAATACCAGCAATTGTTAGTTCTTGCTTTACGAGTGCCTCTTTAGGAACACAAAACAGTATAGTGGGAGGTGCTCCCTTCCACACTTCCCCCCCCCCCCCCAACCTCCAATTTTTGACTGGACCCATATGAAATAGGGCTTGAGTATATGATTAAGACTAACATGTAAACATTACATCCAGGAAAATTTAATTCCAAAATTTTCCACCTTGCAGCATGATAAACCAGCTCATGAATTGGTACCTCCAAAATAGATTACTCTTCATTATGACATTGGTACTTGCATACAAGGACTATCTTGTGGTTTGAATGCTTAATATATTTCTTTAAGTTCATAGATGACTAGAAGCCTTTGCTGTGACTAGAAGCCTTTATTATCTATGTATTGTTGCTTGGCATATGCTGTATCCCTTGTAATATTTAGCTTGACTAGAGTTACAAATGTCTGTAACCTTTTTATGAATGAATTTTGCGGGGCTCCTTTTATGCATTGAGCACACATGTAAACTTGTGAACACGCATATCTTAGTAATTTACTTGATCTTTTAGAAGTCAGAGGTGTCTGACAAATATTTCTTGTCTCAATCTGTTCTAGCCTGACAATTAACCAAAAAATGAAACCCGAAATGAGTGTTGAATTGTTGTAACCTAGTATTTTAATGATGTTTTAGAAACATAATAAATTAAGACTGATTTTTTTTTTTTTGAGTCTTTCGAATTATATTTGACTTGCTTCTTAATGGATTTTACTGTGGATGTTTTAAGTCTGCCAGTGACAATCAGTCATAGCTTGATTGATTCCTTTTTGATGAATAATGCCTTATTAAGAGAAAGTTAGCTTGCTTAGCGTTGGATTTAAGTACTGGACTTCAATTAGTGTGCAGGTAAGGATGGATTTGATATCAAACGATCTTCCAAGAACTCTTGTATATAGTTGAAATTATTTCAAAGACAGGCATCGAAGTTTTCAAAAAATATAGTGTTGCAAAAGAGTTTGATGTTAGATCTTGTTATCTAGCTCGTTATTTCCTTAAATTTTAACACAATTTGCCACAGTCCTGAAACCTTATAGGCACTCCTTTTGATATCACTTGCCTATGTGAAAGTAAAATTTAAATTACAAATATACACAGATGTACAAGCTTTTGTTTTATCAGCCCTGTCAAAGGCATAAGTCACACTAAAGTTTCCTTGAACTTCTATTGCTTGTGGTGAAAGAAAAAAAGTGCTGGCCCAAGTTAGGCAAGGTGCCTATTCCTGTAAAGATTTAATAAAGATATAGCAAAAACAAAAGAAAACTTATAACTAATATAACTTCTGGGCTTTAAAACAGTTGACTGCTTACCACTTGAGCTCAGCTCAAGTGGTAAGGGTGGGGTGGGCAGGTGGAGTATGGGTAGAGATCCTAGGTTGAAGTTCTAGTATTCCCTCTTGTAACCCTCTCCCACCCCCCCCCCCCCCAAAAAAAAAAAAAACAAAAAAACAACAACAGTTGACAACATTTTGTTGGCTAATGTACTACAGAGATCAAGCACTACTAAAAGTCATTATAAAACTCTACCTCTAAGTTCCACCACTTCCATCATCAACAAGATGCTATAAATGGACAATAATAACCTTTTCTCATACCTTAGACAAACCTTTTTCTTTTATTATTATTATTTTGTTAATTGAAAAATATAACACATAGAATATAAAATCTAGAGGAAACAAAAGCAATCTTAATAGAAGTGCATTTTTTGTGCCTCTTGTCATTTTAAGCCATGTGCCTTAGTAAAGGCACCTCACTGGCTGGGGTGCAAGGCACTTTTGCTAGATTGAGTTATGCCTTAGTGCAAGGCACTTTAGCTAGATTGAGTTAGGACTTAGTGCTTACATATGTGTTTTGACTACGCTGCACTTTATTACTAATCTTTACAGATTTTTCATTGCACTTGGGAAAAAAAAAACCTTCATTGGAGAGCATCAATTTGCAGTTCATTTCAGTATGGGTATAGGTTTAGATTTTCATTTCAATGCAGTTCTGGTAACTTCCTGTGTACTTTTTGCAGGTGTTCCCATTTGGCTCAGTGCCATTAAAAACCTTCCTTCCTGATGGGGATATTGATTTGACTGCTCTTATTAGTCATCAAAATTTGGAGGAAAATTTGGCAAGATATATCTGCAGTATCTTAGAAGATGACCAGCAGGACTCTGATTTCCTAGTGCAGGATGTCCAATATATTCGTGCACAGGTTTAGTTCTTTTCTAATTGATCTCTTTCTATCCTTTTTTAAGTGATACTTTATGCTTCATTAAAAGTTATAGTTATCTCACACTTTTACTTTGAATCTTTTATCAAATTTGGCACTTGCCATTTTGCTTGGCTGTCCCTTGGGGGCTTAGGTGTCACCATGTGCAGAGGCTGAAAAGTGTAGAACTTTGCACTCATCTGTATTATATGTTATACTTTTTGGGATTTTACCTATTAAATTGATTTTGGATGCTAGTAATGTATCCAAAGAGACCTTTCATTACTGAAATCATCATATCAACTTGGGAATTCCAAGGTTTATTTCCTTTCAACTCAAACTTCTTTCATGTACTCTTCAGCATCATGGCAAGGAACCATTGTCTGGTACAATGTGCATGTCCTGTGCCAACAAGCATGGAAGCTTCAGTCCATTTACTCTACTCTTGAATAAATGGTAGGACAGTAACCAGCTCATCCTTCCCAACACCCTATTTGGTGGTCCATAATCGGTGTTCATCCTTTTTGTCACTCTCAGGTTTTATGAGAAATGAGCCATGGCATATGTGAGATTGTTCTTTATAGATTAACAAGTTAACATACCAAACACATTTTGACAAGATAACTGCACATGCACACATCTAAAATTCGGTTCTTGAAAATAGCTTATAGGCGGGAGCTTGATATCCTTTCATGTGTATGAATTGGATTATCGCAGCTGTCACAGGTACTAAAGCCACTTAACCATGTTGCTAACTAAAGTAGTTTTTTTAGGAAGAAAATTTTGTGGAAAAAAAAAAAAGAAAGCTAGGGTTTTGTTATACAGCTTTGTTTGTTTCTGTAACTTTGCTTTCATGGGACTTAACATGGAAACTGAGTACACATCTTCATTGGACAATTATTGGTCATTGCCAGTCGCCACTGTTTTTTTTTTTTTTTTTTGGGCAGTCAGTCATTGCCATTGTTAAGTATCCACCCAAAACCCAGCAACAATTGGTAGAGATGTGCAATTCGAATATAAATCCATGGAAAACTCTGAAGTTAATTGATGTAGGATAAAACCAGTTAGCACTTTCCCTCATTTGTAACCCAATATTAACAATTGAAATAGACAGAGCTACCATGTGGACAATGAATACGGGAAACAAATAACAAACAATGAAACAAACTGGTAACAAACTAGTCTCTTAACCTTATTAAATAGACAACCTAAAACCACTGAGTAATAGGTGGAGATGTCAAACTGAATAACATCACAATAAACCCCAAATTAACTGATGTTAGATAACACCATGTAACAGCCATGTTCTGGCAAACACATGTCACCACCTTCAAGTGGCGGTATTATGTGGTCAGAAGTTGTTTCAGGTGCATCCATCTTTGTTTTTGTTCCTCTGCACTGAAATATTATTTACAGCACATTAGTGATCATACTTATTGCAACAAATAGAGCCCAAAATCATCTGGTACTCATTGCCGTTATTTTGGAATTTTGAATGGCAGGTTAAGATTGTGAAATGCACTGTGAATAATATCCCAGTGGACATCTCTTTCAATAAAATGGCGGGTCTGTCTGCACTATGCTTTCTGGAGAAGGTATCATCTAATCCTATCAAAAGTTGAGATGTTTAGCAACTGTTTTTTCAGAACATTAGTGACTTGGACACTTGCACATGTTAAATTAATTTAGCCTCCAGCTTTTAACCCACCCCAAACATCTAGACTGAGATCATCCAAATATGTATATTTGACTTGACAAGAAAGTAAAGAACTGAAAAATGTAATTCCATATGGTACATTGTTTTGATTTTTAGCACTAATACAATAACAACAACATACTAAGCCTTATATCCCATATTCTGGGGTCGGCTGTATGAAAAACCATATGAGAGAATCAAATTAGGTTGTAGATTGAATCCTCTTGCACCACTTATTTCTATCAACAACCACTTCTTCATCTAATTCCTTAACCATCATATTGTTTTTTATTACTTGCATCCATATCTGATTTTTAGCACTAATGCTAAGTAGAAAAATTTAGATTAGCTTCATTGGATACGTAGCTTTTTATTGTTCTTGTTTTCTATATGACCATTTTCCACCATCTAGAAGAAGCGGACTTAGCTTTTTCTTTTTCTTATATTTCATTCATTCCTATATCTTTGAACTCTGTTCTGGATCTGAGAGAAATTAATTTTTCTTTAACGATTATATTTGTTTGTTTTCAGTTTCTCTTATTTTCTTTCAGATTGCTTAGTTCAGCAATTAGGCATGCTTTGCATTTAGTTCCAAAAACCCAGTTCACCCTTTCCCCTCACTGTTGCTTGATATTACCTACCCTCACTGCAGCCTTGAGTAAACCCTCTCTCTCTTTCCTTGCATTATTTCCTATAGCAATATTGGGTGTGACAATTTTATGCACATGTGACTTATTTGGAACTATATGTTTTCAGGTTGACCAAATTGTTGGGAAAGATCATCTTTTCAAACGCAGTATCATCTTGATCAAGGCCTGGTGCTATTATGAGAGCCGAATTCTTGGTGCACATCATGGCTTGATTTCTACATATGCATTAGAAACAATGATCTTATATATCATTAATATCTTTCACTCATCATTAAGCGGTCCACTGGAGGTGAGTATTTTTCCATTTACCATTTCTCAATCATCTGCAGAAATATGGATAATGGGACCTTTTATATTCTGTTTGCAGGTGCTTTATAAGTTTTTGGACTACTACAGCACATTTGATTGGGCAAATTACTGCATCAGTATAACTGGTCCAGTTTCCATATCTTCCCTTCCAGCAGTTATGGGTGAGTAGTGCATTAGTCTCAGTTCATATAAATCTAACTGGTTCACTTATGTGCTTAGAATCCATCATTACTGTATTCTTTGCAGCTAAGACTCCAGAAAATGATGGTGATGAACTTCTGCTTAGTCAGGACTTTCTGAGGAATTGCAGAGAAATGTTTTCTGTTCCAATGCAATCTCTTGAGATTGGGGCCCATGCTTTTCCCATCAAGCATTTAAACATCATGGATCCTTTGAAAGAAAATAACAACCTAGGGCGAAGTGTAAGCAAAGGTATTTCGACTTGCTTTAAATGGTGAACTGGTTCTTTGATAGTTGTTCTGAATTTTGTTCTTAGAGTCTGCAATTTCTCAAAATTTTCTCAGAAGCGTTAGAAATTGAAATCTTTTCTTCCCATTTTATTGAAAATTTTAATCATTACTTGAGAGGGAGAGGGAGATCATACCACATACCAATAGATGATCTAATGCCAAGAAATTATAGCTAAATGTAGTGGTTAAAGGTTTCTTGATCTAATATTTTACTACAATATCTGAACTGAAAGCCTAAGTTTAATTCTTGGATTTTATTAAAAGAGTTTAATAGATGCTTTTATTGTCTCTTAGTTTAAATATTAATTTCATCAAAATAATATGAAAATGATCATCAGCCTGCATCTTCCTCTCCAGGTAATTTCCATCGAATAAGATGTGCTCTTTCCTATGGAGCCCAAAAGCTTGGGGAAATCCTCATGCTACCAGGTGAAAATATGGGTATGGGACTTGAAAAGTTCTTTGTTAATACTTTGGATCGGAATGGAAGAGGACAGAGGCCAGATGTACAAGTTCCAGTACATGCCTTTGGCACTGGCAGATCTGAAGTGTCTGATCTGAGTGGAGACTATGACGGATACTATAATTGTCTACTATATAGTCATTGGTTTCATAGCTATGCCTTGCCTGTTCCTACCCAGCCAATCACTGTATCATCATCTTCTCAGACACAAAAAAAGAGTGCATGGGATGCCCTACGCCGGTTTGTGAGGTGCAAAGGAAACATTTTTTTCCGGAGGGGCACTAATGTATTTATTCCAAAACTTCCATTCTCTCATCCTCGTGCTCTCCAGTTACCAGCTGCTACATATGGTATTGACAAGATGACAAAGTCAAGAGGAACAGGCACTTACATCCCTGACGTGGTATATTTAGTTTCAATGAGAGATCTACTTGTTTGACTATCAAATTAATGACCTGAACTGAAACTACGATGGTTGAACATTTTTTTGCTAAAATGACAAAGTTTTATTCATGCAGACCCATCAGTCTTACAGAGAGATGCAATCGTGGGTATGTACAAGAAATCCTGAGTCTTCTATTCCTGGCCTGTTGCATAACTCACCAAAAGAAAACAATCGGTTTGAAAATTCCCTGGAGATACACCACAGTGGAAATGGTTGCTGTCTTGATCTTTCACCAGAGCAATTCCCTCTTCTTCCGAGCATCGAAAGAACCATGACAACCGCTCAATCTAGTCAGCCCACGGTGAAGAGTCCACAGGATGAGAATGGCTCTCAATCATTACCAGATATTAAATTTGGTATTTATGAGTGTTCATCCCCAATAGGAATGCATTCACCACCACCTGAGCAGACAGACTCCAGATTATGCATGCCTACAATTGAAAAGCAGAAGGAAAAAGAACTTTGCGAGTTTAATGAAGAAAGGTAAAGCGTGGTATATTCTGTGAATATTTGGGAGAAAATTCTGATTTTCGTTTTCACTTGCTAACTAGGTACTGTAGGGCTCCTGTAGAACCTTTCCAACTGAAAGATGATAATGACTTCCCTCCTTTATTATCCATTTGAAAGAATTTTCAGAGAGTCTGCAACTGCAAGTCAACCGAAGGAACAATCAACATGTCCAAGCTCACCTGTTAACCATGAGATTGGCCTGCCTGCAGTACCATATGTCGAAGACACAGTTTTGCCTTCCTTTTCCCCTCTCCCTTCTGTAAACTAGAGGGATATAGCAAATGATGATAGACCTTTTTTATCTATGACAATCTTTCAGGGTTATTTTTATCAAGCAGCTAATAACCCTTTTTTTCATCTACAATCTAAATTAAGTTTGAATAGCTGTTTGGCCTGGTGCATGATACTGAGTAACATGAGCTTTGGTATGTCTGTAATATAGCGGACTTGGAGCTCAGCTATGGCTGGCACAGAACTCACAGTACCTTTGCAACATATACACATACGTAATAAATTACCATGCATGTGCAAAGACACACGTGAGCCTTTGGGATCACATACATGATCACGCATACAAGCATGCATGCACATATGATGGCTATGTGTTCCCATACTTGCAGAGCCCTCCAATTCTTGCATGTGCACATTCATTTAGCGCAGGTTTAGCGGCTTTTCAGGGAACCAAATTTAGTGATTTGTGGAAGGCATTGAAATCAGGTGTAGAAATCATCCTTCAAACCTATCTTCATACAGGACAACCTTCGAAGATAAAAACTGGAAGTAACCGACAGTATCTTCCAACTTGATCGTTGTACTTTTGAATGACCAACCGGTAAGAGTCGCATTTTACAATTGACATAATTCTGGTTTTTCTTTTGTCCTAATCATCGTTTATTGCCAAAAGTTCATGTTCAATTCAAACCAATTCTCATGGGCCGAGTAATAATATACTTAAATCGGCAGTAATTCAGCAAAGTTTCTGTTTTCAATGTCGAAGAAGGGTATGAACTATAAAGCATCCCACAAGCATATCCACATTCAAAGCAACTGTTTTTTAATGCATCCCATGTCACACAAGAATTTATTTGTTTTCCAGAAGTACTTTAAGGCATCACTAGAAAGAGTTCTTAGGTACAGACCACTTCTCATTGACACCATTGAGAACACTTCAAGAAGCAGTAACTCAATTGTATCTGTCTCCTTAGTAACAAAGGGAAACCCCCAGATTCTCCCAATATGAATAACCTAAATTTCCGAGTGAGCCACTGTCTTGGGAGTGAAAATGTACATGTGACAGTCATGAGAATCAACTTTAGCACCAAATGATGCCACAACATCTTCCTTAAGATCATTGTGCTGTAAGCAATAAAGATATGTAAGCAGGAAGTTGGGAAGTGAAGAAAGATAAATTTAGCATCATTGTGGGGGTCGTAAATTGCAAACTGGAAACCGAGGTAAAAGGATATGGTTTCAAATCCGTAGTAAAAAAACTACTTCCATTTTTTACTCAAACCTCAATTTTGAATTCATTTGCCAATTTTTGTCGATACAATAATTTGCAACCCAACCAGAATGCCAAACTCAGTTTAATAAAGGAATTAATTAACAAAAAAAAAAAAATCAACAGCTGTGACAATGAATTAAGGTGTCCCTATTTGACCTAGGGAGAGGTTCGGGCAGTCGGAGAAACAGTTGCTTTATAATCTATGCTGTTAGGACCAATAGTCCACATCTAAGACCTTCAGAAAAGGTTTAATCCAGGCTTTCAATACCATCAATCTAAACACCAACTAAAAAGACAATGTAAGTCAAGTCAGTTTCCTCACCTGCCACAAATCTCTTACTGAGACACTGGTGCTAGATTCAAGACCAAGTGCCTCCCACATAGCTGTTATTGTTGCAGCTTTTGAACATCTATTCCAAAAAGCGACAACCAAGCGATTGCCAGACAAAGGTCCCGCCCAAACCTGCAAAACAGAATCAAATATAAAGTTAAAACAGATATTTTATACTCTATAGCATAATGTTAGCCTCGTTTGAAAGTCCAAACAAAAGTGATACAGTATATGAGTAACAGCTACGGCCATAACCCATATGAGATATTGTTGTCTGCCAGGATAGTTCTCATAATCAAACCTTCACAGCTAAGATAACTTTTAGCAGCTCAATACCCTTGCAATTGAGTCTGTTATTTTATTTTTACATTTTGGTAGCCAGCAAAAAAATACAGGCACACATAACAACTTCATGAGACCCAGTTGCAAACTTTTAGTTAAGTTCATGATTAACTAAAGCCACATATGAGGGCACCGTCGGAGGCCATATTTTTGTTACCTTGTCATAGAAAAGATAGTTATCATACTAAAGCAAGCTGTGAGATCACCTGAAGGCAGTCATCTTCTCCAGCAACATAAACTTTCCTTCCCTGAACCCCAAGTGAGTCTGCAAAAAGAAAAAATAACCTACCTGCTCAGATACCCTAATATATGAATTGATATCCATGTACTAATAAGAATAACAGACAGCACATTGTCTTTTTATACAAGAAACACAAGAAAAGCCGGGTGGGATGGGGACAGGAGAAGAGTAGCAAAAAATAAAGATTTCACCTTGGTTTACAGCAATAACCTCCTTATTGCTAAGAATCTCAAAGGTTTCAGCAGTCATGTTTCTTACATCACAACCAACCAAAAGAGGGGCCTGCACCATCAGGGACAAAATTATCAGCCAACTAAATGATTCAGAAGGCAACATGTAGCAGATATGGTCTATGCTATTAATCATGCAACACTAAATTGAAGCAAAGTTCTCCAAGGTAAAGTTTTAAAAAGTATACTTATACGACACAACAAATAAACACAGTTGTACCCATTGTATCTTGTCAGATAAGCACAAAACCAAACATCCAGGCCCGGTAGTTAAAACATTGATGTCTGAACATGGAAGAGCAAGCTCATGGAAAAAGTAGTTCGCAGGAACCAGCCAAGTAAGATTGTTTTCTCAATTCTCAGCATCAATTGTGTTAGTAACAAAGAATTAAAAAATCAGACAACTTTGGATGGGCTACATGTGATTGTCAGCCACTCAACTTAATCTAGAGCATACCTTCATTGAAGTAATATTAATAATTTAAAATTAATGTAAAACTTAGTAGAATAAAAATAAAAAACTTTCCTATAATATTCAAAGCTAAATAAGCAATAAAGAAAAAGGAAAAGACCTTCATCAAAGCCCAAATGCTAAAATGAGCACGGTATTCCTGATAAGTCATGCCTCCATTGCCAACTTCCAGCATATCAGGATCTGCCCAAAAAGGATTACATGGGGAGTTCCATAGCAGCAGCTACGTGCAAGATTTTTAACAACTTTATGCAAATAAATAAAAAGACATTTTTACCATTCCATCCGCCAGGTCCGGCATGGGAAGCCCACTTGTCATTTAGATCAGCTATTGTAGTCATGCTACCAATAAGGGGAAAAGAAAATATGTCAATTAATAGAAGAGATCAAGTATGACCAGAAAATTTTCCTTTTCTCCTGTAACTAGTGGGTAAAACATATGTATTATTTATTAGACTTCTTACAAGGTATAACCAAACCAGTTCGGCATCTTATGCTTTCCCAAGTGCTGATGATGCTTGGGGGGGGGGGGGGGGTGAGTTTTAAGTTTACCAAGCTCTTCAATTCCAGTTCGCCACCCAACCCAAAAAAGTTAGATTTCATATCCAACACATGATACCAGAACATATAAGGAAGTTACTCATATCAAACATCAAATTCATGATGCCAGAAAGTATCAGAAAGCAGCATAACTCAGACTTGATCTATTTCCAAGTTAAATGCTCTTGTTGCTTCCATGTATCTCATTATCCTCTGTAAATGATTCTAGTGGTCATAATTTTGGCAGACCAAGAAATAATTATCCTTTAGATTCATTAGTTCTACAGTCTTGACTCTAATAGTGAAGGTGATGCTAGTTGGCAATTCAAAAGACAGGTGAACATTAACTACTAGATGTGTTGCCTGCTCATCCCTTAGCAAATAAGAGTTAATCTTTTTTTCAAATATTATATTGCAAGTTAAAGGTCAGCAGAAATATCATCACAAACCCAATCCTCTCCCTAATTTCCCTAGAAAAAGATTAGTGAGCATCTTATAAAAAAATCGAGTTGTCATTTCCCTGCAAGGAGTGGAATAACAAATGAATCATGCTCAAACAAACTTTGAAAGCAACTAACAGAACCATCTATGGATTTAGCTAAACAGTTTAGTTTAATTCTGGCACATTGGACAATGATGCAAGCAGCATTAATTCATTACACCACACAATCGCTGTTTACTTGAGTCAAGAATTCTAACCTAGCCCATGTATCATTAATGTCATCTGTTGTACGCCAGCTATTTCCAACTCCATGAGCCCATAAGGCAGGGTCTTCAACACCCCTGTCAATGAAGCCATGGTTGATCCCAGGATTGTGGCAAATTGTGCAGAAAAATAATGCAACTAGAACATGAAATTTAATTACCATTCACAAATAGAATAGAAAATTGTTCGCCCAGTTGCATTTAGAGCATCATGCATCAGAGGATATCTGAAATTATGGTAACAAGTCCAGTGAGTTGAAGAAATGAAATATTGATTCTTTGAGTAATTGAAATGAAGAGATTTAACCTTTTTTTTGGTTCTATACCCAGGTTGAAACAGTTATCATACTTCAAATAGTCTACACCCTGGTAACAAATAAACAAAGCATTAAATAGAAATTTTAGATCATTCTAAATGAGAGGCACAGCAGAGAATATATCATTGTTTTCAGAGTCCATATTATTAGTACTTTGAATTATAGAAGCCTATTGATGGCCAAAAATAATAATAATAATAATTATAGGAGCCCATCACTACCAAACTTTTAATGTTTTAAGAAATCAAATAGTTAACATTTGAATCATGTTTAATGATTTCCTACATAAGCAATGACTTTACTATTTATCTTGGGGTGACTTTGTTCTCAAGAATGATGTATTTCTAACTTCATATGCAAGCAAAGAAAGGTTTACCCAAAAATGGTTTTGATGGGCATCCAACTACTCTTCACTATACTTTTAAATATTGGATTAGATTCCTAACCAAGTTAGGTATGATATAACAAAAACTAACCCAAGAAGCAAACAGCTGTGCATCATCAGTTTCATGGAAAAGCGATCCAGGTCGAACTTGACACGTAAATGCCCTACAACATGCAGTTGGGTTAGTGAGGAAAAGCCAGAATTTAACAGATGTTATGCAAAAATAAATAACTGTTCCATTGTGAATCTAACTTCAGTGATTATGTGCAGGTATTGGAAGTCCATCCTACCCAGCATCAGAATAAATACCAAGCTTGAGGCCTTTCCCATGTACATAATCAGCAAGAGCTTTGATTCCTGATGGAAAAGTGTTTGGATCAGGGACCAATTGACCCTGCATGATGAAACAAAGCCATAAAAATGGTTTTATTTAGGCGATCCATCAGAACTTCAACCAGATGAATCATTTCTTTACATCTAAAATGCTTGTATGTCATCTGTATCTTGTGTCAAGACTAAATTTTTACATTCAAACCATAGAACATAACCAAGTAATAAACCTCTAGCTAGAACAAATGTTTTACACAGACAAGTTTTATGTGGGTTAGTAAACTAAGAAATGCATATCGTTTTTCCATAAATTAAACTAGAAATCACAGTTTTGATAGGTCAAGGTTTAAAGAATGCTAATAGCAAGAGTCATGATTTCTTTAAAAGCTAGAAGATTTAACTGACCTCTGAATTTCGACTGGCAGCAGACCAGCAATCGTCTGCATCCAATGAAATTAAGGCTCAAATATGACAAAATGAAGATAAAGTAAATGCTTACAAATGACAGAAGAATACCTATATTAACATAAAAATAGCCTAAATCTGCCAAGCCTGTTGAGACAAGTGCATCAGCTGTCAATAATAAAACCAAAGTTAGTATTTCTAGTTAACGTTAATCAGAAAGAAGAAGAAAAATAAATGGAAACTCAAATCGTAATGGAACGATGTTTCACTTCACAATCCAATCAATAATCAACAAATTAAATGTAACTCAGACTTAATGACCAGAATGATGTGCACAGCTCCTTCATGTTAGTTTTCAAGAATGAGTAGTTGATTACCAAACATATTTCTAGCAAAACATTTTCATAAATTAAAATAACATGGCAACCCATTTATGTATATATTTTCTTGGCTAAATTTACAAAATTTAATATTTGCAAGGAATTAAAAAATTATTTCGAATACTGTTTATCCAGAAAAACTACGTAGAAAAAAACCTATTATTTCAAATTTTAGGTAACCATGGAAAAGAACAAAAATGTCAAACTATTTGACATTGAATTTGAAGGATAAATTGCCAAATTATTTGTTCGTTTGAAGTTAACATATCCCCATTCAATTCTTTTGACATGAATACAGTATACCAACTGCATATATATATACATATGCATACATACATACATACATATATATATATATATCAAGTATTCCTCATTTCTTAAAATTCTTAAAGAATCCCCCAAGAAGTCATGTTTTTCTCTGCTTTTCATATGAATATGTGGGTAATGTTTTTTGGTTAATGAATTTGTCTACTCCTAACCAAAAAAGCAAAATGGCTCATGATCAGTCATGAGATTAATTGGAAAAGAATGTGGTATTTATGTGTACTTATGAATTGTGTTGGCAGAAAGAATAGATGAATACCAAATATAGGGTAATGGCAAATGAACCATGAGATCAATTAAAAATGGTAAAGAAGCAATACCTGTTTCCCTGATAAGATCTTCAGTGATATTACAAGCAAAGAAATTCCAGCTATTCCATCTGAGAATCATATATAAACACACATTGGGAAAAATCATATTGATGTTATTAATTTTTGACATACAAACAATTTTAATATTTCTTGTCAAAAAATGAAAAGAAAAAATTCTGACACATTCCTCCATTAGCAAGATCACTTGATAAAGTAACATCAAAACCTTTGACTCAAGCAAAACCCATCATCCTAATACCCAAACCACTACCTTCCCCATATTTCCCACTTCAAATAATTCAAAAATCTCCATAATTCCAATTTTCTAGTCAAAACAGGGAACAAAAATATTTATATCTAGTTGATGAACTGTCAATAATGCCTTAAGTTCTAAAATACGCGAAGGAAGCCATTAAATATCCTTCCAGTTACAAATTTTTTAGTGTAAAAGTTTAGTCTCCATTCACACAACTCAATCAGGACAATGATTTTTCTTTTCCTTTTTTGGTGTTTCTCCCCCTAAAAATATTAACTTTAAGAAAATTGAAAGCAAAAGTTTCAATCTTTTCTAGATTTTCTTCATCTTCATCTCTCACTGAACAATTTATTTTTATCTTTTGACCATTAAAATTCGTTTTGTTTCGTTCATATTTTACTCACTCACGTATTGTACAAATTCAGTCCCTAAAATCCGGGAAAAAAGAAGAAAATAAGTAAAAATCAAATATATCAATAAAGCTTTAAACTTGATCAAAAAGCAAACACCCAGTGCATGATGAAACAAATCAAAATTCAAACTTTTTCTTAATAGTAAACAGACAGAAAGATGAAGAAATAAAGAGAGAAAAAATTACCCCATTTGAGGAGATAGAGCCAAGCCATTTTTGAGTTGAAAATTTCCATATTTTGAAGTATCATAAATGGAGTTAAAAGATTCGGTGAAACCAAAGCCAAAACCTGAACTTGGTTGTTCATATTTCTCCAACACAGCCACTTCTCTTCCTTCAATTCCGACATCAGTTAACCACACTGTAAGAACCATCAAAACATAAACACTGCATATACTCTTCTTCTTCATCTTCTCCATGCCTTTTTTTCTCTCTTGAACTCTATTAGAAGTTAAAACTCGATCAGCTTTATGTAAGTAAAACAAGAGAAAGGCAACAAGACAAGCAAAGTTATGATTTTTTTTTTTCCTATTTTCAGTTAATACATTTAGTTAAACATGACAAGTTAGCGGTGACAAATACTTTATTCTCTGATTGATTGTCTGATTAAAATGGAGAAATGGGACCCACCAATTTGTGATTCTGATATTGATCCTACACACTGGTTTTGCATGCTGGAAGGAATTAACACTTGTTACAATGAAAATTTCCATGCATTGCATCTTGATTCCTAAATTCCATTTTTCAAATTTTTTTTTTTACAAAACAAACGGTTAAAGATTTAAAGATATCATTTTTATTCATACCTAATATAGAATTTGATTTTTTACTCACAATAAGATGGATATGATGTTATGGGAATGAGTATGATTTAAATTTTTTACTAAATACAAAGATGAAGACAAAAATAAAGATGAAAATAGGTAACATAGCACTTACCTCATATTTATATTCATACTCTACACATAAATTTATATATATTTAATAAATAATTTTTTTATTAAATAATATAAACTATTATTTTAAATTACTTAAAATTGAAATATTTTTATTTAAAATATATCTTAATATATTTATAAGAAATTACATAAATATACAAGATAAAAATTAAAAAATATATTTTGGTTTTTGTTTTAAAAATTATGGGTACAGAAATTATCTATATTCATTAAATACTCACGAGATGAAAATGAGAATAGATTTGAAATACTCGTTGAGTATAAAAAGATGAATATAATATAAAAATTTAAAATTAGGATGAAAAATATTTTACCCATCTCATATCTTATCTATTCATATCTTTAAAAGGATTGTTGGATGTTACTTAAATTGATTCTATGAATAGATTAAAGTTTGAGTCTTATTTTTTTAATGTTAAGTGCTTTTTCATATAACAAATTTGGCATTTTTTTGGGTTCTATATCTTATGTTATAATGTAGTAAGGATAATGAAGATGACCCATACCTAGATTATTCAAGAAGGAAAAGATGAAGATAAGATATAAATTGATAAGTCAACTCAATAATTAAGATGTTAATTTTCTATATAATATAAACCATATATAAATATTTGAAATTGACATACCTATATATAAGTTTAGTTTCTTTTTAGTTCAAAATGTGCCATAAAATCTTACACTTTTTTGTTTTTAGAAATTTAATTCCTATAGTATTATTTTAAAAAGTTCAATTTTTATAATATTATTTTTTTTAAGAATTTAATTTCAATCGTCAACAATATATAAAAACTAAATTTCTTAAAAATAATAATGTAAGGATTAAATTTCTGTAAATAATATTGGAAGGATTAAATTTCTGTAAATAATATTATAAAAACTAAATTTTAAAAATTGTATAAAAACCTATGTGACATTTTAACTTTTTTTTTTTTTTACTATATATGGGAGCCATAAAATCATGTAAAAAGACAAGTGAAACAATTGCTGTAAGATTATCCAAATAACACATAATACAAATGTTGTTGAATGGTATTCTTTTATGAATTATGAAAAGTCTGTCTCACTTTGTCAAATTAATTAATAAGGAATGAATTTTGGGTTTTTATTATGTATGTATTTTTGCCATTGGTTCTTAAAACACACTTCCAATTCTCCATGACACCCAATCCATTTGTTGTTTTCCTCAATTTTCTCTCCACTTATAAAAGTCAAACATTCTTGTTATTTTATCCGATCTCTAGAGAAAATTGTTATTTTATCCAATCAAATAAACTTTCTGCCTTTAAAAAAATAAAAAATGAAAAAATAATATTAAATATTATAATTAAATATGCATCTTACACTCTTAAATAAATATGACGATTTGTGTATTCGTATAATGTACATATTAAAATTTATATATTTATATACGTATTATATTTTATATCAATACAAAAATATAAAATATATATTTTTAATTTTATTAATTTATATATAATTATTGTTAAAATTTTAAATCATGTTATTTTTTTTTATATATTTTATGTATCATATTTATGTTGTGTTGGATTTTAAATTATCAAACCTAATCTTAAAAATAATAGAGGTGAAGGGCTGGGCCTAAGAAAGAAATTTTTTAGAAGGAACAAAACAATTTCTGGACTAGGAATTCCCAAAGCAAAGGCCCAACTAATCACCCATTTGGGGTCCATTGAACTTGGGCCAAATGATAGCCCAAGTTTATTAAACAAAAGTAAAGAATAAACAAAATATAATGAGCCTGATTTATGAAAAATTATTTCATAAATGATCGAATTCAAGAGTTAACACATGCTTATTTAAGGTATATTAAAAAGCAAAAATATATAATATAATAAAAAAAAGCACATCTAACATTTTTTTATACCGTTTTTACATCCGATATATATATATATATATATAAACAAATTTATGATTTATTACCAATTTTTTGTTGATGGAAAAGGATGATAAGAAGTTGATTTGTTGTGCAATTGTGATTAGTAATTTATGTTGTTTAGGGTTTAGGGTATGATTAAAGTTGATTGATTGAAGCCAATAAAGTTAAGCCTCATTTTTAGCTTCCAATATAGGGGAGAGGGGTGAGAAGAGCTTTGAATGTTGTAATGAACATGGAATTGATCAAATTATGGGCAGTCATGCAATATTCACTAAAATGTGGTGTAAAAGCTTGACAAAGAATCATATATGTCTTGATTGATGAGGTTAGGCAGCCTACACTATCTAAATCTATTGGGCCCAAGGAATTATAATCTTGTTGAGAGCAAAATATCTCACGTCATAGTAACCAGACAAATGCATATCTTTAATCAAATTAGAGGAGAAACCACAAACACTGAGAAAGAAGAATCAAATTTTACTAGGAAGGAAAGGATCGATTGTTATTTTTGGTAGAATGAGCTAGACCTGCCGATGAGTTGGGTTGGATTGGATTCGGATTAAATTTAATATGATATTTTAATATTTTAAATAAGTTCAAATCTAATTTAATTTGATTTTTTAGGTTTAATATTTTGTCCAAATCCATTACGGTGGATGATAATAAAATTTAAATCTGTTCAAAGCACTAATATTTAAAATTAAAAAATATTTTATTTTATTTTTTATAAATTATTAATTTAATTAATTTTAATTAAATTTATGAGTCATTTGAATTTGAGTCCAATTTAATTTTGTTGAATATAATTTAAAGTTGAATCATTATTTTATATATAAAAAAAAAAGACTTTATCCTATTATAAATCATAAAACAAATGAGCTTTATCTATTGTAAAAAATAAAATAAATAGACCTTATCTGATTATGATAAAAATATTTTTTTAATTTTTAGATTAGGTCTGGTTGACCTGGATTTTAAATGATGAAACCTAAGTTTGACATTATTTTTTGATGAGATCTTATTGATTTGTCCAAATTTATTTAATGAACTTAATATTCATATTCATATTCAAACCATTCAAAATTTTAAACAAATTTTCAATTCGGACAAATCGTCTGATCCATGAACAAGTTTAAAATGAAGTATTATGTTATAATGATAAAACAAATAAAATTTAGGGAGCCATGACTAGAGGTGTAATCAAGTCGAGTCGAATCGATATAGTGAGAAGCTTGAACTCAAGCTCGACTCCCAATTCGTGCTCGATACTCGGCTCAAACTCAATGAGTTTCATTTTTCTAGCTTAAGCTCGATTCGTGATCGAATTTGAGCTACTTGAACTCGTTTGATTAAGCTCAAAAATATGTAAAAATAAGCTCGATTCTTATACTCGACAAGAACTTAATTATTTATGTTCGAATTTGAGATATTTTATTAATTAAAATAATAAAAAAATTTTAAATATAAAAGCTCGATTTGACTCGGGAGCTACTCGAGTTGAGTATAAAAATACTCCAACTCGACTCAATCGATGAGTTGAGCTATTCGAACTCAAGCTCGACTCGATAATAATCAAATTTAATTTGAGTTTTATTCGAATCAAACTCAAATAATTTACGAGTATTAATGTATCATTTACACCTTTAACTATGACTCTTGCTAATCCTCTAATTATGTTTCTCCTTCAAAAAGAAAAAGAATTTTTTGAAAATTAAAATAAAAAGAATCGTGTGGTTAAAATCAAATAATCTTAAAATTAACAAAGCTAATAAGAAATAAAAATGGAAATAAATTTTTTAAAAATGCCGTTTTAACAATTTCTTTCCATCAATATTTAATTAGAATGATTAGTTATCAATAAATATATAATAATAGCATGAATTTGTGCAAAGAAAGAAATTGAAGGAAAAAAATAGGTAGATTCGTGGAAAGATCAGATTAGCTTATATTGAAACGGCAATGATTTTTGACTTTTGTGTTAGACTTAGGTTTACTTGAGAGAGACCTTTTGGTGGAATGGTGATAGGATTTCATTACATCAAAAATGTCATGGCAATCAGTCTTTTTCATTTTTTTATCAATTGTGTCGTCAGATGCATTTATATATAGTCTTGCCATGCAATCGAGTCTTCTTTCCTTCAATTGGTGATTGAAAGAGGAGGAATTCAATGAATTACTGAATATTAAAAAATATAATATAAAATTAAAATAAAACATTTTTTAATTATTATAATACATTGTGATTATCACATCCAATCTCATTATCATTTTTATTGTTAAAGTGTTAATTTCCTATAATATTATATTTAGGTTCGACATTTTTAATTATGATAAATTAATTTTAAGTTGATATTTAACATAATATTTTAATTTTTTTAAATTTATCACATGATAAATTTTTTTATCTTTACGTATAAGCGATGAAATCTATTAAAGTGATATTATCTCATATTTAATAAATATTTAATTTTTTATAATTTTATAATCAAATTGAGTCTTTTTACTTACAATCAATTCATTTTAAATTAAATACTTAATATAATATTAAAGTCTCAAATTTTTTTTAATGACATGTGATAGATTTTTTTTATTTTTATCTATACGTGATAGAGACTTATTGAAATAATGTTATATTACTTTTAATAAATATATAATTTTTTGTAATTTTATATTTAAATTGAATAATTTTATTTATTGTTAATTGATTTTAAATTAAATGTTTAATAATTATGGTTACATAAAAAGAAAAAAAGAAAGAAAGTAGATTCGGGGAAAGATCATATGAGCTTATATTGAGACGGCAATGATCTTCACCAAAAAAGGGTTAGGTACTGAGTTGAATGATATTTTGGCTTTTGCGTTAGACTTTGGTTTACTTGAGAGAGACCTTTTGGGTGGACTGGTCATAAGATTTAAGCTCCGTTCAGGATTTCATTTCATCGAAGTTGTGATGGCATTCAATTGTTTTTTACCACTTGTATTGTGAGATGCATTTATACAGTTTGTTGCCGTGCAATTCAATTGGTGATCGAAAGACAAAGGACTTAATGAATTACAGGATCTTAAGACGGTCGATTGTCTTAATATAAAATTAAAATAAAATATTTTTTAATTATTATAATAATTGTATGAAACAATCGACTTTACACTTAATTTTACTGTTATTATTTTGTTTACGTCTAAACAAATAACTTTTTAATGATTTTAATTTTATTATTATAATATTTAATTATATCATTTAATTATTTTTTATTTTATTAAAATTAATCTTACCATTCATTCAAATCAATCTTAAACCATTAAATAATGGCCTAACTTTGAGAGCAGCCTCAATGGGTTTTAAGAGCCGCCTCAATGGGTTGTGAGGACAATGACCTTAGCTCTCTTTGCCGGACCCAGTCGGACCTCTAGACTACCCCCTAAACTGATCATCTAATTGGGAAATTTCCAGATTCACAATATCACACCCATAAATGATTCAAATTTAACAATATTTTGTAGATCATATATTATATATATATATATGTAAATACAAATTTCATTATTTTTGAATAAATTTGATAATTTATGTTATTATATCATATAAAATATTATATTTATATCATATTTTACATAAAAATTATGTCATATATTATAATTTATATTAACACGAAAATATAAAATAAAATTTTTAATTTTATTAAATTTATTTATAATTTTTTAAAAAATTTAAATAATATTATTTTTACATTTTTTATTTATAATATTTTCATATCATATTACATCAAATTGTCAAATTTAATTTTTAGTGATGTAATGTCAATTTCACGGTAGCTTTTTTTCTTCTTATCCAAGTGTTCAACAATCATGAGAAATGTCATGAATTAATTAATGCTATGCTAGTTACTTTTTTCTTTAGTCTAGCTAGTTGATAAGTTAAGCATATGAACTTACCCAACAACTTACTTTTCTGCAAATATATATAATGTCATTCTTCTTGTGGGCAATAAATTTTCTCTAAATTAAGATGCAAGACTCCATTGAATTTTCAACATATCTATTTTTATTGATAGAATCAATAATAAAAATACAAAACTCCTTTCTCTCAGACCCTATATCAATAATTCTGTAATCATTATATACATATCATTAGCATGCAAAAACTGGGGAAAAGAAACAAAAAATCAAAGGTATAACTATGACGACCAAAAGACAAAAAAAATGAATAAGAAATTCATATAGGAGAGCATGGAAGACCAAAGCTATCTAGTTTCTGACGTCGTTGGTTCCTTTGCTAGGTCCAGACGATGGCACGGGTCCCTTGGGAAGCATGCTCAGGATCATGGGTCCATATTTTCCGGCGAGTCTTGGAGACCTTACAAGCCCCACATGGGAGCTTCTGATGGGAACCATATGGTCACATGGCAGAACCTGCGGCTTAGGATCTTGCCCCGATTTGTCGAAATCCTCGACGGGAAGTTCAAGGTTCAAAGTTGGCTCTGTAGCTGCCAGGCCATTTGACAGAAAGCCGTTCAAAAGCCTAGCTGAAGAGAATGAATTAGATGTGAAGATGAATAAGAAGAATACAACTGCTGTGATATTCATCTTCTGGGTTTTCTGGGAGGTAGCCATTAGCGGGTTTGAGAAGGAAATTTGTGAGCGTTTTAGAGGAAAAAATGAGAGAATTGAATAGAAAATTTTTGTGTGTGTTTTGGGTTCGGGTTTGATGAGCTTGAGGTGATTTTATACGAGGAGTTAGCAAGGAAGCACAACGAAATAAAAATACTTGTGTTTGTCTTTGATGAGTTGACAAAGTCTTGAGTATATGGGAAAATGGAAGTTTACGCGCTGCTTCTGCACGCTACATTGACTTAATATTCTTTAATTCTCATACTTTATTTTGATTTGAGATTAGGGTTGAATATTATGATAACATTTTACTAATAAAGAATCGTTTTCCATAAAAGATATTAGGCATCTATCAGTAGTCACTTAAAAGTAGTTAGGAATATATTAAAGCTCATTTTTAAAGCCAACTTTAATTACCTTTATTAGTTATCAAAATAATATATATGACAATATAATCGCATATAAAATGTTTTGAGATCATATTATGATATATAAATTAAAATTTTAATTTATAAGATTTTTTTGTGAAATAATTATATATTAATTAAATACTTAATAAAAAATAAAAAATAAAAACAAATTTTAACTTATTAGAGATATAAAAGATAAGTATTGAGAAGCGCTTGATCATTATGATTCTCAATTTAATTGTGTCCATGGTCTATATGTAAGTAAGAGTAATAACGATTCGGTTTGGATCGGATTTGTTTTGATTTTTTTAATATTATATAATATTATAAAATTTTAAAATTTAATTCGAATCTAAATTGAATATTCATTTAATTCGAATCAAATCGAATTAAATTTTATTGGTTTGGTTCAATTTGATTTATTGATTTTTATTTTTTAATTTTTACATATTATTTTTATATAAAATTTTAATATCTTTAGGTAAATTTTAATATAAAATTATTATTTTTATTTTATAAAAATTTAAAATATATATAAGCATTAAGAAAAATTTATAATTCGGGTCTGTTTGATTTTTTTTATTTTTTACCTTTTAATATAAAATTTAATTCAAATCTAATATATACATTTAATATTTAAATTTGATTTAAATCAAATAAAAAAATCTAAATCAAATTAAATACTTTAATTTTAAATCGATTTTTAGATTTCTTTTTTTCTTTCTTTTTCATCACTACAAAAAAGACGGTGACGATCGAGCGTTATCACTGGAGAGTGGGGAATGTCAGACGGAGAAGAAGGGACAGGAAGAATGCAAGGCAATACGTCAGGGTTTGACTATGTAACATGCCAGCTTTGTTCCACGATTGGACTTCCTATGCTACGCGTTCCACACTGACTTATCTCCCACGCTACCGCCCTAATCTTTTCCTTGTAATTGCCCCGATCCGTACTTGAATTTCACCGACAGTATCACCGGGCTTGAGCTTGTAGTTTGGCAATGGACTGGACCAGTTTGGTCCATCAACTAAAGCCTGTGCAAGCAATACCACCGAACACAATGCCATTTTTAGGTCCAATTTCATTGCATTGTTTATATGGTGCCACGTGAATTTCCGACTCATTAGGGCTGGCGAGTATAAGCAGTGAATGAATAATATATATATATATATATAACTATATATAATATAGTTAAAGAACTAGGAAAACATGGCTACAAAGAAGATGGATGATTTAGTAATTTATGTATTTATATTATATAAAATATTAATAATTTGTATATTTGTTTTTTGTTTTACATAAAAATAATATATTACAATATATGTTGATACAAAAATATGAAATATATTTTTATTTTATTAAATTTATTTATAATTTTTATTAAAATTTTAAATCATATTTTTTTAATATTTTTTATTCGTATTATATCAACATATCATATTTGAAATTATCAATGAAATCACTAACACCAACCTTATTAAATAACCATAGCCATCAAGAAAACAATAAAAAGCAACCCCATTCCATAAACCAAGGTGTGTTTTTTTTTTGTTTGAAATTCTTCAATATTGATAATTATTTTGAGTTTCAATTAATTGTATGTCAAACTTCATAAATGAACAAACTCTTTTAAATTTTTTTTTTCATTTATAAAACTTGAAATCGAAATCTTACTTAAAAAAAATTAAATTTCTTTCCATTTGGATCAACATGCGTTAATAAAAGTGTGTGTTTATAGCATGAAAAACTCAGCATATATAATTTAATTTATTCAACCACTTTATATTATATTGTGTTATTTATTGCTATAGACTTATCAATCATCATGATCGTATACAACACTATTAACTAATTCTCCAAATAATTAAAGAATATCTTCATTTCATTTCTCATTAAATGTTACACATTAATTCAGTTGACAAGACTGACACGTGTTACATGTTTCATTTTCTATATAATATCTAGGTCTGTTATATGTGACTATTTACTAGTATTTATTTTGTATGAAACGTATGATTATAATTTTTTTTATAAAAAAGATCGTAATATGAAGATAAATAAAAAATTGGAAGTGTTGGAATCGATTAGAACCTCAAATTTATTTTTTAATATTGATTGTATAAATTAATTAAATTAAAATTTAAATCTGAAATGTATGGGATACTTAATTAGTTGATTTGGATGATGGGGTGATGACGTTAGTCATTCTTGGTCTTCCCTGTTCTTGTTGTTGGTTCAAATATTGCTGAACAGGAAGTCTTCACCAACCATGTGGAGACAAAGTCTTGATCAAATTTCATAACTAATAATGTCAACTCAGCTGTGACCAAACCCCACCATTTTGCTGTGTTGAACCTCACTATGTTCTTCGTAATTACTGGATCATTTTAAAGCATTCCCATATTTTGCATGACTTCCACGTAGCCTAACTAATTAATTAGCTTATTATTATTATTATTATGGTTTTCTTCTTCCTGTTGCTACAATGTTATCCTACTAATATTATTATTATTATTATTATTATTATTCTTTTTAATTTGAAAGGCAGTAGTACTGTTGCTTGCTACCACGTAACCAAAAGTGCAAAAGATTTGGATTTGAGAATCTTATGGGAGGCAAATTAAAGCCATCTTTAGCGTTTCAGGAAGAAGAAAACAATTATGAAAAGCCAAAGTCATGGAAGAAAGGCACAAAATCTGTGAATTGCGAGGAGACAAATGCTTATGGTAATGGAAACCTGACCCCAGTCCTAGGAGCTAGTAGCCTTTTACTTTCTCATTATAATTATTTGTATTTATAGTATATGTTTTCTCTGATCTTATCCTCTAGATATGCACCGACCTTTTATTGATTGCTTTTTAATATGCATGCAAAGTTATATCTATTCCTTCTTTTATTATTATTATTATTATTATTATTATTATTATTATCTTCCCTGCCTACTTTCTTGAATCTACACAATAAACTTTCATGTGGTATGCCTGGAAAGCAATCTGTAATCTGTTGAGCTCTTTTGGTATGCATATGTTTTTATAGGCAGACAATGTGCAGACATTGCCTTTTCTCATGTGCCGCATTTGTCAAAGGTGAGCTGAACTTAGTGCAGATCAGCTCGCGGATATGCTATAATCTTTTTCACATGAATTAATTAATAACTTTGATTTTTCATTACCAAAGAAAAAGAAAAAAATCAATTTACCATACTTTTTCAATCCCACGCTCCGGGCCTACTTTTTTGTGAATCTAATAATACTATTTTATCTCATTATAATCATGATGCCACCAAGCAAGTGCCCTATAAATTATTAACATGGGGAACATCTTAACTTTCTTCATAAGCTTGTTCTCCTTAATGTAAGAGCGACCCATTTGTGAAAATGGCAAAGAAGGAGCTGATGAAGGCCAGTTTTCTCCTGCTTGCAGTACTGCTTCTATTGTCCATTATGTTTCAATGCCAGGTGGCTAGCAGCAGCAGGTTTATCTGGAGTTGTGATCCTGCATGCCAGATGGAATTAACAGGAACAAGAGAGCTTTTAGACCACATGCAAGATTATTCAGGAGATGTTCCAAGCATCCCAGGTGATTATGATTACAATAATTTCTACAGAAGGCAAGGTGATGTTCCAAGCCCAGGAATTGGTCACTGAAGTGATGATATCAGTTAGAGTGGCATCTCTAGCTGGCTGTTGTTGTTTTCTCTTTCCATCTTCTTAAAATGATTTTGTTTTTCTTCCCCAGATTTTCTCTTCCAATTCATCTATATATATATATATATGTGTGTGTGTGTGTGTGTGTGTATGTGTGTTCCTTGTTAATATATAAAATATACCCAACTTCTGTGTTTTTGTTTGGTCCTATCAGTAAAACATAGACAAAATAAAGTGATATATGTATGTATTACTACTATTGTAGTTGAATGGTTTACAAAGTCAAATCATTTCTGTAATTTTGAGATAAATAAAATGGAATAGATTGTAATGACAGTGGATTTAGTTGTGCTTCTGATGGAAATTGGGAAGTGACGTGGTTTTGAAAACAGAATAGCACAATGATTTTGACAGTCCGATTAATCAAGTAACAACTCAAAGCAAGGTTGCCAAGTCCTTTCACCCCTGGTTTTGCATGATAGATTTGGGGCGGCCAAAGGATAGTTTCAATGGTCCAATTTACTTTCGTTGAGAAGTTAACATCATGCTGTGCAATTAATTCTACTCTCTATGTTGCTTTCAGACAAAGGGATGCTTACAGGCTTAGTTTTTACAATTCCCCATGTCGCAAACAAAGCTTAGCAACTTTCTATTACAAGCCACACAAAATAGTACTGAGCTAATCAGGCTAAAAACAATTTTCAACTTGAGAATGGATTCCTGGCTATATTTGCAGTTACCGCTTTTGAGATTTATTGAAAAGAACCATCATATCTCAAATCCCTATGCATCACTATCTACCAAAGAAAATTTTGCTGCTAATATGGTCATGCATAGGGAAGGCAACTTCCCATTCCCAATTCCGTGTAATGCATTAAGAAGTTTGGGCTTTGATGCTCTGCCAGCTCAAAACTGTGCAATATTTTCAATTTGGGCTTCAAGTTTTAATTTGACCATAAAATTTGGACAGTCCAAAACCTTCAAGATTTGATAAAAACAAAGAGAAGGTATACCAATATGACCAAAAAAAACCATATATTTGTGATATTTAGCCTTTGTCCCGAGTCCCACACCGACATGTCCAGGCTGCTTGATGTTGCCTCTAATAGCAGGGTCAGGTTCAGTGCTAGCTCCAATTTTCAGTTGAAATTCTTAATTTGTAATTGATCCAAAGAAAGATATTTGATAAAAACTAGTTGCATTGCTTGTAGGGAAGGTTAATTTTTGTTGCTACCCATGCTAGTAGTGAACATATGGGCCATGGCTATTTGGTTGCAATAATCAATGCCAATTATAGCTGTAGAGAAATCTAGAGAGTAATAATTAGACATGGTGTTTCTTGGTAGCTGGATGATCTAAACTGTTTAGGTTGATTTAGGGATAGTGAGAAGTGATAGATCACTTTTGCAAATTTGAACAGGATTACATATAAGCATCTTTATCCAATTAACAAAGGCTTTCTTTCCCAGTTTTTGTTGAATAGAGGCTACTGAATTCGAATGCTGAAATGTACAATCATTTGTGTTAAATCAAGAGGCTCAGGTAGGTGGAAATTGTATAAACTTCTTGAATTTAAGTTGTTTTTTTTTTTTCTTAATTTAATCAGTGGTAATTGCTAACTAGAGAATTGTTGATGCCAAGTTTTTTCCCCTTGCTGTTGACACTATGTGAATTGGATGCTTCAAGATCATGTTAGAGGTAGGTGCCATGTTGACCATTTTGTTTTTTAATATTGGATTTAATCCTGTGATTCTTCGGTTTATCTTATTATACTAAGTCATTCCAACTTTTCTCAATTTTATTTTGAGAGTTGGTGTGATAGGTTTCTCCATTGATTACTAGTTACATTATTAGTTTTAAGTTGGAAGCTTCAAAGAGTCCAACCATAAATTTTATTTTATTTGAAAAAAAAAAAAAACGTTTAGCCCAAGGTTCTTGCCTTTTTTTAGTATGAGATTGTTTTTACCTTAATATCAAGAAATAACTTCCATTTTTTTGGCCAAAAATAAATAATTTCCATTGACAAACAGAAAAATAGAGGGTATTTGTAACTCAGTGAAAACCTATACTTCACCTACCAATGAAATGCCATTGATAAATTATTTTGATTTTGTCAAACTTGGTGCACAAAAAGGAATTGAGCACTTCCTTGTGCTTTTAACTTTTGTGTCTTGTCTAACCTAACCTAAGGGGCCTAAGCTATCCTACTGATGAAGCTTCTCTCACCAGCATGCGCTTTCTCAAACCCACAGTGAATGGCTGGTAAGTTGTTGCTTTCCATTTGTGAATGTGACTTCAAACCCTCAGAATTAATGCTTGTAGGTATAGATCATGCAATGCTTCAAATTCTACTGTCACATGAGAGAGTTGGACAGCTTTCAATGGTTTTTTTTTTGTTAAATCCATTAGGGACAGAACATATATATGTGAGAGGGAAAAAACTGTACTGTAAGTTTTTTAATCACATTATCTATGTAGAACTGTGAATTTATCTCTTTTACTTGATTTTTCTGCTTAAAAAATTAATGCTTGAATTTTAGTATTAGTGTGAAGTTTGGAATATTGACCTTAAGGTCATATATTACCGACATAATACTTAAAAATAACTGAGAGTTTAATGGTCTAGAACTGGGGCTGGGGGTATAGTTTTTCTTTCTTTCTTTTGAAGAAGCGAGCATGACATGGAAAAAACAAGCCTTTCGTTCGGTTGAGATGCTGCTTTTGTGCTCAAATGATTTACATTTGAGGTGAACATGACATGGAAAAGACCAAAGTCCAAAGGCTATATTTGTTTAGTGCAAATATTCCTGCTCATGTGAATCTCCATTACTATTTTGTTTTTTATGTAGAAAGCATGCGCCTTTACCAATCAATTTTCATAGAATCGAATCTCTATAGCTTCTTCCCACGTTCTCTAGAAAGCATGCTCCTTTACCAATCAATTTTCATAGAATCAAATCTCTATAGCTTCTTCCCACGTTCTCTAATCTATTCCCATTTCCTTTTCTTAAGTTTTTTTAATGCTAAGTTTTATTCTCTTTTACTGAACAACATTCGCCATTGTCGGTTGGTACACAAATTTAACAGCTTCTGGTCTGTTCATTTAACCTTCAAATCCATCCAAAACCGCCATTCGTTGCTGCCTTCAATCCTAAAACATCACTTCCTTTCATTAAAATCAAATCCTTTCTCATGCTTATAGTTATAGACCTTTCCCATATTAGGTGCTATAGTAGAAGTTTCAAGCTTTTCTTGGCTTTGGAGCTAAATGCTACAAGGGTTCCATTTGGTGGCCATTGATTTGCCAGAAGAAAAGAAGATAAACTCACTTGGCCACTCAGGTAAGTTTCTTTATATGTAGTTATGTATTTGTTTCAATAAAGGGTTGGATTCATGAGGTTCTATCTATCATCTATGGGAGGTGCTACAGCTGTTTCGAGAATGAAGTTTAATATTGATAAAAATAGTCAGCCAATCTGAAAAGATAGAACCAGTAACATGATGGGAGATGATGCAATCAAAAGGCTGTTTTAGCTAAATGTTGATATGGACAAAGTGGATCTGCAAAAGGGGAGTCCCCCTTGGGTGTATCAAAATAGAAAAAAGGCAGAAAAGCGATGACTTTGTTGTTGTAATAAGAAGGGTTAGGAAAGGCTGGCAAGTTAGTGCATTTGGATAATATTTCTGAATGGTCTAATGGGGGGAGGTAAATTGGTTTTGGTTTCTTTCATTTGCTTTTGAGTTACTACCAAACCCCATTAATTTAATTTAATAAGAGCAGCTTTACCTTTCTTTTAACTGCCAAAAAACAGTTTCCCTGCTTTATCAAACAAAGGAAAATGAAAGGTGTGCTTAAGTTAGGTAGGAATTTGAGAAGGAGAAAGTTACGGTCTTGTGGGGTATAGTAAACATTGTAACATTGACAAGCCGATGAAAAAATCGTCCTTCAAATCCGCTTTATACCCGTGGGCACTTGTTTGGTTGTTGGTGTGATATATAATCTTTGTAAATGTAACTATCGTTGAATCACGTGATTGTGCTTTCTTGTTGCCATCCATCAAGATTCTCTTATTTTATTCCCTTCTCTTTCCCCTGTAGAAATTGGTTGGAAACTCTTTTGCATTTGCGTGTATATATATGTTTTTATGTTACAGTTATACATTGGTTTTTCCTGTTTGTTTTTATCTTCTTTTTCTTTGTGCTTTATGGGTTAATACTGTCTGAGGGTTCAAAGTTTGGTCTTTTTGATTGAACACTAATTAGAAACAGTGAAGTATCAGTTTCTTCCACTATACATCAACCAAAAAACAGAAAAAGAAAAAATTATTTTTATATAAAAGAAATGGAAAGGAAATAAATGAGGGTCCTTCTGCATTTAAGAGTTCTGTCTGATAATTCTAGTGTAGTTGAGCTTCAACCCCTTTTAAGGTTCCATAAATTTTCTAGTAATTGGAATCTGGGGTGTCATTTGGCTACATGTTCTTTCTTTTTATGAGATTTTAAAGATGTACTTAGTTTTCTAAAAGTTTGGTGAGTGATGTTATAGAGGTATGGAAGCCATGTGGGTGAATGTGACATGCTTTTTATCTCCTCTATTTGCGGGTGCATAAAGTAGGGATATGCGTGGATATCCTTGGAAATTTCATCTTCAAAGTGCATTGGTTTATTTTATTCTTTCTTTCAAATTCTTGGTGTTGGATTGTGCCACTTAAGTTTGGCATATGTTTCAGTGTTAATTTGCAGCTAATTGTGCTCACTTGCAAGAAACTCAGGCTGAAGATTGAGGCAAAATTGTCATGGATCTTGAGTTTGGAAGGTCCTTGGATACTTCAAAGGTTTGTGTGTTTAACTTTCAAAATATATATATCCATCTACCTTTCTAAGTTATTGGTCATTTAAATTTTTTTTTGGAATAGGTAAACTTAGATTACATGGTCGAAAGATTTATGGAGTTATCAATTGAGTTACATGGTTTGGGTTCATTAACTTAGCTGACTTATAGGAAAGTTGCTTATTCTGGAATTTTGTTGCAGAAGGATTCTTGGAAGACCACATTGCTTTTAGCATACCAAAGCCTTGGTGTGGTTTATGGGGACCTGAGTACTTCCCCTCTTTATGTCTACAAGAGCACATTTGCTGAAGACATTCAACATTCAGAATCAAATGAAGAGATTTATGGTGTTCTATCTTTTGTCTTCTGGACTCTTACTTTAGTCCCCTTATTCAAGTACGTGTTTGTGGTTCTTCGAGCAGATGATAATGGACAGGGTAAGCACTTTAAACAATTCTGATGTCCATATCATTTAGCCATTGAATTGAAGCCTTTTATACATGATTTTGATTTTTGCAGGAGGTACTTTTGCATTATATTCTCTGATATGCCGACATGCAAAACTTAGTCTTCTGCCCAACAGACAGGTTGCTGATGAAGCACTCTCTACATATAAACTTGAGCACCCTCCAGAGAAAAAAAGCAGCTCAAGAGTAAAAATGTACCTTGAGAAGCACAAGGTCTTGCACACTGCTTTACTAATCTTGGTTCTCCTTGGTACTTGTATGGTAATTGGAGATGGAGTTCTCACCCCAGCTATTTCTGGTAAACCTCTTAGCAGTCAGTTGCTTAGATTTGCAACTGATTTTTCTCAGTCACTTACTAATTAATCTATTCTTGTATATGTAGTTTTCTCTGCTGTGTCTGGCCTCGAGTTATCCATGTCCAAGGAACATCACCAGTGTAAGCTCCTCAGCTTGCTATTTTAGATCTTGTTCTCATATTTAAAAAGCATTAAGTCTCTAATGTTATGTTGGAACAAACCTTCTTTCATATTAATCAAAAAACACTTTTCTTATTAAGTGTAAATTAGTAGTGTGTGTAAAGGCGAGAATGTCAGAGCAGGGTTAGTTGCCTGATTATTAATGATCTCAATTCGGATTTGGGTTGATATTCATGTTCCTTCTTGGTGAGAAAAAAGAAAGAACCTGGAATAGAGGAGTGTGGTGGTAGGCTTATGGTGTCTAGTCTTTGGCATAACTTTCTTCCAAGTGAATTTCAGCAAAATAATTAGTTGAAGGAGTAGCTTGGTGCTTCCTTTTTGTCATTCAAGTGATAAATGGGTAGGGAAATTTCGCTTGTCATTCTCATGTAGTTAGTGAAGAAGAGCCAGTTGGCCTGCAGGGACCATTCAACAGCAAGTTGTGGTCTGGAATTACCATATCCTACCCTTTTTTTTGGCCTTATCTGGTCCTCTTCCATTCTGTTTTTGGAATGCTATGGTTTCATAAGATTGATGGAACGGAAAATGTTGAACTTGGTGCTTTTCTACTGTTCAGGAAACACGGTAAGAGAACAGATAAAATATTGAAGTTATTAGATTCTTGAACAGAATTTTGTACATGATCATTACTCTTTTCACAATTTACAATATCTTAAAGTGGAAATGAGACATTATTCTGTTGGTAAATTGTTATCCAGATAAGACATTTACTCCTTTTTTATTTTACTAAAATGGTTGATTAATATTTTTTCTAGCTTAATGCTTGAGCGTACAATCTATTTCATTAACATGGGGTCTGATTTCCACACCAATTAACCTATAATTTTGTTTAAACAATAAGCTACATTTTCTAGTCTTTTACTTTCTTCCATCCTAAGGTCTCGTTGATCTGCCAATATTATATGCCAGTTTTTAAAAAGATAAGTTATTTTTTATGTGTAGCTATATTTAGTTTAGACATATACATAGTTAATTCCAGTCTTTGCTCTAATTTGCTGCCAGCTTATCAGAAATTCATGCCCTCATTTGCAGATGCAGTTATGCCAATCACTTGCTTCATTTTGGTGTGTCTTTTTGCACTTCAACACTATGGTACACATCGGGTCGGATTTTTCTTTGCTCCAGTTGTGTTAACATGGCTACTATGCATAAGTGCCCTTGGCTTATATAATATAATCCACTGGAACCCACATGTCTATCAAGCTCTTTCTCCCTATTACATGTTCAAGTTCTTGAAGAAGACAAGGAAAGGTGGATGGATGTCTTTAGGAGGCATACTGCTCTGCATAACAGGTGATTTTGGAACATACATACATACGATAAATTTTGATAAGTTCAATGTTATCTCCTTAGTCAAAAAAATTTGTGCCTGGGGCAAAAGTTGATTTTTTTTTTCTGTGTTTAAGGTTGTTCATGGTCATGATAAGATCATTATTTGACATTATTGGATGAAGTATTCTGACAAAGTGGAGCAACCTTTTCACAATTATCATTGAGTTAAACTGCTAGTGAATATCCATATCCTTGGTAATGTGATCTGGATAGGTTGTAACATTAAAAAGTTATAGTCACAAAATACTCAAGGCAGGATACCTTGTCCTATCATTTTGAGCTGAACATTTCACGTGATATAATTTGCAAGGTCCATTATAATAGCCGCAGTTACTTTAGATAAGAAGACTTCTGTACTGTATCCATATTTTGTAGTCTTCAATCTAAGTCATCGGTCGACCATCTGAAAGTCTTGCTGAAACTAAACAGAACCTTAAGTTTGGTTCATTGTGACAATTGACAACCAACAAATGCCAATATTCTGCTTGATTATCCTGCAGGCTCTGAGGCAATGTTTGCTGATCTTGGTCACTTCTCTTATGCTGCAATTCAGGTAACTCTAACATTAATCCTCTTCTAAGTTTTGATTGAATAACAATGTCTTACCTGTTCATGTAAGGTAAAAGAAAGCTGGCTACTAAAATGAAATTTAACCTGTCTTGCCTCAGACTGCTTTTACCTTTCTGGTTTATCCAGCCCTTATATTGGCATATATGGGCCAAGCTGCTTACTTGTCTCAACATCACGATACGAGTTACAAGATCAGTTTCTATGTCTCAGTTCCAGGTATACCTGATCATCTGTTACTAAAACCAAGAAAAAATGGTAGGAATCTAACTAATGAAATAGGGAGATGTAAATTTCAAGTCTGAGCATCCAGTCCCCCAACTTATCCCTTTTTCCACGAGCTAAGAAAAAAAGTGCCAAAGATAAAACAGTGGATTGATAGTATAACCTCATTGAGTCATTTCTAATTTTACCCAGCTTAAAATATCACTCGTTTGCATACAATCTGAATTCATGGTTGTAGACAAATAGAGTTGATTGCTTAATGTTTGCGTACAGAAAGTGTGAGGTGGCCTGTGCTAGTAGTAGCAATTCTTGCTTCCGTTGTGGGAAGCCAAGCAATCATTAGTGGAACATTCTCAATCATCAATCAGAGCCAATCACTTGGTTGTTTTCCTAGAGTCAAGGTTATTCACACCTCTGACAAGATACATGGCCAGATTTATATACCTGAAATCAATTGGGTGCTCATGATCCTCTGCATTGCTGTGACCATTGGATTTAGAGACATAAAACACATGGGGAATGCATCAGGTAAGGTTAAACTTCATGTGTCCCGGATAATGATTTTCTAACATGTAATTAAAAATCATTTCCTTCCTAACATGAAGTCCATTTTTTTTTAATTCTTTGGACGATTATTCAGTTGGCCACTACCTCTTGATTAAACTTGATCCGAAAATGGTTTTAGGAAGATCTTTTTATATTATAAGAAGAAACAGAGAAGTTTGATGCATTGCAATTTTGTTCTCATTTGTATCAGGGTTGGCAGTGATGACTGTGATGTTGGTGACGACATGCCTCACCTCCCTAGTTATTATCCTCTGTTGGCACAAACCTCCAATTGTAGCTCTTTCCTTTCTTCTTTTCTTTGGTTCTATTGAGTTGCTTTACTTTTCAGCTTCACTCACCAAGTTCACAGAAGGTGCTTGGCTCCCTATACTCTTGGCCCTTTTCCTCATGACAATCATGTTTGTATGGCATTATGCCACCATCAAGAAATATGAATTTGATCTCCACAATAAGGTATCACTAGAATGGCTATTAGCATTGGGTCCAAGCTTAGGAATTGCTCGAGTACCGGGTATCGGCTTAGTTTTTACTGATCTCACCTCAGGAATCCCTGCTAACTTTTCTCGTTTTGTCACCAACCTTCCTGCCTTCCACCGCGTCCTGGTCTTTGTGTGTGTGAAATCAGTACCTGTCCCCTTTGTGCCCCCGGCTGAGCGTTATCTTGTGGGCCGTGTTGGTCCTGCCACTCATCGTTCTTATAGGTGCATTGTTCGTTATGGATACCGAGATGTACACCAGGATGTAGATTCTTTTGAATCAGAGCTAGTTGCCAGATTGGCTGATTTCATCCGCTATGATTGGCTTCGGAGCCAGCACACTAATCCCTGTACTGAGGATGACTCTAATGAATCAACGAGTGAATGCAGATTAGCTGTGATTGGGACATTGGCATTTTCTGGCACACCAGCTTTTGAGATTGAGGAAAGTGTGCAACCAGCAAGTGTATCTGTTGGATTCTCAACAGTAGAGAGTGTAACAGATGTTATCGAGATGGAGCCTGTGCGTGCTGTTGAAAAAAGAGTTAGATTTGCCATTGACGATGATGATGATGACTCCGAATCTGATGTGCGGACTGATATGGAGGTGAAGTTACGAGAAGAGCTTGAAGATCTATTGGCAGCCCAAGAAGCTGGGACTGCATTCATACTAGGGCACTCACATGTTCGAGCAAAGCAAGGATCTTCTGTTTTAAAGAGATTGGCCATCAATTTTGGGTACAATTTCTTGAGAAGGAATTGCAGGGGACCAGATGTGGCACTTAAGGTGCCACCAGTATCTTTGTTAGAGGTTGGCATGGTTTATGTGGTGTAAGCTTCTAACTAATTTTTTTAGCTTTATTTAATACAAATATGACGTAGTAAAAGAGGCGTACTTGTTGATTGACCTGTCCTGCAGAGAAAGTGATAACTTGTTTGGGAGAGATTCACTCCTTTCTTATGTCTTATTATGAAAGTGTCATTCTCAACCTGCATGTCAGAGTCTTAACAACATGCAATTACTCCTTACCACAAGTGGTTTCTGATCAATCTATATTTCCTAGCTACTATCAAGTAAGTTCACCCAAAAAAAAAAAAAAATCTTACTTCCATGGATGCACATTTACCGGGTGATCATGCTTATTTGGTATCTGTACATTTATGGATATTAGCACAATCCTATAGAAAAATATGTCAATCACATGGGTTATTAAATCAGATATCATCAGTTTTGAAAACAGAACTTCTGAACCTTATCCGTGGTGTAATGTTTGATTAATTACATCACTTGTCCTAGAGATGTAAATCTTCCCATGTTTTCCTCCAAATTAGAAGACATATGTGATAGCACTTACTGACATACAAATAAAAATAATAATAAAACCTGGGTTTTCTGCTGGCCATAAATTTTTTATGAAGATATTTCTGGTTTATTATGTCGTATATGTATGACACAGTTCAAAACCAAGCCAAGCTGTCCTCCCAATTTTAATAGTTTGGGAAAAGGCCACGTATTATTCCTCTAGCCATCAAATTCCCCAAGTCAGTCACGCTACTATATGTATCTTTATATAAACAGGCTACCTGTCATAGCCTCGTAGAGGAGAGCATTGCCGGCTGGTTGCAACGATTCTCTGCCAAAAAAAAGCAACCATGGTACTCACGACTCTTCCCTTGTCACCTTCACAAAACAGTATCCCTCCTCATGTGGGACTTCCACAACATTCTTGCACTCATAGGTTCAGTACTAGGAGCTCTAGGCTAAGAGTTTCAGCTAAACAAGGGAATAATGGTGAGAAAGAAGAGCCCAAGAAGAGCAAGCAATCTTTGTTTAGCACTGTAACTGAGGCTCTGGATTTCTCACAAGTTAGGTCTGTAAAGGATGCTGAGCTTTTGGAGGAGGCTAGAGATGCCACCAGGTCTGGTGGGAGGATGTCAAGAGAACAGGTAATTAATAAGACTTTCTTTTTAATTACTCTCTGAAGAATTAATCAATAATAATTTCGTTTCACAGTTAAGTATTTAATACTAATCAGTAAAACTGCATGGAATTTGTTGGTAAATGCAGTACGGGGCTCTGAGAAGGAAAATTGGAGGGACATACAAGGATTTCTTCAAATCCTATATTGATGGTATGCAAATAGACATGAGAATATATATATATATATATATATATATATGTGGGTGTGTGTGTGCATAGATAAAGTTAGAAGGTTATCTGATTCAGTTTTTGTGTGCATATAAAATGGGCAGTGGATGGAAAATATGTGGAAGAAGGATGGGTGGACAAAACATGCAAGGTGTGCAAGAAAGACACAAGGGGTGAAGAAAGACAAATAGACAAGTTTGGAAGATATGTTCATGTAGCATGCTTGGAAAAGTCCAACTCTGGAAACTTGTTCACCAGATTATTCTCAAGATGATTTTATATGTACATTAGAGGCTAGTTTTTGCAATGAAATTTTGTTTTATTGTTATTCATGCATATTAAGGATAAATGAATAATAATAATATAGCTTTGGATTGCTTCCTCCATTTTGTTGAGATAAACTGAAACAGCCAGAGAATTTTCTATTATTATTTGAAATGAATAAATCTAAAGATTCGTTTACAAGCTCTGTTATAATTCCCTACACAATACAATATCAAAACTGAATACCAGTCTTCCAAAGGCTTGATTCTTTATAACAACAGTTAAACAAGCAGACAAGATTTTGTGGAAAAAGAATGATATTACAAATCAAATGATATTACTATATATAAAAAGTAGCAGAGGTGACAAAGATACATGAAATTTTAATGTCAAACCAGTCACCAGACAAGAGAAACTGTACAAAACCTGATCTGTTTTCCTTCATTTGTCTTCTTTTTCTTGTAATTTACATCCCAGATGAGGATGTCCGGTTCATCCTCTGTGCACCCAATTTGGGAGCAGCAGGTTTAGCTCCTCTGCCTCTTCCCGCTGATAAAGGCTTTGCCTTGGTTGTAGGAGGGGGAGCTGCAATAGCTGCCCAAGGATCATCATCATCATTGACTGCTCCAGCTGTTTTCACATTCAATGGTTTTGAAGCAGATTTTGGAGGAGGAACAGCTATAGAACCCCACAAGTCATCATCTTCATCCTTCGTGACCTTCACTGTACTTTTTGGTCGCACACTTGTAGTTGCTAAAGCAAAGAAATGAAAAATGAATCACCATCTTCTAAATATCCCAAATATCTCAATTAGACAAGCATACAGAAAGACTTAAGGACCAATATACATGAGAAAAGATGACCAATATAACTCTTCAGTCATTCCTAGTTTCTACTATATGTATGAAAAAAAAAGTCCACTGTTTAGATAATGACACAGATTTCTGATTAAGTGCAATCCAGACCAAATATGATTATTCACATTATTATTGAACTAACTTTAACATATTAATCATGCATTATCCATGCATATGCAAAAAGTAAATTCATGTCATATATTTTCCAATCTTGGACATTAACGTTAAGACTAGAAACTTAACTCCTAAATCCACAATTGAATAGACAAAACTACCTTGTGGTTTAGGCTGTGAAACTGGTTGTGAGACAGGACGCTTCTGAGCTGCCTGAATATTTGCCAGGGCTGGAGATGGCTTTGTCTCTTCAAGGGGTTCAATATCATCCCAGCCATCTTTGTCACTGTCCTGTTCTTCATGAATCCCATTTTCAATTTCTCCCCAGCCATCAGTTGATGTTGGGGATGGAGGCATGGGTTGATCGGCAAAGTCTGTACTGGAACTTACACGGTGAACTGGAGCTGTACTTGGCGTTTCTATTAGTCCTAAGATTGTATCGGAAAACTGACATTAGAGATGGAATTATTAAATGAACACAACCAATAATCAGGCAAAAATAAAGACCAAAAAGAAGCATAGCATTAACTTCATTTCCAAAATAATAAGTACCAACTTTTATAAGTCCTGTAATTGCAAGAAATACCTGAGCTGGCTGTAGAGGTTGTGGTAGCTGCAGAAGTAACAGAATTGGCAGCCGTAAGTGGAGCTTGATCAGAAGCTTTACCTTTAAGAGTCAAAGAGCTCATGGCCCATCTGCAAAGTCAGAATCTTAGTGGTCAACACCAAACTACACCCTTGGCAAAGAGAACCAACATAACCCATCAAGTGGCTACAAAAGTTTTTAGATCTTCCTTTATAAATCATTTGACTAATTAAGCTGGCTAAAAAGAATAAATGCACCATACAAGGAAACAAATTGGAATATAGATTTTTTTACGATCATTGTTTTAATATCATCCCTCTTCTGGTAGGATAGCAATCAAAATGGCCCTCCTACCGCAAAAAGTCTCGACTTACCCCAGCAAACTAGCATTTCCTGGCATTGATGAGATCCCTAAGCTTCCAGTGCCAGCACTATCTCCAGCATTACTCTATAGAGAACCACAGACAAAAAGCATCACCATAACAAAATACCATACCATGAACAAGAGCAAAGATTTCTTAAAACATCCCATGAATATTCCAATTTCAAAGTTTTTATCCTTGTATAAAGATATTGTAGCTCGGTACAGATCATGATGCTAATACCATAATGTTAGATATGACTTCAGTATTAGGTGAATCAAAACATCCACACTAAAACATAAGACGAAGAATAATATAAATATCAGAAACAAACACCTAAAAGCCATAATTAACTAGACATTTCCTGCATGCTTAAAATATGTCTAACACAAGCATAGCCGTTAACTGGTTCCAGTAAATGATTGAAACATGAAGGCCATAAAACTATAATGGATGGAAAAATTATTAAAGATGGAAACTGTAAACCAAGAGCTGCCAACTATTTCATTAAGGATGGAAAATTTATGCTGAATGCAATAGAATGCTGATCAAGAAAAGAAAAGAAAGTTAAAGATAAATGTATGAAGTATCATTTAATTCTACACTTGATAGCACCAAAGCTACAGTCAGTTCACATTTGCCTAAAAATTAAAATCAATGGAAAAGAAGTGGGAACGGAAAAAGCATCTTAAAGCACACCTTTTCATTATATTGCTTCACTATCTGTAAAAATTGATCAACTGCTTGAAATGCCTTTGACCTTACATCACTGTTTAAAAGACACATTCTTCATGTACGCTGATGGATAATAATACAAAGGCAACAATAAATAAACAGATTAACAATAACATAACCTGTCAGGATCAATGGTAAGTACAACAATATTTGGAAGAATCCGAGTTGCAATCTCAGTCATGTCATAATAAGAACTGGTGGCACATAAAGCCATAACTCCTGCCACAACATAATCTCATATTAGTTTGACAACACCTAGAATACCAAGAACACAATTGCTTTGAAAATCAAAGAAAGCATTTCCAAAACCAAGAATATCAGAAACTAGCTATAAACATGTATACCTGCTGCTCGGGCAGGAGAGAAAGTATCACGCAATGCACGGACTGTAAATGCATTAATCAAAACTCTCTTCCGTGTCTACAATTTTAGGGCAAGAGATGACAATTTTCAACAGGAAGAAGTTAATTAAACTTTAAAAAGAAACATAAAAGTTAACAGTAAAAGAAAGAGGATCATGCCACTATGTACTAATATCTCAAGTGAAAATGTCAGGTAACTCAAAATACTCAAGAAGGATTCGCCTAGAATCTACTAACCCCTTCATTTAGGTAGCTTGCAATGTTTCCCAGTAATATGGTGGTATTTGTTCTAATTGCAGGCTCTTCATCAACCTGCACAATATTGCCACAATGTACAGAAGACCATAAAGAAGCAAATGATTTTAACATATATATATATATATATATATTATAAACTAACCAGAAAAAAGAACATGGAACACTACATTGAGAAATGTGATACATACCTGTAACTTGGAAAGATATTTCAATAAAGAGCCCGACATTGTACGTTGTGAAAGCTGCAATGGAAATTATGACAAAGCAACACTTAGAAAAGACTCAATCATATTTCTATAAAAAATAAAAATATTAACAATAATATGGAGAGCGAAACAAGATTGCAAGATACATGGAGATAATATGGAAATGTATGGGAATGAAAATCACAAGCTCATGTTGAACACAACCTCATGTTCTTTGTTTTTCCTTTTTTTTCATTAATTTTTTTCTTCCCCATTGTACTTGAAACACTTTCAACATAAACAAAACCATTGAACTTTGCACACAATAATACCTTCTTAAGCATTGTTGTCCTACTCTATTCACATCCAAAAATAGGTAAGACCATCAGCATATAACAGGGAATCCTGTCTCAATTTAACCATTCTTCTATTAGCACTCATCCAAAGATCCAAATTTTAGCAGTGGTCACTTGATAATAGAGGTGGGCTGGGCTCATACTTCGTATTAATAGCTTTTATGCTTGCCTAACCCTGACCCAAGCTGGCCTGAAATTTCGAGTCTCAAAATTTTCTTAAGCCTACCCAAATTAAAAACATAAATCCCAAACTCACTCATTAAACTTAATTTATATAATAAAAAAAGTACGATTAAATTAAGTTTAATGGGATTATATTTAATTTACATATATATAAAAATTATATATGTAAAAATTAAAAATAAAAATTAAGTTTAATAAAATATATATTTTTTATTTTTAATTTTTATATATATGTGAATTAATTTATATATATTCACATATATATAAAAATAAAAATAATTTTATATATGTAAATTCGAGCTAGGCTTGAGCTTTAAATCTTTTGTCCAATGCCTAGCCCGAAATTTTAACGGGCCTAAAAATTGTGCCTAAACCAGTTTAACAGGCTTTAATTTTTTTATCCAAGCCCTCTCAAAACTTGGGCAGACCTTTGAGCTTGGGTGGGTAGCTCGGCCCTTGAGCTGGTCTCCTTCGGAATACATTCCCAAACCATTTCAAGCGGCACAATTAGTTATGGAAAGCCATTTCCACATTGTTTCCAACCATTTTTTGACTATCTCTATAGTCAAGTTATGAAAAGTTCATTAACTTTACAAATTTCTTTGTAGACTAAGTGATTAACTTTGGAAGCTTGTAAAGACCAGAAAAGTAAATATGTCAAATCAAGAAGGATAACACGATAGAATTGCATCAACAGGAGGCAACGAGAAGGAATCTCTTCAAAGAGATATGACTAACTAAAAGGAAAATTTTAGAAGACTGATGAAGAGCTAAGAAAGAATTCCCTGCTTTGAAGGCTTAGGCTGAATGATGAAACTTGCAAACAACAAAGATAGAAAGTATGAAACATCCGCTGTAACAGTTTACACCAAGTTTCCTTAACAATCATAATTTTCTTCACCAAATGTCATGCTACCCTATGTTGCCCACTCTTGGGTTCAAGTGTTGAACCTAGTGTGTTCCCAAGACAACTATATTCAATTCTTAGTGAGCCCTTCCTTATATATAGAGGACCATATTCACAAACATGCGTCTGCTTACACTTGTCTACCTTGTGATTGACACA